AATATACAGTTTAGCGGGAAGCCAGGTGTATCAGCTGGCAGGTAGGTGGTAGACAGATGGCATCAGGAAGGTGGACACGCAGGTACACAGGTATATAGTTATGCGGATATATATACATATAAGCAGGTGGTCGTGTAGGCAGATTGCCTGCCAATGCGTCACGTGTTGCGTAGCTGACGCTACCTGCTGCTTCCTACACCTGCAGCTCACGTGCTCGCTACCCCCACTCTCCCGCTCTGCCTCACGTGAGAGGAAACTCATTAACGGGGGGGGGGGGCAACACGGTCACGGACACTTTCCAGTCGGGCTGGCTTTTTCCCTATGGGGTGGTGTGCTGGTGATGGTATTGGGTGGTGGTGGTGGTGGCGTTTGTACAGGAAGCACAGTCGGTGCGTCTACCGGTCATCTCAGTCGGGCCACCCATTGGCACCTGAGCCGTTCAGCGACAGCCTTCGACACTTCACGTGGCCTCAAAGTGCACCTAGCCTGGCACAAGCGCCGTGGTTACATCGCTGCCACTTCGTAGCGAATGGGGGTTGTTGCTGCTATTGGTACTGCTCTTGGTGGCGCTGCTGCTGTTGGTGGTGGTGCAGCTGTTGGTGGTGTTGGTGGTGGTGGTGCAGCTGGTGGTGGTGCAGCTGTTGGTGGTGTTGGTGGTGGTGGTGCAGCTGTTGGTGGTGTTGGTGGTGGTGGCGCTGCTGGTGGTGGTGCTGCTGGTGGTGGCACTGCTGGTGGTGGTGGTGGCGCTGCTGGTGGCGCTGCTGGTGGTGGTGGTGGTGGCGCTGCTACTGCTGGTGGTGGTGGTGGCGCTGCTGCTGCTGGTGGTGGCGCTGCTGGTGGTGGCACTGTTGGTAGTGCAGTTGGTGGTGGTGGTGCTGGTGGTGGCGCTGCTGGTGGTGGTGCTGGTGGTGGTGGCGCTGCTGGTGGTGGTGCTGGTGGTGGTGCTGGTGCTGCTGGTGGTGGTGGCGCTGCTGGTGCTGGTGCTGCTGGTGGTGGTGCTGGTGGTGGTGGTGGTGCTGGTGCTGCTGGTGGTGCTGGTGGTGCTGGTGCTGGTGCTGCTGCTGGTGGTGCAGCTGGTGCTGCTGCTGGTGGTGGCGCTGCTGGTGGTGGTGGTGCTGCTGGTGGTGGTGCTGCTGGTGGTGGTGCTGCTGGTGGTGGTGCTGGTGGTGGTGCTGGTGGTGGTGCTGGTGGTGGTGGTGGTGGTGCTGCTGGTGGTGCTGCTGGTGGTGGTGCTGGTGGTGGTGGTGCTGCTGCTGCTGGTGGTGCTGCTGGTGGTGGTGCTGCTGCTGCTGCTGGTGGTGGTGCTGCTGGTGGTGCAGCTGGTGCTGCTGCTGCTGGTGGTGCAGCTGGTGCTGCTGCTGGTGGTGGTGCTGGTGGTGCTGCTGCTGGTGGTGGTGCTGCTGGTGGTGCTGGTGGTGGTGGTGGTGCTGCTGCTGGTGGCGCTGCTGGTGGTGGCACTGGTGGTGGTGCTGCTGCTGCTGGTGGTGGTGCTGGTGGTGGTGCTGGTGGTGGTGCTGGTGGTGGTGGTGGTGGTGCTGCTGCTGCTGGTGGTGGTGGTGGCGCTGCTGGTGGCGGTTGCTCGACTGTGCGCTGCACTGGAGGCGGCACAAGGCTCTGCTCGTCCGTCTTCGTCATGAGGGAGCCTCTCTCCCAGTTATTTTTATTCCTTCTTAGCTGGGTGTTTGGGTTACAGTGCCTCCCTTGGCGGCTGCCACACACGCATGTTACACACACACGCAAGCACGCACGCACGCACTTGCTAGTGTTCCCTTACGTGCCAAGGTGCTAAATTTACAGAGCGCTGAGCCACATGTCGACAGGCTCCAGAGTGGCCACCCTGCTGGCCCCCCTCTTCCCTACTGGAGAAAAATCCCACGGCCACGCAACAATGACGGCCGCCCCGTCCTGCCTCCTCCGCTTACAACCAAGGGTGCCTTCTCAAAGGTTGTCCACCCCCCCGGCAGACAGCCTGAGCCCGTCACATGCACACGGAGACGCTTACACTCGCTCAGACGCGGAGACACACGGACACTGAGACACACGGACACTGAGACACACGGACACTGAGACACAAATTCTAGATTTGAAGCTTTCGTGACTGCAAGGATTCATACTCTTAGTTCTTTCGGTAAAGTCACGTAGGTAAAAAATGAAATTTAAATAAAACAATAAAAATCACGACGTTTCGGAGGCAAGACAAGTCTCCGTCATCAGGTGGGACCGTCACAGCCAGATTAGCTGCATCAAGTGAGGGAGGGATTCAGAGCTTACACCTTGAATCCCTCCCTCACTTGATGCAAGCTAATCTGGCTGTGACGGTCCCACCTGATGACGGAGACTTGTGTTGCCTCCGAAACGTCGTGATTTTTATGGTTTTATTTTAATTTTAATTTCATTTTTTACCTACGTGACTTTACCGAAAGAACTAAGAGTACTGAGACACAAAGACACATGCGACCTGCGTAGGTTTTATGGGGGGGGATCTTTGCCTTTATCCCGCACACATGCGGAGTGAAAGCGTGGGGCTCTCGCTGCTATTACTGCTGTTGCTACTACTGCCCTTGCGGGAGCTATTGCTACTTGTAACTACTACTGCTGCTTCTGCTGCTGCTGGTGCAGCAGGACCTTGTTGCCTGTAGGCACTGGGCGAGTGGGAGCACGGCGCCAGCGAGGACGTGAATTCCTACCCGTGCCGCACGGCCCTCCTCAGTGCTGCCTGTGGACGGGAGGGGCCCCTCGCATAGCTGTGGTGTCGCGTGTGGTTAAACTGGCTGTGCGGCATTACTGCACTCTGATGCATATGTTGGGAGGTTGGGGGGGGTGCAGGAGCATTTGGGAGGTGACACACACAGGGTTGTGACACTGAAGAGTGGCATAGGATGTCTATGAAGGGTGGCACGGTTGTGACGTGACACTCAAGGGCGGCGTGGTTGTGTCACTGAAGGATGGTGGGTAACACGGAAGGAACAGCACTTTTGTGGGCGACATTGAATGGTGGCACAGGGCAACAAGGAACGGTGGCAAGGTGGCACTCATGGATCGTATGAGAGTGACGTAGTTGACACAGAAAGGTGGCACCATTGTGACACTGGCGGGGGGGGGGGGGGCGACACGTGGTAACGGTGAAGGGTGGCACAGAGGCTGGCATGAAGGGGAGGGGTGTGACTTGGCACGTGCTGGCCCTGTTTTTGCTACAGCGGATGCTGCGTGAATGCCCTCCCGTCTGTTTATTAGAAATAGTTTTGAGTAATTAAGCAGAGTTAATCCAAGAGTGCGCGCCGTGTGAGTGGGTGCAGCAGGAGTGCTGGGTTGGTCTCGTGAGCTGTGTATATGTACGGTGTGTTTGTTTGTGTGCTCTGTGTGTGTGTGCACTGTGTATGTGTTCTGTCAGTTTAACACGTCGGCTTTCGCGACCAATATTATTCATAATAAAGGTTTTTGGGTGAGATCGCGTTATTTATAAATGTATCGTAACCCTCCACCACCTGACACGGCCAATCGGCAAAAAAGTGTCACGTTGACAAAAGACAAAATAGTTCACTACTTTAGCTCACCGGTGTGTTGAAGAGTGAAACCACAACATTTACAATTTTTGAGTAGTACGACGTTTCGCTGGTAATTGCATCCAGCATCATCGGGCAATTCGTCAGAATGTGTGTTATGTGTGTGTCTATGTCTTTGTGCTCTGGGCTCTGTTGGGCTGTGTATGTGTGCTGTGTATGACTTGTGTATATGAGTTGTGCGTGCATGTGCTGGGGTCTATGCTGTGTTTGTGTGCTGTGTGAATGCGCCTGGCACTGTTGGCTCTGGTGTTTACCTGGATGTTGTGCCCATAAGCGCTTTTATAGAGATAAAGATGTCCCTGCATAACAGATGGCCACTGTTCAGAGCGATGATGATGATGATGATATTGCTGCCGCTGTAATGCGGTTAATCCGATGGCCGTGGGCCGGCACTGCCTTGAGGATTAGTCCCCACGTGCTGTGCGCTGGGCTGGGTTAGCTTCTCCTCTTGCTCCCCTGCCTCCTCCCGAGGTCCCTCTACCTCAGAGGTCGCAACCGGGTACCCGATACCCGTACCCTACCCGATACCCGGCTACCTGTACCCGGCCGGGTACGGGTACCCGTTTGTGACCCTGTTGCGGCCGGGTACTGGTACGGGTAGGCCGTGAGTCACTGGTGAGTAACCGTTTGTCACTCATTTCCCAACGTCTTGTCTCTTCTCACAATTCAAGTTCCTAGAATCAACCCACCCGCGCCTGCAACATGGCTTCATCCCAGAGGTCGCAATCGGTTACCCGTACCCTACCCGATACCCGGCCGGGTACAGGTAGCCGGGTATCGGGTAGGGTACGGGTACCCGTTTGCGACCCTGGTGCGGCCGGGTACGGGTAAGGAATCAAAACCCGTTTGCGACCTCTGCTCTACCTCCACTGGGTCCCCACCTCAGGGTCCCAGTATATGCAACAGTTGCATCCCCATGGGTCCACATGAGTCCCCTTTCGTCCCTGTGCTTGCCCGCGTGTTCCCGTGCATCCTCATGTACTTCCCTGTGTTTCTCTGCATTCCTGTGTCTCCATGCGTCCCTGTGTGCGTGTTCTGCGTATGTCCTCGTGTCCTGTGTGTCTGTGTTCCGGGCGTACCCTTGCCACTCCGTGCATCCTGGTCTCCCACTGTGTCCCCTCGTGTCTCCCCTGTGTCCCAGGGTCCCAGGGTTGCCACCGTTTGAGGTACCAAACAACTGGGACGAATCGTGGGCAGAAGAATATCTCGCGATAGCAGACGAGAGGATAGCTATGAGCGAATGCATCGTCTTGATTGGGGCACCGTTGTTGTTGTTGATCACGCAGCTGGCAAACATCGTGACTTGTAATGTCCCTGCGAAGACTTTGAGCTTCCCCAGGAATACAGCTGCCTCCTCAACAAGAGGACAATCCCAGGAAAACCAGGACATGCGGTAGTAACCCCTCATGCGTCTCCCCTTGTCTCGCCGTGTGTTAGGCGTGGTGCGGGCAGTGGGCTGGGCGACCTGGGCTGAACCAGCGCTGGTGCTGTCTGTGTGCGGCCTGGTCTTCCTGTGCGTCCTGCTGGTCGCCTGCTCCTGGTGCCTGCCAAGAGCCATCCCGTTTAAGGTTGGTTTTTGCCAGCAGGCGTCTCGTCGCGTTGAGGAGCAGAGGTGGTGGTGGCTTGGTGTGTACTGATGCGTCGATTCAGCATTTTCCAATGGATTCTTGAAGTTAGTTGGTGATCTCAGCCTGATTCATCAATGTCATGTGGTCTCTACAGCTCCGCCGTCTCCTCGGTTCACCCGTCTGGTTGTGGTTGGACGGTCTTCATCGACCTGATGATGATGATGATGACGACGATCAATGATCCACAACAACAAAAAAAACATCACTTCAATTTGGTTGTGCACTTGATTTGGCGAAATTCCATCTCTGAGAATTTAAATATCGGTTCGACCGTCACGCGATGAACCACACTCTCAAATGCAGAGCGGGTGGGGGTGGGCTGCTCCCCACTGAGTGTTGACCAGAAGTCGCTTGAAGTGATCTCAGAGGTAACTCTGTGATATCCCCTTCCGTGGGCCGCTTCCTGGAGGGGGCTTGCACTTCTCCCCCAGAGGTTTCCGAATTGATTGTTGGTCCCGTGGATTCGATCGCGCCATCAGGGTAACATTGGGAAAAACAGGAGAGTCCTGGATTTGAAGCTTTCGTGACTGCAAGGATTCATACTCTTAGGTGTTTTCGGTAAAGTCACGTAGGTAAAAAATAAAATTAAAAGTTAATAAAAGTAATAATAGAAATAAAATAAAATTATGAATCACGACGTTTCGGAGGCAACACAAGCTTCCGTCTTCAGGTGGAAATTCCTCCCCGTAAAGGGTATTAATTCTAGATTTGAAGCTTTCGTGACTGCAAGGATTCATATTCTTAGGTGTTTTCGGTAAAGTCACGTAGGTAAAAAATAAAATTAAAAGTTAATAAAAGTAATAATGGAAATCAAATCAAATAATAAATCACGACGTTTCGGAGGCAACACAAGTCTCCGTCATCAGGTGGAACACAAGTCTCCATCATCAGGTGGAACCTGATGACGGAGACTTGTGTTGCCTCCGAAACGTCGTGATTTATTATTTTATTTTATTTCCATTATTACTTTTATTAACTTTAAATAGTATTTTTTACCTACGTGACTTTACCGAAAAAACCTAAGAGTAGGAAGGTCCTGCTACATTGGGTGTTTATTTTCAGATGTTTTCATCCAATTAATGACGAGTGTTCATCATCATTATTATTATACATGTGGCAGGAAACTGGAATACCCGTAGAAAACCCACGCCTTGCACAAGGGTGCAACGCTTTATCCCCGTACCGATGAACACACCTGTGGATACTTAAGCCGGGTCGACACCTGAGGCAACCAGTTGCCCAAGTCGGTCGCACGCAACCTAATCGCTTCTGTGCGAACCTCTCCGCAACCGGTTGCGAGCACCATTGGAACCTCATTTGCCAGTAAAAAATATGATAATTGGTTTTTTTACCCTTTAATCTGGCAACAAAACTGACACCTTTTTTTTACAGGGAGTCATGTTTGCATAGACCACAATACCTGCAGTCATAATGCAAACAAAAAACACAACTCTAATAATGTATGCACTGTCCTTGAAGTTGATTGGTCCACACCCGAGACAGCTTTCCTTAGAGCCTAGTCTCACATGGGTTGAACCAGATGACGCCAAAAGGCGCAAGTGACTGCAGGTGGTATTGTGGTCTATGCAAACATGACTCCTCGTAAAAAAGGTGTCAGTTTTGTTACCAGATAAAAGGGTAAAAAAACAATTATCGGTTGCGAGCAGTTGCACACCCAGCTGTAAACACTGGAGAAAAACTGTCTCGTGTCCGGCAGATCTCTCTTGCTGCTCAGCGGTTTGCAGCGACGGATTCCATCGCCACGCGACGAATTACCACCCATGGCTGTGCTCCCCGCCTGCACCAAACCGCTCTGACCAAACACAGCTTGGCCTCAGTCTAGATTTGAAGTTTTCGTGACTGCAGGAATCCACACTCGTTGGTTCTTTCGGTAAAGTCCCGTGGGTATAAAATAAAATAGATTAAATCGCGACGTTTCGGGCGCAACACAAGCGTCCGTCATCAAGTGGGACAACCACAGCAAGAAACAATTTGCCCATTTCAGCAATTGTTTCTGTCATTACATCTGTATGTTGAACTGCTTTCGCACCGTCTGTAGCCAATCAGAGGTGCGGCAGGAAGGACAACGAACTAAAGCGGTGCGAGTGTGAGCAAGTGAATGTGTCACCGTGGAGTGTACGGGACCCGAGTTCGTTTCCCGCTCACGACCATTAACAGCGGCGGATATTTTCACCGATCCTGGAGCTGTCTTAGCTCAGCTCAGCCCTAAATGAGTACCCGGTGCGGTGAGTAAACGTCAGCATTGCGGAGACTAAGGCGGCTGTGGGGTTGGTTCCGGCCACCCACCTCCTCGTGCGCCTTGCCAGCCTTAATAGGCGCTCGCTAACTGCACTCGCCCCAACAGTCTATTCAAGGCTACGCGGGGGTTACCTCCGTCTTTGTGTTTGTTGTTCGTGTTTAGTTTTAGTTTTGTCGTCCTTCCCCTGCAACTCCGATTAGCACGTACGCTGCAAAAGAAATTCAACGTATCTACACACACACACACACACGTGTGTGCGTGCGTGCGCAGGAGTTTGAGGACCCGCTGGCGGACGAGTTTGGCGCCGATGATTTCATTCCACCCGGAGAGGACACCCCCTCGCACCACGCAGGCCCCCTCGCCGCCCCCGGGTCTCCTGCTGGAGGCGACGACGGTGGCCGACGTGTACACGCTGCCCCGGCACCACGACCAGCAGCACCACGACGGTAGCGTACGGCCGCCGTGTGAGCCGTGCGGCACACGAGCGAGCCAGACCTGCGCTTGTCTGTGCATGTGGGTGTCTGCGTGCGTGCGTGCGTGCGTATACATGTGCGTGTGTACGGGCCTGGTGTTGCTGGCCACCCACCACCTTTATGTGCCGTGCCGGCCTTCATTAGGTGCTACTCGCAAACAGCACTTGCCCCAATGGTCTGTTACAGGCTATATGGTGGATCTTTGTTTTTCTCCATGCCTCTTGTGTAGGGAGCGGTGGCGCAGCAGTTAGCGCGCTGCGCTGCGAAATCAGCGACCCCAGTTCAATTCCCGCTCACGGCCAACAACAGTGACGATTATCTGAATGGGTCCCATGGGCCTCCTCGAGATCAACTGAGCCTCAAATGAGTAGCTGGTTTGGTGTGTAAACATCGCCACTAGAGAGCCAAAGATGGCCGGGCATGGTTCTGACCACACCGCCCTTCAATATGCCGCCCCGGCCTTTGTAGGTTCTCGCGAACAGCACTTGCCACAACAGCCGGTGAGGACTACATGGGCGATCTTTGTCTTTGTGTGCTGCAGGTGGTCACACAGCGGCTACCGTCAACCGGCAGAACATCAGCTACCTGCAGGAGCTCGGCAGGGGCTGGTTCGGCCAGGTGAGGCCTCCCAGCCCAACCCAGACCACGTGGTGGTCTTTGTGTGCTCTGTGTGTGCTGTGTGCTGTGTATGTGCTGTGTGTGACCTGTACGCTATGTGTGTGCTGTGTATGTGCTGTGTGTGACCTGTACGCTATGTGTGTGCTGTGTGCTGTGTATGTGATGTGTGTGACCTGTACACTATGTGTGTGCTGTGTATGTGCTGTGTGTGACCTGTACGCTGTGTGCTGTGTATGTGCTGTGTGTGACCTGTACGCTATGTGTGTGCTGTGGATGTGCTGTGTGTGACCTGTACGCTATGTGTGTGCTGTGTGCTGTGGATGCATGTATGCTGAACCTCTTTCGCGCCATACATAGCCGACCATGCCAATCGGAGGTGTGGGTGCTGTGTGTGGTATGTGCTGTGTTCTGCGTGCTGTGCGTTGGTTGCGCGCTGTGTGTGTGTGTTGAATGCAATGTATGAATGGCGTTTGACTTAAATGAACAGGGGTCTACGCAGTGAAATGACAATGAAGTTTCGAATGGAGGGAGTTTTTGTGTGTGTGTGTCGGGCGTGTCACTCTTAAGGGTGTGTCACTCTTAGGGGTGTGTCACTCTTAGGGGTGTGTCACTCTTAGGGGCGTGTCACTGAGAGGTGTTTCCTTATGAGGGGTGTGCCCTTATGAGGGGTGTGCTGTGTGTGTAGGCGTTGCTGGGAGAGACGTGTGACTGTGAGGGCTGTGTGTGTATGACTGTGTGTATGACTGTGTGTGTGACTGTGTGTGTGTGTGACTGTGTGTGTGTGACTGTGTGTGTGTGTGACTGTGTGTGTGTGTGACTGTGTGTGTGTGTGTGACTGTGTGTGTGTGTGACTGTGTGTGTGTGTGTGAGTGGGGAGCGGTAGTGTAGCGGTTAGCGCGCTGCGCTATGAACCTGGCGACCCGGGTTCGATTCCCGCTCACGGCTAACACCAGTGACGATTATCTGAACCGGTCCTGGGCCTCCCCTAGGTCGACTCAGCCTTAAATGAGTACCTGGTGCGGTGTGTAAACATCGCCACTAGGGAGACAAAGGCGGTCGGGCGTGGTGCTGGCCACCCACCCCCTCGTGTACCGTTCCGGCCTTCATAGGTGCTCGCTAACAGCACTTGCCCCTACAGTCTGTTCAGGCTATACGGGGGGATCTTTGTCTTTGTGTGTGACTGTGTGTGTGTGTGTGTCTGTGTGTGTGTGTGTGTAGGTGTTGCTGGGTGAGGTGTGTGACTGTGTGTGTGACTGTGTGTGTGTGTGACTGTGTGTGTGACTGTGTGTGTGACTGTGTGTGTGTGTAGGTGTTGCTGGGTGAGGTGTGCTCACAGCCGGGGGTCGGCCCTGTTGCCGTGCGTCAGCTGGAGCCTTCTGCCCGTCTCTCCGAGCAGACCCGCTTCCTACACGAAGTGCAGCCCTACAGGTGGCGCCCGCTCACCCTCACTCACCCCTCAACTCACCCCTCAACTCACCCCCGCTCATCCCCACTCACCACTCAACTCACCCCTCAACTCACCCCTCAACTCACCCTCACTCACCCCCGCTCACCCCTCACTCACCCCTCAACTCACCCCCACACACCCCTCACTCACCCACTCACTCACCCACTCACTCACCCTCACTCACCCACTCACTCACCCCTCAACTCACCCCTCAACTGACCCCTCAACTCACCCTCACTCACCCTCGCTCACCCCCGCTCACCCTCACTCACCCTCACTCACCCCTCAGCTCACCCCCGCTCACCCTCACTCACCCCTCACTCACCCCCGCTCATCCCCGCTCACCCTCACTCACCCCTCAACTCACCCCTCAACTCACCCCCGCTCACTCTCACTCACCCCCGCTCATCCCCGCTCATCCCCGCTCACCCCTCAACTCACCCCTCACTCACCCCTCAACTCACCCCTCAACTCACCCCTCAACTCACCCCTCAACTCACCCCCGCTCACCCTCACTCACCCTCGCTCACCCCTCACTCACCCCTCACTCACCCACTCACTCACCCTCACTTACCCACTCACTCACCCTCACTCACCCCTCACTCACCCACTCACTCACCCACTCACTCACCCCTCACTCACCCACTCACTTACCCACTCACTCACCCTCACTCACCCACTCACTCACCCCTCACTCACCCACTCACTCACCTTCACTCACCCTCACTCACCCCTCAACTCACCCCTCAACTCACCCCTCAACTCACCCCTCAACTCAACCCCGCTCACCCCTCAACTCATCCCTCACTCACCCCTCAACTCACCCCTCAATTCACCCCCGCTCACCCTCACTCACCCCCGCTCACCCCTCACCTCACCCCTCAACTCACCCCCGCTCCCCCTCACTCACCCCCGCTCACCCCCGCTCACCCCCACTCACCCTCACTCACCCTCACTCACCCCCGCTCACCCTCACTCACCCCTCAACTCACCCCCGCTCACCCTCACTTACCCCTCAACTCACCCCCGCTCATCCCCACTCACCCTCACTCACCCCTCAACTCACCCCCACTCAACCCTGCTCACCCCCGCTCACCCTCACTCACCCCTCAACTCACCCCCGCTCAGCCTCACTCACTCCTCAACTCACCCCCGCTCATCCCCGCTCACCCTCACTCACCCTCACTCACCCCTCAACTCACCCCCGCTCACCCTCACTCACCCCCACTCACCCCCGCTCATCCCCGCTCACCCTCGCTCACCCTCATCGACTTCCGCTCGTTGCCGCTCACACCTCGCTCGCTCGCTCCCGTTCAATCTCCGCCCGCCCCTGCTCACCCACCTCACTCGATCCCACTCCTCCCATGCTCACCCCCACTCACCCCCCCCAACCTCGCTTACCCCGCACACTCGCTGCGAGCGAGGATGACGCTTCCGAGAAAAGTGCACGGCCCCACGCTCCATTTCACTTCGAGAAATGACTCTTGTGTGCTGTCCCCCCCCCGTGCCCCCCCCCGTGCCCCCCCCCGTCCCCCCCCCCCGTGCCCCCCCCGCCCCCCCTGTGCCCAGGGCGGTGAGGCACGAGCATGTGCAGCGCTGCGTGTGTGTGTGCACCGAGGCCGTGCCGCTGCTCGCGATCATGGAGTTCTGCCCCATGGTGAGAGACGGCACCGCACCATCGCCGCCACCACCACACCGCCGCCGCCGTGTACACCGGTGCGGTTAGGGCGCGGTGTTAGGGAAGTGGACGGTGAGGGGGCGGGAGATGGTGAGGTTGATGGTGAGGGTGACGGCGATTGTGACAGTGCTGGGGTCGTTGAGAGTGGGGTGAGGGTGAGATTGTCGGTGAGTGAACCGCTGCGTGCGCGTGGGCTAGTGAGCACTTGGTGTGTTGAGTAAACATCGGCGATGGGGAGACAAAGGTGGCCGGGCGTGGTGCTCGCCACCGATCCCTTCGTGTGCCGTGCCGACCTTCATGGGTGCACGCTCACAGCACCTTGCCACAAAAGCGCCTCTCAAAGGCGTGCATGTGTGTGCGCACTGGCGGGAATTGAACCCGAGTCAAATTCCCGCTCACGGCGAAAATCAGTGGCTGTTATCTAAACCGGTCCTGGGCCTCCCCTAAATCGACTCATCCTCAAATGATTACCTGGTGCGGTGTGTGAACATCGCCACTGGGGAGACAAAGGCGGCCGGGCGTGGTGATGGCCACCCACCCCCTCGTGTGCCACAGCGCCGGCCTTGATCGGCGCTGCTCGCCAACAGCACTTGCCCCAAACGGTCCATTGAAAGCCGCGCGGGGGACCTTTGCCTGCGTTTGCGTGTGTGCGCAGGGGGACGTCAAGTCGTACCTGGCGGCGCGGGCCGGCGCCGGTGGGGCCGGCGAGACCGAGCGGTGCCGCATGGCCCGGCAGGTGGCGGCTGGGCTGGCTCACCTGCACCAGCAGGGCTTCGTGCACCGGTACGGTGGCGGCCGCACTGTCAACCCCCCCCTCCCCACTCCTCCTCCACACCTGCGCAGCGCAAAACGTCACGGCCGTGCGGTTTGCTTCCCATGAGAACAACCGTCGCTGCACTTGTTGTTGTGCTGTTGTGTCGTATCGTGCTGTACGGTGCGATACTGTATCACCGCAATGTATCGTGCTGCACCGTGCGATGCTGTATCACCGCATTGCAATGAATCCGCGTGCAGGGACCTCGCCCTCAGGAACTGCCTGTTGAGCACCGACCTCACGGTGAAGATCGGCGACTACGGCATCGGTCTTGACAAACACCCGGTACGTCCACACACGACCCCCGCCGCCAACGAGTGAGCGGGTGGGTGGCTGAGCGGTTGAGAGAGCGAGTGAGCGAGCGAGTGAGAGAGTGAGCGAGTGGGTGACTGAGTGAGAGAGTGGGTGAGTGATTGAGAGAGAGGGTGAGTGATTGAGAGAGAGGGTGAGTGATTGAGAGAGAGGGTGAGTGAGTGAGAGAGTGGGTGAGTGGGTGGCTGAGTGAAAGAGTGGGTGAGTGCCTGAGGGAGAGGGTGAGTGATTGAGAGAGAGGGTGAGTGATTGAGAGAGAGGGTGAGTGAGTGAGCGAGTGGGTGGCTGAGCGAGTTAGAGGGTGAGTGATTGAGAGAGAGGGTGAGTGAGTGAGAGAGAGGGTGAGTGATTGAGAGAGAGGGTGAGTGAGTGATTGAGAGAGTGAGCGAGTGAGAGGGTGAGTGAGTGATTGAGAGAGTGAGCGAGCGAGTGAGAGGGTGAGCGAATGGGTGGCTGAGTGAGAGAGTGGGTGAGTGAGTGAGAGAGAGGGTGAGTGAGTGAAATAGAGGGTGAGTGAATGAGGCAGAGGGTGAGTAATTGAGAGAGAGGGTGAGTGAGTGAGAGGGTGAGCGAGTGAGTGAGTGGGCGGCTTAGAGAGAGGGTGAGAGGTTCTGACAGGGAGTGATTGAGTGAGTGAGATGTGGAGTGGTTGAGTGACAAGTTGAGTGTGTGTGTGTGTGCGCGAGAGAGGTTTAGGGAGTGAAAGTCTTCGAGTCAGTGAATAAGTGAGTGTGTAAGCGAGTGAGAGGTTCAGACCATGTGTGATTGGGTAGGTGAGAGGCCAGGTGTGTTTTTGAGTGGTTGGGTGGGTGAGAGGTTGAGCAAATCGTAATCTCACGATTTCAAAATAAAAATAAATAAGAAAAATGATGAAAATGATAATAGAAATAAATGATAATAGAAATTTATTTAGATTTTTACCTACGTGACTTTACCGAAAAACCTAAGAGAATGAATCCTTGCAGTCACGAAAGCTTCAAATCTAGAATCACAATTTCATGCCTCATGTCCTCCCTACGACCCCATTCCCCGTGTCCTCCCCGTGACCCCTTGACCCCGCGACCCCCGTGACCCCCGTGACCCGTAGGACGACTATGTGGATCTGGGAGTGGGTGACCCCGTGGCCGTGCGGTGGCTCGCCCCGGAGCTGCTGCTCAACCTCAACGCTCAACCCCGCGCCGCCCCACAGAGCGCCCCGGGGAACGTGTGGTGAGTCTCTCGCCTCTCGCCGCACCCGCTCACCACCCGTGCTCTCGCCACTGTCCACTCCCCAACCTCAGCGAGTCCGGTTTGTAAACCATTTTATCACTCACCACTGACGCTCACCACCCGTGCTCTCGCCACTGTCCACTCCCCAACCTCAGCGAGTCCGGTTTGTAAACCATTTTATCACTCACCACTGACGCTCACCACCCGTGTTCTCGCCACTGTTCACTCCCCAACCCCAGCGAGTCCGGTTTGTAAAACATTTTCTCACTCACCACTGAAGCTCACCACCCGTGCTCTCGCCACTGTTCACTCCCCAACCCCAGCGAGTCCGGTTTGTAAAACATTTTCTCACTCACCACTGACGCTCACCACCCGTGCTCTCACCACTGTTCACTCCCCAACTCCAGCGAGTCCGGTTTGTAAACCATTTTATCACTCACCACTGACGCTCACCACCCGTGTTCTCGCCACTGTTCACTCCCCAACCCCAGCGAGTCCGGTTTGTAAAACATTTTCTCACTCACCACTGACGCTCACCACCCGTGCTCTCGCCACTGTTCACTCCCAAACCCCAGCGAGTCCGGTTTGTAAAACATTTTCTCACTCACCACTGACGCTCACCACCCGTGCTCTCGCCACTGTTCACTCCCCAACCTCAGCGAGTCCGGTTTGTAAACCATTTTCTCACTCACCACTGACGCTCACCACCCGTGCTCTCACCACTGTTCACTCCCCAACCTCAGCGAGTCCGGTTTGTAAACCATTTTCTCACTCACCACTGACGCTCACCACCCGTGCTCTCACCACTGTCCACTCCCCAACCCCAGCGAGTCCGGTTTGTAAACCATTTTATCACTCACCACTGACGCTCACCACCCGTGCGCTCGCCACTGTTCACTCCCCAACCCCACCGATTCCAGTTAGTAAAACCATTTTATCACTCACCACTGACGCTCACCACCCGTGCTCTCACCACTGTTCACTCCCCAACCCCAGCGAGTCCGGTTTGTAAAACATTTTCTCACTCACCACTGACCCTCACCACCCGTGCTCTCACCACTGTTCACTCCCCAACCCCAGCGAGTCCGGTTAGTAAACCATTTTATCACTCACCACTGACCCTCACCACCCGTGCTCTCGCCACCGTTCACTCCCCAACCCCAGCGAGTCCGGTTTGTAAAACCATTTTATCACTCACCACTGACGCTCACCACCCGTGCTCGCCACTGTTCACTCCCCAACCCCACCGATTCCGGTTTGTAAAACATTTTATCACACATCCGTATCGCTCACCACCTCCTGTGCTCACCACTGACGCTCACCACTGACGCTCACCACTGACGCTCACCACCTGTGCTCACCACCGGCGCTTACCACCGGCACTTGCCACCAACGCTCGCCTGAGAGCCGGACTGATCTTCCTGAGGTCAGCCGCCGAGAAAATACCCAGCACGCAACATCCAGCGTCCCTTTTCACATTGGCGATGGCTGCGTGACGTGTCCCTGACCGCTGTACTGCCCTGCTTGCCGCGCCGTGCAGGGCGCTGGGAGTGACGCTGTGGGAGCTGCTCGAGTCCGGCGCTCGTCCCTATGGCTCCATCTCCGACGCGGACGTGCTCTCGGCTCTCGCTCGCGACTCCCTGCCGCGCCTCCCGCGACCCGCACTGCGCTCCGCCAACACCGAGCAGTGGTACGGTCCGATTTGCGGCAGTGGGTTGTGATTTTCGTTGGTATGGACCAATTGCGTTGGTACGTTCCGATTGCGTTGGTACGGTCCGATTGCGTTGGTACGTTCCGATTGCGTTGGTACGTTCCGATTGCGTTGGTACGGTCCGATTGCGTTGGTACGTTCCGATTGCGTTGGTACGATCCGATTGCGTTGGTACGGTCCGATTGCGTTGGTACGATCCGATTGCGTTGGTACGATCCGATTGCGTTGGTACGATCAGATTGCGTTGGTACGATCAGATTGCGTTGGTACGATCAGATTGCATTGGTACGATCAGATTGCATTGGTACGATCCGATTGCGTTGGTACGGTCAGATTGCGTTGGTACTTTCCGATTGCGTTGGTACGATTCGATTGCGTTGGTATGATCCGATTGCGTTGGTACGGTCCGATTGCGTTGGTACGGTCCGATTGCGTTGGTACGTTCCGATTGCGTTGGTACGGTCCGATTGCGTTGGTACGTTCCGATTGCGTTGGTACGGTCCGATTGCGTTGGTACGTTCCGATTGCGTTGGTACAGTCCGATTGCGTTGGTACGATTTAAAGCTTTCGTGACTGCAGGGATTCATCGTCTTGGTTCTTTCGGTAAAGTCACGTAGAAGGAAAACAACAAAACAACAAAAATAAAACATAATCAAATTATTCTCACGACGTTTCGGCCACAACGCGCTCTTCGCCCCTCCATCCCAGCATAAATAGTCGCTCCAAGCCTGGGGCGTGCCATTCAGACTCTGTCTACTTGACAGACCTGTTCTCCACCTGAAGACGGCTGCTTGCGTTGTGGCCGAAACGTCGTGAGAATAATTTTATTATGTTTTATTTTTGTTGTTTTCCTTCTACGTGACTTTGCCGAAAGAACCAAGACGATGCGTTGGTACGTTCCGATTGCGTTGGTACGTTCCATTTTGTAGTAGTTCTGACCAGCTGCTTGCAGTGGCACTGACTATCTGCTTGAGGTGGTCTGGCCCATTTGCAGTCGTACAATCCACGTGCGGTGGTATGATCCACTTTCAGTGATCAGCTTTGGCTGCCTGCGAAAGGATGGGTTACCTGCAGTCGTACAGTCTGCTCCCCTATAGTGGTACGATCATATAGAGGCACAGTCCTATAGTGGTACGGTCCTAGAACAGTACCAGTCCTTGAGTTTTTTTTTTATCCTATAGAGACGCGGTCCTATAGTGGCGTGGTCCTATCGTGGAACTGTCGTATATAGGTACGTTCCTATAGCAGTATGGTCCTATCGCGATACGGTTCTATAGCTGGTGCCGATGGTGAGTGAGTGGTGTTGGCTGGTGCTGATGGTGAGTGAGTGGTGTTGGCTGGTGCTGATGGTGAGTGAGTGGTGTTGGCTGGTGCCGATGGTGAGTGAGTAGTGCCGATGGTGAGTGAGAGGTGCCGGCTGGTGCCGATGGTGAGTGAGTGGTGCCGGCTGGTGAGTGAGTGGTGCCGATGGTGAGTGAGTGGTGCCGGCTGGTGCCAATGGTGAGTGAGTGGTGCCGATGGTGAGTGAGTGGTGCCGGCTGGTGCCGATGGTGAGTGAGTGGTGTTGGCTGGTGCCGATGGTGAGTGAGTGGTGCCGGCTGGTGCCGATGGTGAGTGAGTGGTGCCGACTGGTGCCGATGGTGAGTGAGTGGTGTTGGCTGGTGCCGATGGTGAGTGAGTGGTGCCGGCTGGTGCCGATGGTGAGTGAGTGGTGCCGATGGTGAGTGAGTGGTGTTGGCTGGTGCCGATGGTGAGTGAGTGGTGCCGATGGTGAGTGAGTGGTGCCGGCTGGTGCCAATGGTGAGTGAGTGGTGCCGATGGTGAGTGAGTGGTGCCGGCTGGTGCCGATGGTGAGTGAGTGGTGCCGATGGTGAGTGAGTGGTGCCGGCTGGTGCCAATGGTGAGTGAGTGGTGCCGATGGTGAGTGAGTGGTGCCGGCTGGTGCCGATGGTGAGTGAGTGGTGCCGGCTTGTGCCGATGGTGAGTGAGTGGTGTTGGCTGGTGCCGATGGTGAGTGAGTGGTGCCGATGGTGAGTGAGTGGTGCCGGCTGGTGCCGATGCTGCCCCCGGCAGGTACGAGGTGCTGCTCTTCTGCTGGCTGGGCAAGGAGCAGCGCCCGTCTGCTAGCGAGGTGCACCAGCTGCTCGCGCACCTTCAGGGGGACAAGCAGCAGCAGCAGGAAGAGGAGGAGGAGGAACACCGGGAGCTCTTGCAGCAAGCGGCACTGCTTGAAGCGCAGCCCCAGCAGCAGCCGCAGCAGCAGCAGCAGCAACAGCAGAGCAGCTTCGAGGAGCGGTGGAACGCGCTGGCGCCGCCGTCGCAACTGCCGGGGGGCCTCGAGCAGCAGGCCGACCTAGCCGGCCTCACCGCGTATTTCCCGCCATCGCCCGCCGTCACCGCCGCCAGCGCCGGCGGCGCCGGGTTGGGTTCCGCCTTCCCTCTGCTGCAGCCGATCGGGGGGAGAGCGTTGCCGCAGGGCGCCGCGTGCGAGCGGCCCGGCGCCCTGGAGGCGAGCTGGTGGGAGCCGCCACCCGTAGGTCCCGTCGGCACCGCCGGCACCGCCGCCGCCACCGCCGGAGGAGGAAACCCGTTCCTGGAGCGGCTGGAGCTGGCGCCGGGTCCGGAGCGGCGGGTCTCACCGGACCCCGTGCCGGCCGTGCCCGTAGGCACGAGAGCGGTGACCCTGGGCGGTTCACACCTCGGCGAGTCCAGTACCGACCCCGGCTTGAACGGCGCCTTGTGGGATCACGCGGCGGGCGCCGGTGCCGGCGGCGGCGGCACCAGTGGTGCGGCGCGGGACCCACTGCTGGGGCTGCTCACCACCGATCGGCTGCAGGACAACTACTACTACCTGAAGAACACGGCGCTCATCAAAGAGTCGGCGCGATCGGGGGGGGTGCAGGCGCGGGCGGCGCAAGCTGGAGGGGGGGCGGAGGCCTCGCTGTGGGGGGGAGGGGAGAACGCTCCGGCAGGGTTGGCCGCTTCGACCGGCACGGCCAGCCCACCCGACTCGACTGGCTCGATGCAGCCACGCAGCGTGGCTAGCCCACCTGACTCAGCGCGTCCATCCAATTCAACGAGTCCACACTTGGCCTTGCCTCACTCGGCCAGCCTGCATGGCTCAACCACCGTGGCTGACATATCCACTCTGCCAGACAAGACACAGCCCAGCTCAATCAATCATCCTGACTCAACCCCCATCAATGACTCACTTTTGCTCGACTCAACACACCCACCTAACTCAATCAGTCCACCTCACTCAACCTCCATGGCTGACTCACTTTTGCTTGACTCAACAGACCCACGGAAGTCAACCAGTCATCCTGACTCAACCACCATCAATGACTCACTATTGCTCGACTCAACAGACCCCCGGAACTCACCCAGTCATCCTGACTCAACCACCATGGCTGACTCACTTTTGCTTGACTCAACAGACCCACGGAACTCACCCAGTCATCCTGACTCTACCTCCATGGCTGACTCACTTTTGCTCGACTCAACAGACCCACCAAACTCAACCAGTTCACCTCACTCAACCACCATCAATGACTCACTTTTGATTGACTCAACAGACCCACCGAACTCACCCAGTCATCCTGACTCAACCTCCATAGCTGACTCACTTTTTCTCGACTCAACAGACCCACGGAACTCACCCAGTCCACCTCACTCAACCACCATCAATGACTCACTTTTGCTTGACTCAACAGACCCATGGAACTCACCCAGTCATCCTGACTCAACCACCACGGCTGACTTAGCCCCTCTCGCTGACTCAACTTATCCACCCCGATCAACCAGTCCACTGGGTCCACCCCCTCTGGTCGACTCGCCCGACTCAACCGTTGTCCCTCGCTCAACCCATCCACCGGAATCCTCTCACCTGCCGGAGTCATCCCTTCCCACGGAATCGACCAGTCCACCTGACTGGAACCTTCTTAGTCACTCAGCCAGTCCATCGCACTCCACCCCTCTTACCGCTCCCACACGTCCACCCGACTCAACCGCTCTGCTTGAACCGACCCTTCCCTCGGAGTCGGTCACTCCGGCCGATGTAACATGTCCTCCCATCTCGACCCATCTACCCAAGTCCACCGCTGTGCCAACCACTCTCGCAGAGTCGACCCCCCGGACCAACTCAACCTCTCCGCCTGAATCTACTCTCCGCCCAGCCTCATCCGTTCCCGCTACATCAGTCACTCTCGCAGAGTCGACCGCACGGACCAACTCAACCGTTCCACCCGAGTCCACCCCTCCACCTGCCTCCTCCTTTCCCTCCGCATCAAGCACCCCCGCAGAGTCCACCACCCCACCCATCAACTCGACCTCTCCTCCACCCTCCTCCACCCCGCCGATTGACCCGACCCCGCCACCCAACGGGGTGCGGGTGGGGAGGGAGGTCCTCTTGCCGAGTCGCCCGCCGCCTCCACCGCCACCCGCCACGGCCGTGCCCCCCCACGTGACCCCCCACGTGACCCCCCACGTGACCCACCACGTGACTCAGGAGGAGCTCAACACCAACAACAACAACCGGTGGAGTGGCGGTGGCGGCGGCGGCGTCGGGGCCCTGCCCGCACCGCCGCCCAACAACGACTGGAGCCTGTTGCCGGACCTGACGCCACCGTCGCCGCTCACGTCGCCCAGCATCGGCGACCCGCGCGACGAGCTCGACGAGGCCGGCGAGGGAGAGGGCAAGTTCGCGGCGATGGTGCCGCCGGGCGTGCCTTTCCAGCAGCAGCAGCAGCAGCTCGTCGTGTGCCGGCCGCTGCTGCAGGCGGACGAACAGGCCGGCGTGCGCAAGTCGTTGTACCGCGACTCGGCGTACTTCTCCGACCTGGAGCTGGACAAGCACGGCGGGGGCGGGGGGGGCGCGGAGACGCCCGTGCCAGCCGGCGACGGCGACGACGACGGGACGAAGAGGAACGGCGCCGGCCCGGAGCGGCGGCACGACGTTGACGACGACGACGACGATGACGACGTGTCGAGCGCCTCGTCGCTGGAGGAGGTTCTCACGGGCGGAACGGAGTCTCACGACGACGACGACGATGACGACTTTGACGCGGGCGGCGTAGGCGGCGGTGCGGGGGACCGTGACGAGTTCTTGAACTCGAATCCCTTCGAGGGGGGATTCGTGGCTCCGGCCGGGATGAGCGAGAGGGACGCGGGGCAAGCGCTCGGGGGGGAGACGGACGACGAGGTGACGGAGAACGACGGGACGGACGGGGAGACGCGGCAGGCCAAGCGTTCCGAGGCGGACGCGGCGGGGGGCGGCGCGGAAGAAGCGACGCAGCACGGGGACGACGGAAGGGACGCGAGGGGGGACGTGGGGATGGCGGGACACGCCGGGGACGCGCCGGGGAACGGGGTCGCGGACGACGCCGCCGCGACGGAGACCCCCACCAACCCCTTCGACATCCCCTTCATCGACGCGGAAGACGGCGTGTCGGACGAGGAGGCCGTCAGCGGCGGGTACGGCCTGCGCCCGGGCCTGGACGACGACGATGAGGACGACGACGATGATGACGAGGAGGACGACGATGAGGAGGACGACGAGAGCTGGGACAGTGACGAGGACTGGGGCCCCGTGCCCGAGGTGGTGATGGAGGAGGATGTGGCGCGCGCGCTCAAGGGGCTGCTCAAGCGGCCACGGGGACCGGCGCACTCGCACGGCAAGCGCGTGCGCTTCTTCGACGACGTCACGGTGCATCTCTTCAACAAGGTGCGGGGCCCCCGCGCGCTCTCTCACCGTACACTCTCACCGCTCTCTCACCGCACACTCGCCGCACGCTCACCGCACTACGGTCTTAACAGCGCAGCGTGCTAACCGCTGCGCTCGCTGCTCCCAACACTAGAGGCACGGAGAAAGGCAAAGATCCACCGTATAGCCTGTAACAGACCGTTGGGGCAAGTGCTGTTTGCGAGTAGCACCTATGAAGGCCGGCACGGCACACAAGGGGGTGGGTGGCCAGCAACACCATGCCCGTACACACGCACGTGTATACGCACGCACGCAGACACCCACATGCACAGACAAGCGCAGGTCTGGCTCGCTCGTGGGCCGCACGGCTCACACGGTGCCGTTGCTACCGTCGCGGCAGAGGTCGCAAACGGGTTTTGATTCCTTACCCGTACCCATACCCGGCCGCACCAGGGTCGCAAACGGGTACCCGTACCCGGCCGTACCCTACCCGTAGGGTACGGGTATCGGGTACCTGATTGCGACCTCTGGGATCAAGCCATGTTGCAGGCGCGGGTGGGTTGATTCTAGGAACTTGAATTGTGAGAAGAGACAAGACGTTGGGAAATGAGTGACAAACGGTGACTCACCAGTGACTCACGGTCTACCCGTACCCGGCCGCACCAGGGTCGCAAACGGGTACCCGGGTACGGGTAGGGTACGGGTATCGGGTACCCGGTTGCGACCTCTGTGTCGCGGTGCTGCTGGTCGTGGTGCCGGGGCAGCGTGAACACGTCGGCCACCGACGTCGCCTCCAGCATCGTATGGCCTTGTAACAGACCATTGGGGCAAGTGCCGTTGACGAGTAGCACCTATGATGGGCAGCAGGGCACGCGAGAGCTACGTGGCCAGCACCACGCCCGACCGCCTTTGTCTCCCCGTTGTCGATGTTTACACATCGCAGCAGGGACTCGTTTGAGGCTGCGTCAAGCTCGGGGGCCCAGGACCGGTTCAGATAATCATCACTGGTGTTAGCCATGAGCCGGCGTCGAACTGGAGCCGCCGGGTTCGAAGCATAGCAGGCTAACCGCCACACAGAAATACCTAGATTTGAAGCTTTCGTGACTGCAAGGATTCATACTCTTAGTTCTTTCGGTAAAGTCACGTAGGTAAAAAATGAAATAAAAATTTATAAAAATATAATAAATTAATAAAAATATTTGTATTAATTTTAATTTCATTTTTTACCTACGTGACTTCACCGAAAGAACTAAGAGTACACAAAAATACCCACAGAGAAACGTTTTAAAGACACACGCGCACACACACGCAGACACATCCACAGAGAGACACGCGCGCGCGCACACACGGCACGCGGCGTCCACGCCCTCACCGGGCTGCGTGTGTCCGCACGCCGGTTCCCCAGGCCTTTCCCACCAGCAGCCTGGTCGGCAGCGACGCGTGCGACCACGGCAAAAGCGGCGGCGCTAACAGCGTCGGCGGCGGCCGCCTGCACGTGACCGCAGGGGGAGTCCACGCCGGCGGCCCCCCCTCCCACCCCTCCCGCCCCGCCCGCCCACTCGGCGCGGACCGCTGCAGCTCAGACGACTCCTCCGAAGACGGTGAGGGCACGCAGCTGTTGGTCGCAATGAAAGCGGCCTGCGACGGAATCGCCGACCTTGCTGATATTAGCCAATCGAATGAAGGGGGGCGGTGGGGGGGCACGTGCCACGTCATTCGATTCGCGGATCGCAGCGATTAACCCGTCAATTATGATGAACCCGGTGTTTCTGACGTTTGTTTATTATGGATCGACTGAGCGGAACCGATATAATTTATCTCGGTTAACGATCAACAATACCCAAAGCGACGCCCACTTCCATATATGGGCAAATCTCTGATGGGTGATTTTGTCGGGTGTACGATTTTATTGTATTGCAGCGCCACTCTGTGTCTCTGCGGCCCCGTGTCTCTGTGGCGCCGTGTCCTATGCGTGCCCGTGTCTGTGTCTCCATGTCTCTGTTGTCTCCTGTGTGTGTGTCTCTGTATATCTGTGGGCCCGTGTCTGTGTCTCCATGTCTCTGTTGTCTCCTGTGTGTGTGTCTCTGTATATCTGTGGGCCCGTGTCTGTGTCTCCATGTCTCTGTTGTCTTCTGTGTGTGTCTCTGTATATCTGTGGGCCCGTGTCTGTGTCTCCATGTCTCTATTGTCTCCTGTGTGTGTGTCTCTGTATATCTGTGGGCCCGTGTCTGTGTCTCCATGTCTCTATTGTCTCCTGTGTGTGTGTCTCTGTATATCTGTGGGCCCGTGTCTGTGTGTCCATGTCTCTATTGTCTCCTGTGTGTGTGTGTCTCTGTATATCTGTGGGCCCGTGTCTCTGTGGTCACATGTCTGTGCATCCCCGTGCCTGTGTCGCAACGCCTCGGTGTCCCCTTTGTGCGAGGCTCTGTGTCCCCATGTCTTTGTGCCTCTGGGCCTCCGGTGTCTCCGCGTCTCTGCATCTCAGAGGTCGCAACCAGGTACCCGATACCCGTACCCTACCCGATACCCGGCTTCCCGTACCCGGCCGGGTACGGGTACGGGAAGCCGATTCCGACCCTGGTGTGGCCGGGTACGGGTAGGCCGTGAGTCACCGGTGAGTAACCGTTTGTCACTCATTTCGGGTAGGGTACGGGTACGGATAGGGTACGAGTAGCGTACGGGTACCCGTTTGCGACCCTGGTGCGGCCGGGTACGGGTAAGGAATCAAAACCCGTTTGCGACCTCTGCTGCATCTCTATCCCCTCGTCCGCCTGACTCCGTGTCCCCGCGTCCCCCCCGTCCACCCCGCTCGTCGCAGGAAGCGGCTTTGAGTGGGACGACGAGCTGATGCCGGGGGGGATACGGCCGCCCCCTGTGCTGCGAATCGCGCGGCCCTCGCGGCCCCCCCCACCTCCCCCCCGCCACCGGCCCCCTGACCCCCCCACGGCGGCGGTCGCCCTGCCCCTCCGCCGGGCGCCCCCCGTGCCCCTCCTGCCCCCCGCGGCCAGCATCCTCTCCACCTCCCCCCCGCGGCTCAAGCTGTCGGACCCCGCGGCCCTGATCCAGTCTCGACTCAGCGGCTCCCCGGGGCTCTCCTTCACCCATGTCAGCGAGTCCGACGTGGAGTCTCCTCCGGGTGAGTGGCCGGGAGGATAGCCCGCTCATCTCTTCTCGCTCGCAAGCTCGTTCACCCGCTCGCTCGCGCGCTCGTTCACTTGCTCGCTCACCTGCTCGTTCACCCGCTCACCCGCTCACCTGCTTGCTCGCCCGCTCGTTCACCCGCTCACCCGCTCGCTCGCTCACCTGCTCGCTCACCTGCTCGTTCACCCGCTCACCTGCTCGCTCGCCCGCTTAGCCGTGCACCGCACCGACTTTGCTCACCCACTCACCTGTTCACAAGATCAGCCACTGCCCCTCTCACCCACTTGCTCATGTGCTCACCTACTCACTCATCTGCTTGCTCATACACTCGCTCACCCACACACTCACAATGCTCGTTGACTCACCCATTACCTAGCTCGTTGACTCGCCCACCTACTCTCTCGCCTGCTCGCTCATGGCTTCCTCGCCTACTCGCTCACCCACCTACTCACCCGTTGTACTGCTCACCTATTCAATCACCCGCTCAATCATCTGCTCGCTTGCAAGCTCATTCAGGCTCATTCACCTACCCACTTACCTATTTGCTCACCCGCCCACTCACCTGCTGGCTCTGCTTCTCACTCATAAGCTTACTCGTAGGCTCACTCATCTACTCACTTCACTGACCCACTCGTTCATCTATTCACCCACCCGCTTGGTCACCCACTCGTGCATAAATTTGCCCACCCGCTCACTAAACCACTCCCATAACTACTAATTTGTCCACTCGCTGCGTGTGCGTTCGCGTGCGCACGTGTAGTGGTAGCGGTTAGCGCACCGCACTACCAACCCGGCGACCCGAATTCGATTCCCGCTCACGGCCGACACCAGTGACGATTATCTGAACCGGTCCTGGGCCTCCCCTACGTCGGCTCAGCCAGACACGAGCACCCGGTGCGGTGTGTAAACATCGCCGCTGGGGAGACAAAGGCGGCCGGGCGTGGCGCCCATCAACCCACCTCATTGTGTGTCATAGTTGCAACTCGGCACTTGACCCAGAAGTCTGTTAAGGTTCTTTGTCTTGTGTGTGTGCAGGAAGTAGCGAGGAGGGCGATGGGAGCTGAGGTGGCGGTTGTGGCCGCCCCCCCCCCCACCCCCGCCGGCTCCCATGTGGCCGACTCACGGCCGGCGCGTTGAGCGCCATCGCTCGGAGCTTCACCGAGTGGCGGCGTATTTCCGCACCCGGCACACCACATCCAGTATACACCTCGCTATGGGCCTGTGGCTTATTACGAGTCACGGGCCACCCACTGGGAAATGTTCAGGGAGAGGTTGGCCTCCGGAGCGCGTTCGCACTCGCTCACGCACGCGGACACACACAGAGACAAAGATCCCCCCCATAGCCTTCATCAACTGTTGGGGCAAGTGCTGTCAGCGAGCAACTATGAAGCCCAGCGCAGTACACGAGGGGGTGGGTGCCCAGCACCACCCCAAACCACCCTTTGTCACACACACGCAGACATACACACACACACGCGCACACACACATACGTGCAGACACGCACACGTGTGCGACTGCATGGAGGCACTCTATGTTTCTTGAATTTCTTTCGCACCGTACGTAGCCGTCGGTGCGGGTACAGAGCAAGTTTTTGTTGTCCTTCCCCGACTACGTACAAGAGAATTTCAACACACATACAAGTGGAACTGATGCTGCTGCTGCTGTTGATGCTGCTGCTGCTGATGATGATTTTGTTGGTTGAGCGCCATGCGTCTGTGCACTGTACGTGTGTGTACAGTGTATATAAATATATATATAATCTACGCTTTATCAAAATGCTTCAAACTGCGCCACTCTCCACCTCCTCTGTCCACCCAGAAGTACAAATGGGTTCATCACAGCCGATGGGTAAAGTGTGGCCACTCCGACCTCTCCAAAGACGTTTGCACAATGCAAGAGGAGCACAGCGAATCCCACTCTCGCGGCGGCGTGCGCAGAAAATTGCAGGACTGAGCCTTTACCCTTCACTTTTTATTTCATCAAAATGCGACCGAGCGGCCGAGCGAGGCGTGGGGGGGGGTGGGGGGGCACGGCCCTTAACTTGATTCCTGGAAACTACACGACGGCATGACGGGGCCAAGTCTGTCCGTGACGCCGCAGTGAACGGTGACGTCGGGCCCCCCCCCCCCAGCGTCTTGTCAAGCGCGGAGCTACGGCGGCCGTGACGATGACGAGGAGGACGAGGGTGGGATTGGAGCGGCAGTCGTCCGTCCACGCGCACACACACACGCGTGTGTTCCCGCACTCGTCGGGGAAGGGGAAACCAAGACCCTCGCCCACCTGAACCTGAATCCGGCCCGAACCTTAAACCCTTATCCAGGCTTCGACCCCCAACCCGGGCCCTGATCCTGGTCCTAACCCATAACTGTGACCCCAACATTGCGGCTAAGACTCGTCCTGACCCAAACCCGAACACTTACCCCCTAACCCTGGCCACAAGTGATCCTCATCTCAACCCCTTGCTTGCTTTTAACCCAACCCTGCCCTTAACGCTAACCCCAAACCCGACCCTCACACTGATCCTGCCCATTGACCCCCCGCTCTGACATGCTGCCCCCCCCCCCCCCCCCCGAGCCTTTTGGGGAGTCACACCGAGGCTCGAAGAAGCACAGTCGCACAAAGCGCGCGGTCAATGCATCCCCCTTCACCTGCCAGCACCTGCCAGCACCTGCTGCGAGATCCCTGGGGGGAGGGCGGGCGGTAGGGTTAGGGGTCAGGACAAGTTGGCATGGCAGGGGGGCCGCCCTTTGGCTGATGAAACTCGTTCTGTGGGCCCGGTTCCGTTGTGAGATTTTTCCGGTCGCTGTACAGACGAAACCAAGTGTTGACTGCTGTGTGTGTTGTGTGCGTGTGTATAATAATTATTGTTGTTATGATCGTTACTGGTTCTATATCGTCATTGATTTTATTAGCGATGGAGATTCTAGCGATGTGCTTGTGTTTCAACGAGACGCGCGCGTTTTTAAGTGTGAATGTGAACGGTTCGGGGTGGGTGTGTGTGACTGTGTGAGTGTGGTCAGGGGGGAAACGCCTCCCAACACTCATTGTGGGTTAACTTTGTAAAAATGCTGGGCAGCCCGGAGATGGGTACACTTTGTAAAGATGCTGGTTGCCATGGCAAGCCTGGATATGGGTACACTTTGTAAAGATGCTGGTTGCCATGGCAATACGGAGATGGGTACACTTTGTAAAGATGCTGGTCGACCCGGAGATGGGTACACTCTGTAAAGATGCTGGACAACCCAGAGATGGGTACACTCTGTAAAGATGCTGGGCAACCCGGAGATGGGTACACTTTGTAAAGATGCTGGGCAACCCGGAGATGGGTACACTTTGTAAAGATGCTGGTTGCCATGGCAAGCCTGGAGATGGGTACACTTTGTACTGGTTGCCATGGCAAGCCTGGAGATGGGTACACTTTGTAAAGATGCTGGACAGGCTGGAGATGGGTACACTCTGTAAAGATGCTGGGCAACCCAGAGATGGGTACACTTTGTAAAGATGCTGGTCTGTTCGGAGGTGGGTACACTTTGTAAAGATGCTGAACACCCCGGAGATGGGTACACTTTGTAAAGATGCTGAACACCCCGGAGATGGGTACACTTTGTAAAGATGCTGGTCTGTTCGGAGATGGGTACACTTTGTATAGATGCTGAGCAGCCCGGAGATGGGTACACTTTGTAAAGATGCTGGACAACCCAGAGATGGGTACACTTTGTAAAGATGCTGGGCAACCCGGAGATGGGTACACTTTGTAAAGATGCTGGGCAGCCCGGAGATGGGTACACTTTGTAAAAATGCTGGTCTGTTCGGAGATGGGTACACTTTGTAAAGATGCTGGTCTGTTCGGAGATGGGTACACTTTGTAAAGATGCTGGTCTGTTCGGAGATGGGTACACTCTGTTAAGATGCTGGTCTGTTCGGAGATGGGTACACTTTGTATAGATGCTGGTTCGCCTGGAGATGGGTACACTTTGTAAAGATGCTGGACAACCCGGAGATGGGTACACTTTGTAAAGATGCTGGGCAACCCGGAGATGGGTACACTTTGTAAAGATGCTGGGCAACCCGGAGATGGGTACACTCTGTAAAGATGCTGGGCAGCATGGAGGTGGGTACACTTTGTAAAGATGCTGGTTGCCATGGCAAGCCTGGAGATGGGTACACTTTGTAAAGATGCTGGACAACCCGGAGATGGGTACACTTTGTAAAGATGCTGGTTCGCCTGGAGATGGGTACACTTTGTAAAGATGCTGGACAACCCGGAGATGGGTACACTTTGTAAAGATGCTGGGCAACCCGGAGATGGGTACACTCTGTAAAGATGCTGGCCAACCCGGAGATAGGTACACTTTGTAAAGATGCTGGGCAGACCGGAGATGGGTACACTTTGTAAAGATGCTGGACAACCCGGAGATGGGTACACTTTGTAAAGATGCTGGGCAGCACAGAGATGGGTACACTTTGTAAAGATGCTGGTTCGCCTGGAGATGGGTACACTTTGTAAAGATGCTGGACAACCCGGATATGGGTACACTCTGTAAAGATGCTGGTTGCCATGGCAAGCCTGGAGATGGGTACACTTTGTAAATATGCTGGGCAGCCCAAAGATGGGTACAATTTGTAAAGATGCTGACGGGCATAGCCAGCCAGAAGATGGGTACACTTTTTAGAGATGCCGGCTGGCCCAGAGATGGGTACACTTTGTAAAGATGTTGGCCAGCCCGGAGATGGGTACACTTTGTAAAGATGCTTATGTGCATGGTCAGCCAAAAGATGCGACTCTTTGTAAAGCTGCTGGTGGTTACAGCCCTTCAATGAGTAACACTTTGTAAAAATTATATTAGGCTTGGCCACTCATGCTGTGGGTGACACTTTGTAAAGATGCTGGTGAGAGTGGCTAGACCTCGTGATGAGCGGTGCCACACCCGTGATTTGGGTACACTTTGTAAATGTGCAGCGCCCCACGCTTGCCCCTTGTGGTTTAAGGCGCGGATGTCAATACTGCCCAGCGAGGCGTCGTGACACCCAACGCAAAACCGACTTATTTTTGTTGTTCTTTCGGTAAAGTCACGTAGAAGGGAAGTAATAAAATAATTAAAATAAAACATAATAAAATAATTCTCACGACGTTTCGGCTACAACGCAAGCAGCCGTCTTCAGGTGAAGAATGTTTTATTTTTATTATTTTATTACTTCCCTTCTACGTGATGACTTTACCGAAAGAACCAAGAAGATGAATCCCTGCAGTCACGAAAGCTTTAAATCGAAATTTGACTTATTTTTGGTACGAAATCCTTGGTACGTGGACAGAGTGGATCTCCGCTCTCCCCCCCCCCCCTAATTTGTTAAGACTTGGTACAGCCCTGACGGGGGGAGGGGGAGTGGTCCAAGACTCCAAGCTGAGTGAGATCATAGTGAGTGATCGGACTGTATCATTTGTTAAGTTGTCAGGGGGTGGGAGGTCATGTCCGCCGTAACTCGTGCACTTGATTAAATCACTCATCGCCACACTCTTGATTTCCTGTGTGGATTCTCTCTCGTGCGCACACACAGAGACTTGGCTCTCTCCCGGTGCTGTTTGCGCAGTTATGGCTGAGTCGATCTAGCGGAGGCCCAGGGCACGTTCAGATCTAACTTGCAACTGATGTTGACCGAGGTCGCGAATCGATTCCAGGGCACCGGATTATCGGCGCAGTGATCGAATCGCTATGCCCTCATGCCTCCCACACACACGCGCGCACACGCCAGCGTGAACAAACAATGCCTTTTTCTTCTTGGTTTTTTCGGTAAAGTCACGTATAAGGGAAGTAATAAAATAATAAAATAAAACATAATAAAATAATTCTCACGACGTTTCGGCTACGACGCAAGCAGCCGTCTTCAGGTGAAGAAGAGACACTGCCAAGCTAGGAGCTTATATATAAGCTGAGTTCGAGGTGGAAGAAGAGCGCCTTAACAAAAGAATGCATATCCTCTTGATATGCATATTCCTCTTGATATACACATTCTCACCTCCTGATCGCTCTTCTTTCGCTACCCTCGTGGCTATTGTTGCGATGATCTTCACTCCCAGATTCCTCCACACACGTTGACGACTCGGTTCTACCACTCTTCATAAATGTTTTCTCCTACAACATCAGAATGCAGCGCCACATTAAATACGCACTACAATGACAATAGTTTAAAGCGATTTGAAGCATGTTTTATTTTCAAAATGGAAATATGTTTTTTGGGGGGGGGGGGGGGCAGAGCTTTGTGACGTCATATTTGAGGGGGGGGGGTTCTGACTTTTTGTGACGTCGTGTGACGAGGGGGGGGGGGTAAAAAATCGTCCAAAATCGCGTGACGTCATTTATGGACGGCCCCCAAGCTGTTGATCATACTGCAGGTCACAGCAACACTCACCCACCTACTCACCCACCTACTCACCCACTCACCCACCTACTCACCCACTCACCCACCTACTCACCCACCCACCTACTCACTCACTCACCCACCTACTCACCCACTTACCCATTCATTCTCCAACCCACTCACTCTCCCACCTAATCAGTACTCACCCACTCAAAGACAAAGATCCCCCGTGTAGCCTTAACAGACTGTTGGGGCAAGTGCTGTTAGCGAGTAGCACCTATGAAGGCCGGCATGATACACTCGGTGGGTGGCCAACACCACGCCCGACCGCCTTTGTCTCCCCGATGGCGATGTTTACTACACACCGCACCAGGTACTCATTTGAGGCTGAGTCAACCTACGGGAGGAGGCCCAGGACCGGTTCAGATAATCGTCACCGGTATTGGTCGTGAGCGGGAATCAAACGAGGGGGTAGGTGGCCAGCACCACGCCCGACCGCCTTTGTCTCCCCGGTGGCGATGTTTACTACACACCAGTTACTCGTTTGAGGCTGAGTCGACCTAGGGGAGGCCCAGGACCGGTCTAGTAAATCGTCACCGGTTGTGACCTTGAGCGGGAATCGAACTCGGGTGACCGAGTTTCGTAGCACAGCGCGCTAACCACTGCACCACCGCTCCCCCAGGTGTGTGCATAGGTGGGACCCCCCCCACCACCGCCACACAAATCGATTCATGAAATCGTCGATTCGTTGGAATCGCTCGTCGCGCGCTGTGTGATGAGACACTAACCCACGTGGTGTGAGTGTTGCGGTGGGGGGGGGGCTGCTCACTGAGGGGAGGGAGCGAGGGAGGTGAATCTCGTGACCGTGACGTGTCCGACTGCCGGAGCGCGTGACCGTCGTGGGGGAGGGGGGCGGAGGGGCGGGGCGGAGGGGGGAGGGGCGGGGCGGATGGGGGGGGAGGGGCGGGGCGGAGGGGGGAGGGGAGGGGCGGAGGGGGGGAGGGGTGAATCGGCAGGTGAGTGAGTCCCTCTCGACTCGCACAGCTCACAACAGATCCGCGGGGTAACCTCACGAGACGGACACCGCAGGCTCACAAGCGCACAGGCTCACAGACTCACTCACTGACACACACACTCCCACACAGACTCACTCACTGACACACAGAGTCACTCACTAGCACACAGAGTCACTCACTCCCACACAGACTCACTCACTAGCACACAGACTCACTCACTCACTCGCACACAGACCCACTCACTGGCACACAGACTCACTCACAGACTCACTCACTGGCACACATAATCACACTCGCACACACACACACGTAGATACACCTACACACAGACTCACACTCCCGCACACACAGACTCACTCACTCCCACACAGGCTCACACACTCGCACGCAGACCGCGACTCCCGTCTCCCTCGCTCGCCCCCTTCGATCTCTCCACCACCGGGAAGAAAGCGAGCCAGGTGAGCAGGTGAGTAGGTGAGCATGTGAGTAGGTGAGTAGATGAGCATGTGAGTAGATGAGCATGTGAGTAGGTGAGTAGGTGAGCAGATGTGTAGGTGAGTAGGTGAGCAAGTGAGCATGTGAGTAGGTGAGAAGATGAGGTGAGTAGGTGAGCAAGTGAGCAGATGAGGTGAGTAGGTGAGCAGGTGAGCAGACAGCGCGGAGGATGGTGACCCGCGCCGAGGTGAGGACAGGTAGCGGCGGAGGGAGGGGGGGGGGGAACGTGAGCAGGATGGGGGGCTTAGGTGAGGAGGGGGGGGCTTAGGTGAGGAGGGGGGGGGCTTAGGTGAGGGGGGGGCTTAGGTGAGGAGGGGGGGGGTCCTAAGTGAGAGGGAAAGTGCAGTGGGGGGGGGGGGGGCACAGCTGAGTAAAGAGGTGAGGAGCGAGGGTTGCCACCTGTCCTGGTCGCTCCCCCCCCGGCATTGCCCACCGCTTGTTGTGAAGGAGGCAGCGGCAGCAGTAGCGCTGCTGCTGCTGTGGCTGCTGCTGGGACATCTTCCCGGGTGACGGTGAGAACCTCGCGTTGTTTGCCAGTTGCGTGAACAACAACATCAACAACAACAACATCAACAACAACAACAACAGCAGCAGCAGCCCCTCCACCCGGGGCGACTCCTCAACTCGAGCGTGAGATGATTGTTGTTGTTGTAGTTGTTGTTGTAGTTGTTGTTGTAGTTGTCCACTCGCGAGACGTCCCGGGTTATGTGCCTCGGAGGTGGCAACCGCGGATTTTTATTTTTTACCACAGGCCCAGAGCTGTCAGCGGTGGTGGTGGTTGTTGTGGTTGTGGTGGTGGTTGAACAGTGTGGTGGTTGTGGTGGTTGAACACTTTGGTTGTTGTGGTGGTTGTACACTGTGGTGGTTGTGGTTGTTGAACACAGTGTGGTGGTTGTGGTGGTGGTTTAACGCAGCGTGGTGGTGGTGGGTAGGACAGTCCATCTGTTAGAGACCGAATCCTCAGCATTCCAGGAGGAATCAACGAGCGAAGTTCACTGGGACAGTCACCACGGCAGTCGACACGACCAGGCTCCCCACGCCACCATCATCATCATCAGCCGTGGTCGATACACTGCTGGATTAAGACCTCCCCACGCCGTCTCCACTCCTCAGGGCCCAGTGCTACTCTCGCCCATCTCACTCTTGCCGCAGGAGCCGATTTGACCGCTCCATCTCCGGCAGGCGGATCTCCTCTTTTGCGCGTTCCCCTCCCGCTCCTTGTGGCTGTCATTCCGCCACCAGTCTCGACCACCGCACATCGATCGACCGCTCTCCCCTTCCTCCATGTGGCCGTGACGCATCCTGCCCAAGCTCGCCCCCCCCTCTCTTCTCCCTCGCGGTGGTAAGATGTTAACTACCTCGCCTGGTGTGCAGGAGGTCGTGGATTCGATCCCGACCCTGACGCCTGCTGCTGTATATTTGGTCTGCGTGTCTTTCTCTCTCTCTCATCATCAAGGTGGCTAGGAGATGTTAACTACCTCGCCTGGTGTGCAGGAGGTCGTGGGTTCGATCCCGACCCTGACGCCTCCTGCTGTATATTTGGAGTCTGCGTGTCTTTCTCTCTCATTATTATCATCACGGTGGCTAGGAGATGTTAACTACCTCGCCTGGTGTGCAGGAGGTCGTGGGTTCGATCCCGACCCTGATGATGCCTGCTGCTGTATATTTGGAGTCTGCGTGTCTCTCTCATTATCATCATCACGGTGGCTAGGAGATATTAACTACCTCGCCTGGTATACAGGAGGTCGTGGGTTTCCATCCAGACCCTGACGTCTGTTGTATATTTGGAGTCTGCGTGTTTCTCTCTCTCTCTCTCATCATCATCACGGTGGCTTGGAGATGTTAACTACCTCGCCTGGTATACAGGAGGTCGTGGGTTTCCATCCAGACCCTGACGTCTGTTGTATAATTGAAGTCTGCGTGTCTCTCTCTCTCATCATCATCACGGTGGCTTGGAGATGTTAACTATCTCGCCTGGTCTACATGAGGTCGTGGGTTTCCATCCCGACCCTGACATATGTTGTATATTTGGAGTCTGCGTGTCTTTCTCTCTCTCATCATCATCATCACGGTGGCTAGGAGATGTTAACTACCTCGCCTGGTGTGCAGGAGGTCGTGGGTTCGATCCCGACCCTGTTGATGCCTGTTGCTGTATATTTGGAGTCTGCGTGTCTCTCTCTCTCTCTCATTATCATCATCACGGTGGCTAGGATATGTTAACTACCTCGCCTGGTGTGCAGTAGGTCGTGGGTTCGATCCCGACCCTGACGATGCCTGCTGCTGTATATTTGGAGTCTGCGTGTCTCTCTCTCTCTCATTATCATCATCACGGTGGCTAGGAGATGTTAACTACCTCGCCTGGTGTGCAGGAGGTCGTGGGTTTCCATCCCGACCCTGATGTCTGTTGTATATTTGGAGTCTGCGTGTCTCTCTCTCATAATCATCATCACGGTGGCTAGGAGATGTTAACTACCTCGCCTGGTGTGCAGGAAGTCGTGGGTTTCCACCCCGACCCTGATGTCTGTTGTATATTTGGAGTCTGCGTGTCTCTCTCTCTTTCATCATCACGGTGGCTAGGAGATGTTAACTATCTCGCCTGGTGTACCGGAGGTCGTGGTTTCCATCCCGACCCTGGCGTCTGTTGTATATTTGGAGTCTGCGTGTCTCTCTCTCTCTCTCATCATCACGGTGGCTAGGAGATGTTAACTACCTCGCCTGGTGTGCAGGAGGTCGTGGGTTTCCATCCAGACCCTGACGCCTGTTGTATATTTGGAGTCTGCGTGTCTCTCTCCGTGGTGAGATGTTAACTACCTCGCCTGGCGTACAGGAGGTCGTGGGTTTTCATCGCGACCCTGACGCCTGCTGCTGTATTACTGTATATTTGGAATTTGCGTGTCTCTCTCTCCGTGGTGAGATGTTAACTACCTCGCCTGGTGTACAGGAGGTCGTGGGTCCAATCCCGACCCTGAGACCTGCTGCTGTATATTTGGAGTGTGCGTGTCTCTCTCCTTGTGGTCGCGTGGATTTTTATCTGGGTTTTCCCCTCCACGTTTAGAATCAACGTCGCGGCGTTCAGAGTGTTTGACTGCTCTAAATTTAAACGCGACGAGCCACTTCGTTGAGCTGGCATGTGTGGCCAGGTCGCTTCTGACAAAGAGATAAATATAGCTCAGCAGGGCTCCCTTACCTGGTCAAATAAAAAATTAACCCGTAAAAACAAAGTTTTTCACTATAATCCTTTATATGCGTGGCATCGGTTTTATTTTATTATTCATTTCTGTTTTTCTTGAGTAAGAGTTTCATTTTTATCGCATTGGTATTTTAAATTAAATATGAAAAAAAAATTGCTAAAAAGTGGAAAATTTTGGAAAAAAATTTTCACGAAAATAAATTGTCACGCACAACGAGTCTGTGTGCAAAATGTCAGCTCGATTGGATCACGGGAAGTGGGTTAAAAAACGACCGAAAGATTTGCACGGTCCTAAGCAAGCAAGCAAGTGAACTTAATATAAAGGATTTAACAAGTATAACCTGTAAAAACAAAGTTTTTCACTATAAATCCTTTATATGCGTGGCGGCTAGAGTCCTCTCGTCCTCTGGCTTGAGATGGCTGCCACCTATGGGTCAGATGATTGCATTGCACCATTAAGCAATTGGTAATTAAATATAATTTATTTTTTCCTAAAAAGTGTAACATTTTGGAAAACAAATTTCACGAAAATACATTGTCACGCACAACGAGTCTGTGTGCAAAATGTCAGCTCGATTGGATCACAGGAAGTGGGTTAAAAAACGACCGAAAGATTTGCACGGTCGTAAGCGCGCAAGCAAGCAAGCAAGTGAACTTAATATAAAGGATTTTAAAATAGAATCAAATAGAAATCGTGTACCTCTGCATGCTTCTTCGAATCAGAGGAAAGCGCTCCAGAGGGTCATCAACACAGCCCAAAAGATCGCCGGCTGCCATCTCCCCACACTGGAAGAACTACACAGTTCACGTTGCATCAAAAAAGCACAGAACATTATAAAGGACTCTTCTCACCCTGGACACTCACTGTTTGAGCTGTTGCCATCAGGCAGACGATTCAGATCAGTCAAAACAAGGACAAACAGATTCAAACAGAGCTTTTATCCTACAGCGATCACCACACTCAATAATGCTAATTAATTATTAAGTAACAGTGTTTACAATTGATTGTGAAATAGAGATGTGCAATGACAAAATGTAACCTTATGTGGGTATGTGGGTATACTTGGGCTGTTTTTATATATAGTATAAATTGATTATCTTTCATTTAATTTTATTTTTATTTTCTTGTTTTATTTAATTTAAATTTATGAATGATGCCCTGACTGGTGAGCATTTTAAATTTCGTTGTACTGGTGACAATGACAATAAACGATCTATCTATCTATCTTCACGCGGCATCTGTGTACGCAAGCGAAACCTTGTACCCACGATATTTTGTCGATGAGATCCCCCCCCCCCCCCCCCAGACGCTCGAAACTGGTGCAGAGTTGTCTGCTGCCGATGCTACTGGGCAAAAGTGTGGAGTTGCCCGTCTGGGGAGCCATGGGTTCGTGGGGTCAGGGCAGATGTTGACGGGTGTGAGAAGACTGGACGTGTCTCACGCTCTCTCTCTCTCTCTCACGCTCTCTCATCCTCGTTCTCACACTCTCTCTCACGCTCTCTAACACTCTCTCTCACGCTCTCTAACACTCTCTCACACACTATCTCATACTCTCTCTGACACGCTCTCATCCTCTCTCTCACACGCTCTCACACTCTCTCTGACACGCTCTCTCTCACGCTCTCTCTCACTCTCTCTCACACTCTCTCACTCTCTCTCACTCACACTCTCTCACGCTCTCTCACACTCTCTCACACTCTCACACACTCACACTCTCTCTCACACACTCTCTCACACTCTCTCACTCTCTCTCACTCTCTCTCATGCACTCTCTCACTCTCTCTCACGCACTCTCTCACACTCTCTCTCACACTCTCTCACACTCTCACACACTCACACTCTCTCTCACACATTCTCTCACACGCTCTCAGACTCTCACACACTCACACTCTCTCTCACACGCTCACACACTCACACTCTCTCTCACGCCCTCACACGCTCTCACACACTCTCTCACACACTCTCACACACTCTCTCACACTCTCTCTCACACTCTCTCACTCTCTCTCACGCTCTCACACACTCTCTCACACTCTCTCACACTCTCTCTCACTCTCTCTCACGCTCTCTCTCACGCTCTCTCTCACGCACTCTATCACACTCTCACACACTCACACTCTCTCTCTCACACTCTCTTTCACTCTCTCTCACCCTCTCTCACACACTCTCACACTCTCTCACTCTCTCACACTCACACTCTCCCTCTCACACTCTCTTTCACTCTCTCTCACCCTCTCTCACACACTCTCACACTCTCTCACTCTCTCTCACACTCTCTCACACTCACACACTCTCTCACACTCTCACACTCTCTCTCTCACACACTCTCACTCTCTCACTCTCTCTCACGCTCTCTAACACTCTCACACACTCACACGCTCTCACACTCTCTCTCACACACCCTCTCATCCTCTTTCACACACTCTCACTCTCACAATCTCTCTTACACACCCTCTCATCCTCTTTCACACACTCTCACACTCACACTCTCTCACACTCTCTCACGCCCTCACCCTCTCTCACCCTCTCTCACGCTCTCCCTCTCACCCTCTCACGCCCTCCCTCTCACACTCGCCGTGTTTACTGAGCTCACCTTTGCCCGCCAGCGTTAACGTCACGTGGCGCGTGCCCAGGTGCTTTATCTGAGTGGTCATATGACCCAAGCCTCCACCTGTTCCCCCAAGAGAGAGAGAGATACGAGAGAGATAACAGCGGCTCAGGGGTTCACAATTGCCGTGTCGAGACTGGTGGTCTCAGCCCAGTCACCCATGACTCACACAGAGACCCATAGACTCACAGAGATAGCCGGACTAACATAGAGACCCATATATTCATACAGAGACCCATATACCATGGTGGTTAAATCTTGACTTAAAGCTTTTGTGACTGCAGGAATTCATATTATTTGGGTTTTTCGGTAAAGCCACGCAGATGGAAAAAAATACACAAATCAAAATCACGAAGTTTCGATCGCAACAAAGGCAATCGTCTTCAGGTGAAAGAAAAAAAACGTCGAGATTTGGATTTTTGCTATTTTTAAATCCTTTATATTAAGTTCGCTTGCTTGCTTGCGTGCTTGCTTGCTTACGACCGTGCAAACCTTTCGGTCGTTTTTTAACCCACTTCCCGTGATCCAATCGAGCTGACATTTTGCACATAGACTCGTTGTGCGAGACAATTAATGTTCGTGTAAAAATAATTTCCAAAATTTTACACTGTTTAGGGAAAACAAATTAAATATTTAATTACCAATTGTTTAATACTGCAGACAATCATCTGACCCATAGGTGGCAGCCATCTCAAGCCAAAGGACGAGAGGACTCTAGCCGCCACGCATATAAAGGATTTAGAGTGAAAAACGTAGTTTTTACGGGTTAATTTTTTTTCTATCTACGTGCCTTTACCGAAAGACTCAAAGAATACCATGGTGGTTGTTTGACGATACTTCACCGTAACCATGGAGCATGTGAATATCATACTCTTAGGTTTTTTCGGTCAAGTCACATAGGTAAAAAAGAAAATTACTAAAAGTAATAATAAAAATAAAATTATGGTGATTTATTATTTTATTTTATTTCTATTAGTTTAGTAATTTTATTTTTTACCTACGTGACTTTACCGAAAAAACCTAAGAGTATGAATCCTTGCAGTCACGAAAGCTTCAAATCTAGAAATTCATGTGAATATCAACATCAATTAGCCTAGTGCCCATGTTTGTCTATTTCCTTACACGGATTGTTTTTTTACACAACGCATCAGCCACTCGCACGTTCTTCTGCGAGTGCATCCCACTAGCAGCGTTGGTTCGGTGCAGGCAAAAACTCTGAGCCGGTTTCGACATTCAGGTTCTCATCAGCAGAGTCAGGTTGGCTTGAACCAGAGGTCGCAAACGTGTTTTGATTCCTTACCCGTACCCGTACCCGGCCGGGTATCGGGTAGGGTACAGGCATCGGGTACCCGATTGCGACCTCTGGGATGAAGCCATGTTGCAGTCCTCCCTCCACTGCATCTCCCCCCCCCCATCTCTTCCTCTTTTTCTCATCCTCTCTCTCACTGCTCGTGACATCACCACGCGCGAACCCGGCTCACAGCTGCGGGATGCGACTGACATCATCACAGCACGCGCCTAAGAATCAGAATCTTTGTTCTGGAAGAATGCAATGAGCTATGAAGCTTTTTTTCACATACAGTGAGGGAAAAAAGTATTTGATCCCCTGCTGATTTTGTACGTTTGCCCACTGACAATGAAATGATCAGTCTATAATTTTAATGGTTGGTTTATTTGGACAGTGAGAGACAGAATAACAACAAAAAAATCCAGAAAAACGCATGTCAAAATTATTATAAATTGATTTGCATTTTAATGAAGGAAATAAGTATTTGACCCCCTGCTGATTTTGTACGTTTGCCCACTGACAAAGAAATGATCAGTGTATAATTTTAATGGTTGGTTTATTTGGACAGTGAGAGACAGAATAACAACAACAAAATCCAGAAAAACCCATGTCAAAATGTTTATAAATTGATTTGCATTTTAATGAGGGAAATAAGTATTTGACCCCCGTCTCAATTTTTCTGGTGGCCTTCATCCATCTTTCTGATTGACTGACGCCTATATTTGGTGCTTGAATGTTCTCCCCGTGTTGGCGTGGATTTTTATCCATCCTGGTCCTCCGGTTTTTCCCCTCCACATTTCGAATCAACGTCGCGCGCTTCGAAGTATTTGGCCGTTATAAATTTCCAGAACAATGTTACTCTGCAGCAGCAGCGTTGTCACAAGCCAGAACACCCTGGGCCGGTCTCGAGCTTCCGCTTCTCATCGGCAGAGCGAGGGGCGCAGAGTCTGCTGGCTTACACAGATGCCGCTATTGTTGAGGTCTTGACTGTCGGCCGTGGGTGCTGCCTCTCGTTGACACGTGGCGGTGAACCGACAAGCGGAACAAAAACTGTAATAATGGGCGAGACAGGCGCTCGAAATTTACGCTGAGAGATGCGCGGAGGAAACCACGTGGATTTGAGGAAGTGCACAGGTTCGTGAGGTCGTGCACAGTGCCGAGGAGGGCGAGTGGACTCGGGCAGGATGTGTTACGGCCGGGCGGGCGGCGATGTCAATCATCAGGCCCAGGGTGTGACGTCTGTGCTGGTCGTGGGTGGTTGCCCCACGTGTAGGTGAGTGGTGGTGCGAGTGCCCTCGCCTCGGCGTGTGTCAGCCGTCTTTTTTTTATCCTTTATATTAAGTTTGCATGCTTGCTTGCTTGCGTGCTTGCTTGCTTGCTTACGACCGTGCAAATCTTTCGGTCGTTTTTTAACCCACTTCCCGTGATCCAATCGAGTTGACATTTTCCACACAGACTCGTTGTGCCAGACAATTAATGTTCGTGAAAAAAAATTCCCAAAATTTTACACTTTTTAGGACAAAAATATTATATTTTATTACCAATTGCTTAATGGTGCAATGCAATCATCTGACCCATAGGTGGCAGCCATCTCAAGCCAGAGGACGAGAGGACTCTAGCCGCCACGCATATAAAGGATTTATAGTGAAAAACTTTGTTTTTACGGGTCGAGACTGGTGACGGAATGACAGCCAAAAGGGGCGACCCGCCACGGAGATTTAGCGGGGAAATCGGCTCAAGCTGCGCGAGTGAGATGGACGGAAGCAGCGCTGGGCCCTGAGGGATGGAGACGCCATGATTAGGCCTTCATCCAGCAGCAGTGGATATGCCGTAGCTGATGATAGATGACGATGAAGACGACGACGACGATGATGATGATCTTCTTGGTTCTTTCGGTAAAGTCACGTAGAAGGGAGGTAATAAAATAATACAAATAAAACATAATAAAATAATTCTCACGACGTTTCGGCCACAACGCAAGCAGCCGTGCTCAGGTGAAGACCAGGTCTGCCGGGGAGACAGCGTCTGATCAGGTCTGTCTCCCCGACAGACCTGGTCTTCACCTGAGGACGGCTGCTTGCGTTGTGGCCGAAACGTCGTGAGAATTATTTTATTATGTTTTATTTTTATTATTTTATTTCTTCCCTTCTACGTGACTTTACCGAAAGAACCAAGAAGATGAATCCCTGCAGTCACGAAAGCTTTAAATCGAGATGACGATGATGATGTTGAGCCGTGTTGCCGTCCCATCTATTCAGACGCGGTGACGCCGCCGAGTGAGGAGCGACCGGAGCGATGGCGGACGACCGCAAGCCGCTGATGGTGGGGGGCGAAGGTGGGGGGCCCCCGGCGTACGGGGCGCAGGGGCAAGCGCCCCCTGGTTACGGAGCCATCCCACCTCCGGGGGGCTACCCCTACCCCCAGCCCTACCCCCCAGGTAACCAGCCCCACGCCCAACCGGTTGGGGGTTGGGGATGTCCGTGCACGGCGGCGCTCGCTGAACGCCTGCACATCTTACGCAGCCCAGCGGGGGAGCGCTTGTTGTAGAGGTTCGAACCCGGTGGGCCGCCCTGGCCAGTACCCTGCGGTGCGTATAAACCTGTGGTTCTTTAGTTGGGCGGCACACACCTCCTGGGGGTGTGAGACATGGCCAGTTGTTGTTAGAAGGTAAATAATCTAAACACAAATTAAGCACGGGCACATAAGTACAACTACTTTGTTTCATCAAACAGATGTATTTATTAACATTATGAAAAAAAAGGCTGCAGTAAAGGTTAAGAGCCATTGGTATAAACAATGCTACTATGCGCCAGAGGATTAACTCACGAGTGGACGTGAAAGATCCCAGGACGTCATTCGACACGAGCAGAAGGCCATGAAGTCACCTGGTCGATGGGCAACTCGCTCCGGGCAGCTACTGGGAACCCAGCCATTGAGAAACCAGCCATTAGGGACCCAGCCAATAGGGACCCACCCACCGGGGACCCAGCCAATAGGGAGCCAGCCTCTGGGGACCCAGCCAATAGAGACCCAGCCAATAGAGACCCACCCACCGGGGACCCAGCCAATAGGGACCCAGCCAATAGGGACCCAGCCTCTCGGGACCCAGCCAATAGGGACCCAGCCATTGGAGACCCAGCCAATAGGGACCCAGCCTCTCGGGACCCAGCCAATAGGGACCCAGCCATTGGAGACCCACCCACCGGGGACCCAGCCAATAGGGAGCCAGCCTCTAGGGACCCAGCCAATAGGGAGGCAGCTTCTGGGGACCCAGCCAATAGGGACCCATCCATTGGAGACCCACCCACCGGGGCCCAGCCAATAGCGACCCGCCCACCGTTGACCCAGCCAATAGGGAGCCAGTCTTTGGGGACCCAGCCAATAGGGACCCACCCACCAGGGACCCAGCCAATAGGGAACCAGCCAATAGGGACCCAGCCAATAGGGACCCACCCACCAGGGACCCAGCCAATAGGGACCCAGCCAATAGGGACCCAGCCATTGGAGACCCAGCCAATAGGGACCCAGTCTCTGGGGACCCAGCCAATAGGGACACAGCCATTGGGGCCCAACCGCGAGGTCACCACCAGGTGACCCATGCGCTCCTCTCTCCACAGGTTACCCTGGCGGGTCGGACGGGGCCTACCCTGCCGGACCCCCTGGCAATTACCCCCCTGGGCCCCCTGGCCACTATCTGTCTGGCCCATCGGGGCCCTACCCACCTGGGCCCCCATGTCCGGGTCCCTACCACCCACCCGGGACTGGACCCTACCCTGTGATCATCAACCATCAGGCCCAGGGTGTGACGTCTGTGCTGGTCGTGGGTGGTTGCCCCACGTGTAGGTGAGTAGTGGTGCGAGTGCCCTCGCCTCGGCGTGTGTCCGCCATCTTTGTGTTTGTGTCCGTGTGCGGGGAAGTGGCCGTGTAGCGCTACGAATCCGGCGCCCCGAGTTCGATTTCCGCTCACGCCCACCGCCAACGCCAGCGACGATTATCTGAACCGGTACTGGGCCTCCCCTTGGTCGACTCGGCCTCAAACGAGCACCTGATGCGGTGTGTAAACATCGCTACTCGGGTGTCGTTACCGTGCGTGCTGTGTGTCCGTGTGTGCCGTCAGGGTCGGAGTTCTGGAGGACGACTACTCCGTGTGTGGCATCATCCTCGCCATCCTCTTCTTCCCCATCGGCATCCTCTGCTGCCTGCTCATGCGCCGGCGACGCTGCCCCAACTGCCACGCCTCCTTCGAGTAGCGACGGGGGGCCCCTGGGCGGGGGTGGGGGGGGGTAGGACAGGGGTCCTGGAAGGGAAGGGTGGGTAGGCCCGGTAGGCTGAACCTCCGCTAAAACCACCGCGTAAGGGCTCGGAGATTCGCTCGCCGTACAATCAACCGGCCGTGTCGCTCGCCCGTCCACGCCTCCTTTGCACTGGCACAACCGAGCCGCTCTGGTGAGCCATGTCGGAGCCAGACCGGTGCCGGCACGGCTCAGGAGGTGGCCCGGTTGTTTCTCCACTTTGCAGGGGCCGAGCCGTGCTGCCGCCGACTTCGCACGCGGCGAACAAGTTGGAGAAGCGTGTGGGTGACGCCACGCCCCCACCGCGTACCGGCTGCCCGTCACGCGCGGTTGAACGTGTCACTACCCCTGGCCCTGCTTGGCCCCGCCCCCGAGCCAGATTCAGATGCCCTGTGAGAACCGGAGTTCTGGTTCGGCTCGGCGAATAACCCAGTGGAAAAAACACATTCCTACCGTAAGGCCCCCCCACTCCACCCCCTCCCCGCGAGCTTAACTCGGATTTTTGTGGTGGAAAAGCAGCATCATAGGCAGCACGTGCGGGGAGTGGGGTGGTTCGTTCGGAGGTCTCCCTGCGGGCTTTGGCACGGCCCTGGCACGGGGAGAGAGGGAGCGTCGCTGGGGCCGCCCTTGTCCCCGGCGCGCACGTTGACCCTGGCCATTGACCGAGCAACCCAACGTTCCTACCAGCTCCCTCCGCAGGAATGTGTTAATAATATATGCATTGTCCTTGAAACTGATTGGCCTACACCAGGGGTGGGGAACATCCGGCCCGCGGGCCATGTGAGGCCCGCGAAATAATTTGGTGTGACCCTGCCAAGGCAACCGCAGGCGGGACTTGAAATTCAACAAATCTAGGAGCAAACCTGGAAAAGCAGTTGCTAGTAGCAACATCATCACACCAGCTAACATCACACGCCTCACCAAAGAAAAGCATTTCCAGCCATCACATTAGGGGTGAGTTAATTAAATGTTTGACTAAATATAACGGGCTAATTTTTAAGGTGATAATTTTGTATGGCCCGCGGAATGATGTTGTAAATATCCAAATGGCCCTTGATAGAAAAAGGGTTCCCCACCCCTGTTCTACACCAAAGACAGCCTTCTTTACACATTCCTGCGGAGGGAGCTGGTAGGAACATTGGGTTGCGGACCGTGGTGGAGGGGCGGCCGTGTTCACATTCCGCACTCCGTGGTGGAGAAGGCCCTCTGCTTGCCTGCACGTGGCGCGCGTTCTGTCTCGGGCGTCGATTTGGCTGCTTATCGAGGGACCCCCGGTGGCGACGACGCGGGTTTCATCGTCGTCGCTCCGTTAATTTGCGTTTGATTATTTAATCGTCTTAGTCTAAATGCTGATGACGTAACGAACTCCTCCGTGATTACAGCTGTAAATAAAGAAATAAATGATATGCAAATAAACTACGGCTCGGCGAAATGTTTTCGTCCCCGCGGCAAATCGATGGGCGATTTGGTGGAGCGACGTTGCCATGTGCTTGGATCGGTTCGACACGTGTCCACTGCGTTGTAGGACATCGATGGTGTGGGGTGTAACCAGGTTAAGGTTATCAGGGGCCTAATTATGCACCTAGGGTGGGGCGGGGGTCAGACATTTGTGACGATGTGTGACGAGGGGGGGGGGGGGGTTCAGAAATGTGACGTCACATCAAAATGCGCAACTTTCAATAAATATAGACGACACGTTCTACTTAATTAAATATACTTTTTAATAACTGTTTTCTTCTACAGCATCAGAGTGCAGCGCCACATTAAATACGCACTACAATGCCAATAGTTTAAAGCGATTTTAAGCATGTTTTATTTTTAGGGGGGGGGGCAGAGCTTTGTGACGTCATATTTGAGGGGGGGGGGTCTGATTTTTTGTGACGCCGTGTGACGAGAGGGGGGGGGGGTGGCTTCAGTGACGGCTCGTGACATTTGCCACGATGTGGGGCTGTTGTGAATGACCTTTGATTAATTACGGTGTTTCACAAGTAGTACTAGTCGCGTATATGCATTTCCCATAAATATGCTAAAATTCCTCTTGATATGCTAATTATTTTGTCAAGGCGCTCTTCTTCCTCCTCCCTCCCAGCTTAAATAGACGCTCCAAGCCTAGGATGTGTCATTCAGACTGTCTTATCGACAGACCTGTTCTTCACCTGAGGACGGCTGCTTGCGTTGTGGCCGAAACGTCCTCACATGAGGACGGCTGCTTGCGTTGTGGCCGAAACGTCGTGAGAATTATTTTATTATGTTTTATTTTTATTATTTTATTACTTCCCTTCTACGTGACTTTACCGAAAGAACCAAGAAGATAAATATAGCAGCTCACACGGCCCACACGCTCTAGGATGAAACAGCCATAGCGATGACAGCAGGTGCAGAAAACGACGGATTAGCAACACATCCTGGGGAGTCACTGCTAAATGTTCCATTCTAAAGGATGAAAGGGGTTGTGTGTGAACTTGAGGGTCATGTGGGGACAGCGTTTGAGTGCTTTGTTGTTTTGTTTCGTATTGTTTAGGGATGAAGACCGTTGTGCCAATAGCACGACGCGGTTTTTCTGAACGAGAACACCGTAAATTTCGATTTAAAGCGTTCGTGACTGCAGGGATTCATCTTCTTGGTTCTTTCGGTAAAGTCGCGTAGAAGGGAAATAATAAAATAATAAAAATAAAACACAATAAAATAATTCTCACGACGTTTCGGCCACAACGCCGAAACGGACGGCTGCTTGCGTTGTGGCCGAAACGTCGTGAGAATTATTTTATTATTTTTTATGTTTATAATTTTATTATTTCCCTTCTACGTGACTTTACCGAAAGAACCAAGAAGAGAAAAGTTTTTTTTAATTTGAATGCAATTTATAACGCGCGCAAATTCGCGAACCTAACGACCGCAACTCAGAGGCGCGGAGTCAATCTTAGAGTCCCTCGAAAGCACGTGGCTTGTCGAGGTGAGTCTTTAAGTGTCTCTTGAAGGAGGCGATTGAGGTGGTGCTACGAATGTGCAGTGGGATTGCGTTCCAGACTGTTGGGACAGCCACCGAGAAGTGGGTCCATAGGCGTGACCGTCCTGGATCTCGGTATCAAGAGGAGGTCCGTGAGTCGTACTGCGAAGGCATCTGCCGTGTGCTGTGCTGCAAGTCGTCAAAATAATTTCTCATCATGGGACCTCCTTTGCCAGTACCAAAATATACTAATAGGGTTTTTTCCTCTTTTTTCTGGCAACAAAACTGACACCTTTTGCAAGGAATCATGCTTACATTAACCACAATACTTGCAGTCAAATGCAAATGGTAGCGCGTTGTCTTTGAACTGTGTGCCTTTTGGCGTCATCTGGTCGAACACCATATGAGACTAGGCTCTAAAGAAAGCTGTCTCTGGTGTGGACCAATCAGTTTCAAAGACAATGGATAAATTGTCAGAGTATTCATCTTCTTGGTTCTTTCGGTAAAGTCACGTAAAATGGAAACAATAAAAATAATAAAATAAAACATAATAAAATCATTCTCACGACGTTTCGGCCACAACGCAAGCAGCCGTCATCAGGTGAAGACCTGGTCTGTCGGGGAGACAGTGTCTGAATGAAACAGCACTATGCTTGGAGCGTATATTTAAGCTGGGTTGGAAGGGGGGGGGGGGGAAGGGCGCCTTGACTTTACCGAAAAAACCAAGAAGATGAATCCCTGCAGTCACGAAAGCTTTAAATCGAAATGTCAGAGTATTGTTTTTGTTTGCATTTGACTGCAAGTATTGTGGTTAATGTAAACATGATTCCTTGCAAAAGGTGTCAGTTTTGTGGCCAGAAAAAAGGGGAAAACCCCTATTAGTATTATTTCTCATCTGCAGCTACTTTGTGGGGTAGCGTTTCACCGCCCCCTAGTGGACAAGCCGTGCATAGCCTACTTTCGTGGTACACCGATGAACATAGTGGTGTTGGGTGAAATGATACATTTTGTATAATAATACAATTGAATTTCGATTTAAAGCTTCTTTCGTGACTGCAGGGATTCATCTTCTTGGTTCTTTCGGTAAAGTCACGTAGAAGGGAAATAATAAAATAATAAAAATAAAACAATAAAATAATTCTCAGACGCTGTTTTTCCGACAGACCTGTTCTTCACCTGAGGACGGCTGCTTGCGTTGTGGCCGAAACGTCGTGAGAATTATTTTGTTTTATTTTTATTATTATATTATTTCCCTTCTACGTGACTTTACCGAAAGAACCAAGAAGATGAATCCCTGCAGTCACGAAAGATTTAAATCGAAAAAAATCCAAAATGATACATTTTGTATAATAATACAATTGACTCAAACTTTTCGTGACTGTAGGAATTAATATTCTTTGGGTCATTGTAGTGCGAATTTAATGTGGCGCTGCACTCTGATGTTGAAGGAGTGTTGTTATAACAATTAGTGTTGTTATAACAATTCTAAATTTATTTAAAGTTGTGCATTTTGATGTGACGTCACATTTCTCACCCCCCCCCTCGTCACACATCGTCACAAATGTCTGACCCCCCCCCCACCCCCCAGGTGCGTGACGTCATTTATGGACGATCCCTAAGGTCGCGAGGTCGAATTTTTCGTTGGCTCGGCCCATCATCACTCCTATTTCCTGGGCGATAAAGCGAGTGTTTCGGAGGAGTGTTGATGGAGATGATGATGATGATGAGGGCGTGGGAGCGTTTTTGCCAAGACCCGTGTCCGGCATCGTCGGTCAGTAGCCGTGCTCACTCCACTGCTGGATGAACGCGTAGCAACGGGTGCGTGTTGCTAGGGGCCACTTGTGTTCATTGCGGTTTGGGTAGAGAGTTGGTGGGGAAGAGGGGGCGGTGATGTCCTGAACGGGTCGTCTTCGCCGCGATTTTGATGTCAACTCGGTTAAGGCTGAGCCTACCTAGGGGGAGAACGGTGCTGCCACGCTTGACTCTTCGTCATCACTCCCCCCCCCCCCCCCACATTCAACGGGGATGTTTAACCTTGCGCTTAACCACCTTTCTCGATTCCAACGATTCCACTCGCGTACTCACGATTCGTGAATCGATTTTGGCGGTTGTTTCCCACATCCCCGGAGTGCACGCGATTCGTGATTCCCGCACGCGATTCGCGATTCCCGCTAGTCTACGATTGCGGCGCGTGCTTGGCCCCATCACGTGCGTTAGAATCGATTTCCCCCAGAAATATTTGAATGAATCGAATAATCGATACACAGCGCCGGCTTCGTCAATGATTGACATTTCATGCGGGGTGGGGGAGAGGGGGGTGGGGGGAGAGGAGGGGGGTGGGGGGAGAGGGGGGTGGGGGGAAGGAGGGGGTGGGGGGAGAGGAGGGAAGGATGAGGAGGGTGGGGGTAGAGGAGGGGGTGGGGGGAGAGGAGGGGGTGGGGGGGGTGGGGGGAGTTGGGGGGTGATGGGGGGTGGGGGGGAGAGGAGGGGGTGGGGGGAGAGGAGGGGGTGGGGGGACAGCGGGGTGAGGGGAGAGGGGGGTGAGGGGAGAGGAGGGGGTGGGGGAGAGGGGGAGTTGGGGGTGATGGGGGTGAGGGGAATGGAGGTTGGGGGGAGAGGGGGGAAGGATGGGGAGGGTGGGGGTAGAGGAGGGGGTGGGGGGACAGGGGGGTGGGGGGAAAGAAGGGGGTGGGGGAGAGGGGGAGTGATGGGGGGTGGGGGGAAGATGGGGGTGGGGGGAGAGGGAGGAAGGATGGGGAGGGTGGGGGTAGAGGGGGAGGGTGGGGGTAGAGGAGGGGGTGGGGGACAGGGGGGTGAGGGGAGAGGAGGGGGTGGGGGAGAGGGGGAGTTGGGGGTGATGGGGGGTGGGGGGAGAGGAGGGGGGACAGGGGGGTGATGGGGGGTGGGGGGAAAGGGGGGTGGGGGAGAGGGGGGAAGGATGGGGAGGGTGGGGGTAGAGGGGGGGTGGGGGGACAGGGGGGTGGGGGGAGAGAAGGGGGTAGGGGAGAGGTAAGGATGGGGAGGGGGTGGGGGGTGATGGGGTGGGGGGAGAGGGAATGGGGGGGAGTGGGGGGCGGGTCACGTGACGTTCCTGCGGCCATATATAAGCGGGGGCGACGTCACTGCCCCCGCGACATCTTTGTCAGGGAACAAAATGGCGAGTCACATGGTGAAGGCGGCGGGCGTCGCGGTGAGTGAAACTCCCCGCGTCTCTCTCTCCTCGCGCCTCTCCTCCATCGTCTCTCCTCCATCATCTTCGTCTCCCTCTCCCCTAACAAACCCCACGCGAGGCGAGCGGGTCTTGCGGCCGCTGCCGAGAGGACGCGATCCGGGGTGGGAGGGGGTGTCTGCTTCTACTGCCCTTGACTGCCCTCGCTAGCCCCATCGACCCCGCGGCTTCACCACCACCCCGGCCACCCTCCCGTCACCGAGCGGCCCGTGTGCTGCTTCTCGTGTCGTGGCGTCGGGCGTTGTGTCACGGGGCTCTTAGTCTCGGCTCGAGGGGCGGTCGATGTGAGCTTCGCCTCACCGGGCAAGGTGACTCAAGGTTAGCGGCGGCCGCTGCGTCGCCCCTAGCGGAGAGGACGCGGGCCCCCGGAGGCAACGAAGGAGCCTGGCCTTGCCTGGTTTGCCTGCCCGCTGGTGTCCCCCCTCACCCCCCCGGGGCTCGAGGGGGCGATTCGCTTTCGATGTAATTAGCGAGGCCGCGCGAGCGTCATGGCAACGCAGAGCGGCCTGGTCCCCCCCCCCCCCACATCGCCATGGTGATGATGGTGAAGATGATGATTATGATGAGGATGATTATTATGATTTGACAAGTAAGGCTTTCGCGACCGATATTCGTAATACAGGGGTTTTTTTTTGGGGGGGGGGGGGGGGGTTGGGATAGCGTAAATATATGAAAGTGTCGTTTAACCCGCTCACGACCAGTTAGTAAGGTTTGTCACGTATACAAATCGTGCCAATTCGTTACTACAATTTACAATCCTAAATGTCGTGGCTTTGCTCTCCGACACACCGGTTAGTGCTGTACTAGTGACGAATTGGCCACCTTCTGTTTACGTGACAGCCCTTACTAATTGGCTGTGTCGGGTGGTGGTGGGTTTAACGGCACATTTATATATTTACGCGATCTAACACCAAAACGCCTGTTATTGATCAATGATGACGGGAGGAGGAGGGCATTCCGAAGTGGAGGAGGTGTATTTTAAACTTATTTTGCACCGTGCGTATCCAGCCGCGCTAATCTAAGGTGGCGATGGAAGAGGTGGGGGGAGTGAGATGATGTGACCTCTTCTTGGTTCTTTCGGTAAAGTCACGTAGAAGGGAAATAATAAACTAATACAAATATAACATAATGAAATATAAAATAAAATAATGATGTGACCTGCAGTTTGGCTGGTGGTAGATAGAGATAAATTCACGTAGGTAAAAATAAAAATAAATAATAAAAATCATAGAAATTATTAATAATATTTCTATTATTTCTTTGTATTTTTACCTACGTGACTTTACCGGAAAAAACCTAAGAGTATGCATCCTTGCAGTCACGAAAGCTTCAAATCTAGAATTGACTGAGATAACCAACAACCACTTCCTCCACACACGGCCATGCGGGCCCACACAGCCTGGGAACCGTGGCGTAGAGGACGTGGCCTGGCTTGACCCCCCTGCCCTGGTGCAAGGGGCAATCGCGGGCAGCTTGTGGGGGCAGCGAACGAGCAAAGGCGAGGGCTGTTGGGGGAGAGAGCGAGGTTTGAGAATAGGGGGCGCTGTGTCGGCTTCTGCTGCCCTCAGCTGTGCCGTGACCTCTGCTTGCCCCTCGCTCTGTCATTCTAACTCACTCCGTCTCTCTAACTCACTCCGTTCTAACTCACTCCGTCTCTCCAACTCGCTCTGTCATTCTAACTCGCTCCGTCTCTCTAACTCACTCTGTCATTCTAACTCACTCCGTCTCTCTCACTCGCTCCAACTCGCTGTCTTGTCAGGCGTCGCGATGCGGCCGCGGGTTCCACTCCAGGGCTGCGCTCTGCGCCTCCGGGGTCCCCATGAGCCGCTTCGAGCCGCAGCAACACATCGACTACACGCCGCTGCGCAACAACATCGACGTGGTGCGCGACAGGTGAGTGCCGTGTCACTGTGGGGGGGGGTGGGCACGTGTGTGGTGTGACAGGCATGTGTGTGGCCTGACTGGCGTGTGTGTGGCCTGATTGGCGAGTGTGTGGTGTGACAGGCGTGTGTGTGTGTGTGCGTGGTGTGTGGTGGTGTGACAGGCGTGTGTGTGGTGTGACAGGTGTGACAGGTGTGTGCGTGGTATAACAGGCGTGTGTGTGCGTGGTTTGACAGGCATGTGTGTGTGTGCGTGCATGGTGTGTGTGTGTGCGCGCGCGCGATGTTACAGGTGTGTGTGTGTTGTGGCAGGTGTGTGTGTGTGCGTGGTGTGACAGGCGTGCGTGTGCGCGCGTGATGTTACAGGCGTGTGTGTGTGCGTGTGCATTGTTACAGGTGTGTGTGACACGTGTTGTCCCATTGTGCACATTGTGTCTCAGAACTCGCATCTCATTGATGAGGTCGATAACTTAAATTATCTACGTATTATCTCGGACTCAAAACTGTCATTCAAGGTCCCACATCGCTCGTATGGCCAATAAGATACAAAAAATTGTATTCCTCTACAATAAACACTATCCCACCCTCAGCTCCATCTTGATAAGTCCTCAGCCACCATGCCCCCCCTATCTTTGACTATATTGCGACATCATCTACCGCCTAGCCTCCGAAACCATGAGGCCCTCTGTTTTGTCCTTGACTCCCCCTTGCAGAACCCGTCATTGCGACCTCTATGTCACCCCCCTCGACATCCGAAGAGACCACTGGGCTGTCATCCCAGAAATCCTTTTAAAGAAATCCGCTAAATATCTAGCGGGCATACGATCCGAAATGTGCAAATTCCCAATAGCCTCGTTCCCTGTTCTTTTGATGCATTATTTTTGCCTGCGCCTCCTACGCGTTCTGTTCCGCTGTTGCCTGTTCCGCTGTTGCCTGTTCCTCCGCACAGAATCAGTTGGATGTTGTACCATGTTCTGTGTTGATGCACCACGAATATCCCTTGAAAACTAGCTGGGTAACTGGCGAAACGGGATTTTCCGTGTAACAAATACAACTTTGAATTTAATTCACGTGGAGTGAGAGGTGTGTGTGTGTGTGTGACATTGTCTGACTGGTGTGACATTGTGTGGTGACAGGTGGGTGGAGTGACGGTGTGTGATTGGTGTGTGGAGTGATGGGGATGCTTGAGAGATGGGGAAGTCGTGTGAGAGGTGCATGGTGATACAGGTGTGTGTAGTAACAGGTGCGATAGGTGTGGTGAGAGGTGTGTGTAGTGGTGCAGGTTGGTGATTGGGGTGCTATGTTAACACCACGCCTATTGTAAGAATCCATTATTTTTTTATTTAAATAATTTATCTGCAAACCATATCCCGAGGCTAATGAATTATGCCCGTGACCAAGTCACACCCGCAATCTGCCCGATCCTGTCGCAACTCGGAAGCTAAAGAGTTCAGCCCGGATAGAGAACCCAGAGTAAAAATGTAAAAAAACATTGTAACAAAAACATCCAAAATGCTCCTTTTTGGTTCTTTCGGTAAAGTCACGTAGAAGGGAAATAATAAAATAATAAAAATTAAACATAATAAAATACAATTCTCACGACGTTTCAGCCACAACGCAAGCAGCCGTCCTCAAGTGAAGAATTCAGACTCTGTCTCCTCGACAGACCTGTTCTTCACCTGAGGACGGCTGCTTGCGTTGTGGCCGAAACGTAGTGAGAATTATTTTATCATGGTTTATTTTTATTATTTCCCTTCTACGTGACTTTACCGAAAGAACCAAGAAGATGAATCCCTGCAGTCACGAAAGCTTTAAATCGAAATAATGAGAATATTTCAGAGTATTTGGCTGCAATATATTTTCACGTGATAAACCACTTCGTTGAGATCTCATTTGTCCATGGCCAGGTCTGCAGCTCCAGTGGGCCTTACCTGATAAAATAAAAATAGTTAAATAGCAATAGTTAATACAGGGACTTCTGTACTTTTGAACATTCGATTTAGGAACTTTTAGAGATGCTACCAAACCTGTGCATATGTCCACTTCCCTGATCAGATCCAGAGTGGTAAGTTCAACTGCCGCGCAATAGATGGCGGTGGTGCCATCTACATCTGCAGAACATGAAGAACCAGTGGCATCTACAGGAGATTATACAACTCGACAAGCCATTCCCGTGTTTCGTGTACATGCTGCACAACATGTTTGGAATCGACAGGTTTAAAGTGGGACTTCCGAACAAATCGACTTAAGAACAGACTTGTTCGTAAGTAGAGGAGTCCCTGGAATAAAAAAAAATCACGTTGAAAGGAGGCGTTGGAAGGAGGGAGAGACCAGAGGTCGCAAACGGGTTTTGATTCCTTACCCGTACCCATACCCGGCCGCACCCTACCCGATACCCGGCTACCCGTACCCGGCCGAGTATCGGGTAGGGTACGGGTACGAGTACCCGATTGCGACCTCTGGGATAAAGCCATGTTGCAGGCGTGGGTGGGTTGATTCTAGGAACTTGAATTGTGAGAAGAGACAAGACGTTGGGAAATGAGTGACAAACGGTTACTCACCAGTGACTCACGGCCTACCCGTACCCGGCCGCACCAGGGTCGCGGCCGGGTACGGGTAGCCGGGTATCGGGTAGGGTACGGGTATCGGCTACCCGATTGCGACCTCTGGGAGAGACTCTTTGACCGCCTGTCTCTCTCCGCCCGTCGCGTCCCCAGGCTAAAGCAGCCGCTGACGCTGTCGGAGAAGGTGGTGTACGGCCACCTAGAGGACGCGCGCTCGCAGGAGCTGGAGCGTGGCCGCTCCTACCTGCGGCTGCGCCCCGACCGCGTGGCGATGCAGGACGCCACGGCGCAGATGGCCATGCTGCAGTTCATCAGCAGCGGGCTGGCGCGCGTCGCCGTGCCCTCCACCATCCACTGCGACCACCTCATCGAGGCGCAGCTTGGCGGGAACGAGGACCTGCAGAGAGCCAAGGTGGGGGTCGGGAGTGGGTTGGGGGTGGTAGGGGGGTGCTCTGTAGAGTTCGTTAAGAAATCTAATATGTGATGGGAGCAAGAAGTGACTCCCTTCCCACCACAGGGATGGACAGGAGTCTTAGGGGTCATCGACTTCCGTTGATAAGTTCACTAAAGCGTGACGTGTAAGTTATCTCTTTCTAAGTGCTCCTCCCTTTCTCTTTCATCAGTCCCCCCCTAACTCCCTTCCCCCCGCTCCCTTGGCTGTCTTTTTTAAGTTAATTTCCCTCAACCTCTCCGTATAAACGTACACGCACAACCGCTCCTGGTCCCCACTCAATAGGGGCGGCAGCCAGCTCACTCTCTCCCCTGCTGTAAACCCAGAAAATATGAAGAAAAAAAGTGCAAGCCACGGCACTTGATTACAAGCCGCGTGCATCGCCGCTACTGCCCGGCTATCTGCATGAGGCTACTTGCTCGGGGAGTGCTTGTGGGTTGTGGCTGATTGTGTGCATGTGTGTGCTTGCGTGCTCTAGGACATCAACAAGGAGGTTTACAACTTCCTGGCCACAGCTGCCAAGAAATATGGAGTCGGATTCTGGAAACCCGGCTCCGGAATCATCCACCAGGTGGGAATGTGATCTCACGAGAAGTCACACATGTATGAACACTAACGCCTACATGCACACACACACACATACGTATAGACATGGACAAAGACAAAGGTTCCCTGTATAACCTTTAACGGACTGTTGGGCAAAGTACGCGAACACCTATGAAGGCCGGCACGGCACCCGAGGATTGTGACGGGAGCAGAGTGGGTTGTGATGGGAACCTCCCATTTCAATCAGTCTGCACAACAAAGGCTCATTCCTAAGAGGTTTCAGCCGCGCACCACCTCTACATAACAAAGGCTCAGTCCCATTTACAGCAACCGCACCTTTACATCAGCCGCACCTTAACAACTCTTGGAACCTCCCATTTCAACCAGTCTACACAACAAAGGCTCATTCCTTGCAGCGTGCTTCAGCCGCACCGAACCTCACAATGGCTCCTCCCACCCTCAACCAGTATATTTACAAGGACTGTTTTCTTGGAATTTCTCCCACTTGATACAGCAGTCGTGCTGTGACGGTTCCACCTGAAGACGGAAGCTTGTGTTGCCTCCGAAACGTCGTGATTTTATTTTTATTTTACTTTTATTAATTTAAAATGTTTTACCTACGTGACTTTACTGACAAAACCTAAGAATATGAATCCTTGCAGTCACGAAAGCTTCAAATCTAGGGAGCAGTGTGGATTGTGAGGGTCTCCGTGTGGATTGTGAGGGTCTCCGTGTGGATTGTGAGGGTCTCCGTGTGGGTCGTGACGGTAGCCGGCTGGGTCGTGGCGGTAGCCGGCTGGGTCGTGGCGGTAGCCGGCTGGGTCGTGGCGGTAGCCGGCTGGGTCGTGGCGGTAGCCGGCTGGGTCGTGACGGTAGCCGGCTGGGTCGTGACGGTAGCCGGCTGGGTCGTGACGATTGTGTTGTGCCACTCAGATCATCCTGGAGAACTACGCGTACCCGGGCGTGCTACTCATCGGCACGGACTCGCACACGCCCAACGGCGGCGGCCTGGGCGGCGTCTGCATCGGCGTGGGCGGCGCCGATGCCGTGGACGTCATGGCCAACATCCCCTGGGAGCTCAAGTGCCCCAAGGTGAGCCGGGGTTAATCCGCTGCTGGATGTGACGGCCCCCTCGCCAAGTCGTCGCCATTCTTCGCTGTCACGCGACGCAGCAACCCCACTCAGCCCGGCTTCCTCCACCATCGTCATCATCGTCATCACCGCACGTTCGATTAGCACGATTGGACACGTATGGTGTAAAAGAAGTTCAATATATATACGGACATCATCGTTGTCAATGTAGTTTTAGTATCGCCGCGAGCTGAGCGCACAGGCAATGCCCAAACAGCGGATCCACCACGCGTATGGGAAGAGGTGGCGGTTGTGTTATTGATTTTTGGTGGTGGTTGTGGTGTATTTAATTGGAGTGAAGCTGACCGGCAAGCTCTCTCTGGCTGGTCGTGGTGACTCTGGTTATGGTGATGATCGCGGCGGCGGTGGTGGTGGTTGTGGTGCAGGTGATTGGGGTAAAGCTGACCGGCGAGCTGTCCGGCTGGTCGTCGCCCAAGGACGTGATCCTGAAGGTGGCCGGGATCCTCACGGTGAAGGGCGGCACGGGCGCCATTGTGGAGTACCACGGGCCCGGCGTCGACTCCATCTCCTGCACCGGTGCGGATTACCGCACTGCACAAACCGCACCGTACCGCACCGCGCCACGTGCAACGCACTACGGGTCTGACCGGGAATGCGCGTGCGTGCCTTGCAGGCATGGCCACCATCTGCAACATGGGAGCGGAGATTGGAGCCACCACCTCCATCTTCCCATACAACCACCGCATGCGGGACTACCTTGTGAAGACGGGGCGCGAGGGTACCGCTCGCCACCACGCTCGCCACCACAAAGCTCACCATGAATATCGCCACCACGATCACCACCACGCTCGCCACCACGACCACCACGACCACCACGCTTGCCACCACCACCACCACGCTTGCCACCACCACCACCACGCTCGCCACCACCACCACGCTCACCGCCACCACCACCATCACGCTCACCACCACCACGCTCGCCACCACCACCACGCCTGCCAGCACACTCGCCAGCACAAAGCTCACCATCGATATCGCCACCACCACGCTCACCACCACAACACTCACCACCACGCTCACCACCACACTCACCACCACCACGCTCGCCACCACTCGCCACCACTATGCTCACCAGCGCCACACTCGCCATCAACCTCCCCACCACGCTCCCCACCACGCTCCCCACCACGCTCCCCACCACGCTCCCCACCACGCTCCCCACCACGCTCACCACCACGCTCACCACCACGCTCACCACCACGCTCACCACCACGCTCACCACCACGCTCACCACCACGCTCACCACCACGCTCACCACCACGCTCACCACCACGCTCACCACCACGCTCACCACCACGCTCACCACCACGCTCACCACCACGCTCACCACCACGCTCACCACCACGCTCACCACCACGCTCACCACCACGCTCACCACCACGCTCACCATCCAGCCCCCACCGCCTTCACTTCCCTCGCCTCCCTCACCACATGACCCCTCACGACCCCCCATCCCCCACCCTCGGTGGCGGGGAGTCGGGGGGGGGGGGGGGGGGCATGCCCACAAGTTGGCTCTGACCTGTGACCTTGGCTGCGGGGACGGTGCAGGGATCGCCGAGTTGGCGGAGAAGAACAAGGAGTACCTGGTGCCTGACGCGGACTGCCACTACGACCAGCTCGTCGAGATCAACCTCAACGAGGTCGGCCACAGCGCGGGGTTTCGCGCACTCCACAGGCCCCGGCCACGCCGCAGAGGCTGATGCACCGAAGGGTGCCGGCCACGCCCCAGAGACTGCCACGCAGCCGTATATTCGGCCACAACACAGGGTTCTACCGCACCACACAGTCAGACGCCGCAGAGTAGGCCACATCGCAGTCGGCCACCAATGCAGGGTCCGACGCACTCTTGAGTGTGTAATGTGGTTGTTCAAGTTCATTTATTAGGTATTAGCTCTGTGAACCATTCGGCTCTTGAATCGGGTGCAACCGCAACAAACAAAAAACAAAAACATGAACAAAAAACATCTTAAAGTGAATGTGACTAAGTGCAAACAGAAAATCCAAGAAAAGACAGCAAAATATTGAAGAAAAAAACACCGTACACCAACGCTGTGTGCAAAAATCCCAGTGGGATGCAAGTCAAACAACAACAACAACCATAAGACAACTTAGATTAAGGCCATCAGTCTAACGCTGTACTACAACAAACAAACATGGCTAAACCAATAACGTTTCGAAATCACCAAAATAAAGCCATGAAAGCAATGAAAAAGCAATCATAGGAACTGATGGAATTTTCACAATAAATGGCATAAACATGTACTACCAAAACCCTACAGCCATAGCTGGCTGCATGAGCCACTCCACAATATTAGGAGCATCAATCGGAGTATTATAATTTTTCAATGCACCTTTAAGATCAGCACACTAAATCAAAACACAGGTCATACTTTGTAGCGATCATCCGGAGCGAAACATTTTATTTTAGGCCACTGAATAGCACTGGCAGCTAGGGGTGTACAACTCCTCTAGAGCAGTTTTGAGTGAAGATCTCACAGGTAGTGATTCAAGTTGCAGTTGATTGGTAACAGCATTCCAGACCCTGGGGGCATCAACAGCAAAGGCCCTTCCTCCAGTATATGTACGGCAATACAGAATATGAAGCTGGTAAATGAGTGTAGACCTTAGGTCAAATTTGTTTTTTGTGTGGTGTGCCGATGCAGCTGAAGCCCATGATTAACGGGCCGTTCACACCGGACCTGGCTCACGACGTGGCGGACGTCGGCGCCACCGCGGAGCGTAACGGCTGGCCCACCGACATCAAAGTGGGTGAGCACCTGCCCCTGCACCAGCCACGGCGTCACAGCCGGCGCGGCAGGAAGCGCAACGCGATGCGACGCCGTCCGCAACGTGACGCTCGTCACAACCTCGCTTGCGCTGCAACACAACGCCAGTTCCATCCCCCTCCCCTAAACCAGTATATATACGGGGTAGTATCCCTTGGAATCTCTCATTTACTTGATTACAGCAAGCGTGCTGTGACGGTTCCACCTGAAGACGGAAGCTTGTGTTGCCTCCGAAACGTCGTGATTTTTATTTTATTTTTATTTTACTTTTATAAATTTTGATTTTTTTACCTACGTGACTTTACCGAAAAAACCTAAGAATATGAACACAACACCAGGCACCGCGTCTGACACACGCGGTTGGTTGGTGGTGGTGTGTTGTGTGTGGTGCTGGTAGTGGTGTTCGTGGTGATGGTGCGAATGGTACTTGTTGTGGTGGCACTGATGGCGATACTGCTGGTGTGGTAGTCGTGTTAACGGTGGTGGTTGTGACGGTGCTAGCGGTTGTTGTATTGTCGCTGCTGCTGCTGCACAGGTCTCATTGGCAGCTGCACCAACAGCAGCTACGAGGACATGGGCCGCGCGGCGTCGGTGGCGCGCCAGGCCCTGAGCCACGGCCTCAAGGCGCGTGCCGCCTTCACCGTCACGCCGGGCTCGGAGCAAATCCGGGCCACGATCGAGCGCGACGGCTACGTGAGCGCAACATACACGCTCCACCGCATTACACCATACAAGTTTCACCACACCATACACACTGCACCATACACGCTCCACCGCACCGTACACGCTGCACCACATTACACTACACCGAACACACTAAACCACATTACACCACGCCAAACACGCTACACCACTCTTGATTTGAAGCTTTCGTGACTGCAGGAATCCATACTCTTTGGTTCTTTCGGTAAAGTCACGTAGATAGAAAAAATAATAATAAATCGCGACGTTTTGATCGCAACACAAGCGGTCGTCCTCAGGCGGAAAAAAAAATAATCCAGCAGTGGAACTATTTTTCTACCGTGAGGACGACCGCTTGTGTTGCGATCGAAACGTCGTGATTTATTTTTCTTCTTTTTCTACTTACGTGGCTTTAACGAAAGAACCAAAGCGTACGCTACACCACATTACACCACCACACCATACAAGTTAGACCTACACACTACACCACACCCATACACTTTACACCACGCCATACCCACGGCCAAACGCATCGCAGTACATAAAACACACACACACAACCTTCCAGTACCACTGACTGGAAGGCGTTGCTGTACTAATGACATCCACCTTTGGGGCTTTTGCTTTTACATTGGCACAGTTGAAACCCATTGAGCCATAAGTGCAAATGTTTGATGGGGGGGGGGAACCTGGTTACACCATAGGAACCTTGTTACAGCAACAGCAAAACAAATGAAAAGAATCCGAAAACAACTGTACAATGTCAAATTCCGAATGGCCAAGGTCGTGCGTCAACATGGTACAACCAGCACAGAGCGCCAAAGGCGAGTAGAATGCATCGCGTGCTACAGAAAAAGATGTGTAACTCAAAGTCTACATTGGACACGGCAGTACACATGGCAAAGCACAGCGCAGTACACAGCGATGCAGTAGTACGGCCAGTACACACAACCGTACAATAGACACGGCACACACGGTATCATGGCATCAATCGGTACAGACATCGGACACGCACGGCCGAACACGCGACAGCGCACACGGAACCACGCAGGAGACGCACAATAGCACACGGCAGCACCACGTATTATGCACATAGCGGGTAGAATCGTTGGACAAAGTCTGACCCTTATACTGCCGAATTATAAACGGAATTAATGTTTCCTATCAATGTAAGGTTTTTTTTTTCTCTGGTTTAACAGTAATATTAGTCTTCTTGGTTCTTTCGGTAAAGTCACGTAGAAGGGAAATAATAAATAATAAAACATATTAAAATTATTCTCATGACGTTTCGGCCACAACGCAAGAAGCCGTCCTCAGGTGAAGAACAGGTCTGTCGGGAAGACAGCGTCTGAGGGACGGCTGCTTGCGTTGTTGCCGAAACGTCGTGAATTATTTTATTATGTTTTATTTTTATTATTTTATTATTTCCCTTCTATGTGACTTTACCGAAAGAACCAAGAAGATGAATCCCTGCAGTCACGAAAGCTTTAATTCGAAAAGTAATATTAGTTTCATTTTTTCACCCCTAATGAGGTCAGAATGAAAATATTAATACTGGAGGAATCCGATGAGCTAGAAAGCTCTTGTTCACACATGTTCAGTAGGTAGCTGTGACTTGACCGTGCACGTTGCACTTGCCTTGTGTAACTCCAGTCTCCCTTGCGAGGGAGATTGGTGACATTCACTACAGTGTAGTCCCTCGGTTAACAAGGACATCGGTTAACGTTTCGCCTCCCATAGGGCACCCCCCCATGGTTTCTACTAACATTCAAATGTTGACTAACGGCATGTTTATGTTATGCACGATGGGCGCCAATTTCGGCCAATCCCGAGCGCTCGTTAAGTGGGGCCGAGCCATGCCCTCAGCTAATTGGCGATGCCCGTTGATGAGCGTTGATACCTAGACTGGCTTTGTTTACGTTTACGTTTTCTGTTTCGGCAGTGGAAACGGCTCTCTTGCAGACTCCGGGGATTTTGACTTAATTTTCATCTTTTGAGTGAACTCGATGAACAGTTATTACGGTTTACAGTAGTTTTGGTGGAATGAATTTAAAACGTTAACCGAGGGACTACTTTTCTTCAAACATTTATTTAGCTAAACTTGGTTGCATTCTGCAAATGTTGCCCAAAATTCCATGTTAAACATTGCAGCTTCACTGTTTATTATGCGCAGCACAGTTACTCATTACTGATTAATTAAATGTTGTCCAGACCCACAATGTAATCATTAACACAGTAGGGGCAGGTAGGCCTGACCCTAGCCCTCGCTTCTCGCCTGGGTGACCCAGCCCCGTTGAGCCTTGCAGGGGAACTAGGCAAGGGGGAAGGCGTAGGCTCGGCCTGTTTAGTAAGACATGATTGTTATTTTAGAAAAGCAACTCGGGCAAAAGTAAGAATGAGCCAAAGCAACGTTGTGTGAGGTGAGTTATCTACTTTTAAAAAGGAAAAATAATTTTATTTTAATATACAAAAAATATATCTTTGCCGTCATACGCGTAAAACATTTCAACCATTTTGGACCAGGTTGCCATGATAGCCATTTTGCGATGGCAATGATAAACGCACGTCAGCTGCTGTTTCTAATATTTGTGTGAGTTGCACAGACATATGCAGCTTCAGCAACATTACTTGAGGAAACGTTTGCATGGTTCAACTTTCGCTTGAGTCTCTCACGGGGCTTTAACCTGCTTGTCTATGAAGTTGATGAGTAAATATACTGAACTCGGGGTTGTTCGGGGGCCTCGCAACCATTTACAGCCTTTGGCCAGGAAAGTCACGAATTTTTTTTCACACAAACGACGCATTGACGCAAGCACCCGATGCTCCGTTTTGAAGTTTTGAAATGAAACATCTTTGAATTGTACTATGATTCGAATTAAATACTTTTATTTTTTCATTAAAAGCTTATTTCATTTTACATCTAGAAGACTTAATTGAAAACGACGTCGTTAAGTAGATGGCCTTGCTGGGGGTTCGGTTCGATGCGGCATTTCACCTGTTTGGGATTGTGAGACGACCGCCGTCTGCAGATCGATTCCAACGTAATCGATCGTCTGTCCCTGTGCCTCCGTCGTTCGTGCATGAAAACGACGGAAAGTGCAGCGTTCATCGCAGATGGATAAAGTTGTGCGCTTATATAAGAGTATGAGTGAGTGACTAATGAGTGAATGAGTAAACACGACCCCTGCTCCACTTGACCTCCAGTGTCCATGCCTCCACACGGGCCCAGGCTTTGCCTGACTTGGGTGGGAGTGAATAAATCTGTGAATGGTTGAACGGCCGAGTGAACTAAAAACTGAATTAATGAGTGAACGAATGCGTGAACGACCGAGTGAATGGGTGAACACCACTCGTGCTCCCGTTTATTCCTGCGCGTGTCCCCACACAGGCCCAGGTTCTGCGTGACATCGGGGGCGTGGTGCTCGCCAACGCCTGCGGCCCGTGCATCGGACAGTGGGACAGGTGTGAACGCACCTCACCTTCTCTCATGATCTCCCTCCCTCCCCCTCTCTGTCTCTCTCTGTCTGTCTCTGTCCGTGTGTGAAACTCCGCCTGGTGTTTGCCACATCCTGAATGTGCGGCACCTGGGTCTGTCCCGTGACTTTGTCCCGTTCGATACTTCACGTGGCCTTAACGTGCACACAGCCTGGCACGAGCGCCGTGGTGACGTTACCGCTGCTCATTGGCGAATGGCTGTTGTATATTGGGAGTGGTAGCGTAATGGTTAACGCGCTGCGATCTGAACACAGCGACCCGAGTTCGATTCCCTTGGCAGTCAACACTGGTGACGATGATCTGCATTAGTCCTGGGCCTCCCCTAGGCTGAACGAGGTTATACTGTGGATCTGTGTTGCGTGCAAGCGCAGGAAGGACGTGAAGAAGGGAGAGAAGAACACCATCGTGACCTCGTATAACCGCAACTTCACGGGACGCAACGACGCCAACCCAGCCACGCACGCCTTCGTCACCTCCCCCGAGGTGCAGCCCCCCCCCTCCCCTCCCCCTCTCTCTCCCCCTGTGCTTGTCCCTGCCCCCCCACCCCCATGCCCGTCTCCCCGTGTTCCCTTGCTCCGTTGTGTTTGTGTCCCCGTATCTCTGTGCTGCGATGTTCGCATATCCCCCAGCTTCCTGTCCCCGTGGCACTCTGCTGCCTGTGTCTATATTCCAGTGTCCACACGCCTCTGTGACATTCTCTCTCCGTGTGTCTAACCCTGCGCCACCGTGTCGCCACGCCGCCGTGTTCCCACGTCTCCGTCGCTCCCATGCAGAGGTCGCAAACGGGTTTTGATTCCTTACCCGTACCCGGCCGCACCAGGGTCGCAAACGGGTACCCGTACCCGGCCGTACCCTACCCGTACCCAACCGGGTACGGGTAGGGTATCGGGTACCCGATTGTGACCTCTGGGATGAAGCCATGTTGCAGGCGCGGGTGGGTTGATTCTAGGAACTTGAATTGTGAGAAGAGACAAGACGTTGGGAAATGAGTGACAAACAGTTACTCTCCAGTGACTCACGGTCTACCCGTACCCGGCCGCACCAGGGTCGCAAACGGGTACCCGTACCCGGCCGGGTACGGGTAGCCGGGTATCGGGTAGGGGTACGGGTATCGGGTACCCGGTTGCCACCTCTGCTCCCATGTCCCTCTGTCCCCACGCCCCCCCCGTTGTCCCCGGAGTCCCGTCGCGTCTCCGAGCGCCTCGCCGTTGTCCCCCGCAGATTGTGACGGCGCTGACCATCGCGGGCTCGCTCAAGTTCAACCCCGAGACGGACTTCCTGACCGCGGCCGACGGCAAGAAGTTCAAGCTGACCCCACCCACCGGGGACGAGCTCCCTGCCAAGGCACGCGCGGCCCGAACTCTATAAGCACACCACCAACACAGTGACGGCACGCGACCAGCACAGCCCACTAACCACGTGACCGGCACACAAGGCTGACACGACAACAACAACCGCCATTCGCCACTAAGTGGCGGTGACGTCACCAGGCTATGTGCACGTTGAGGCCACGTGGAGTGTCGAACGCCCGCTGGCAGGTCACGGGGCAAACCCAGGCGCCACGGGTCGACTGAGATGACTGGCCGATGCACTACCTGTGCCCCCTACTGTGCCAACTTGCTGTGATTTAGCCACCACAGTAGCGTCCTTCACGAGCCTCTTCCACAGAGGCCGATCTTGACACCGCTGGTACCGGTCATCGGCAAGTCCACTCGGTTCCACATCCTCTTATACCACATCACTCCATCTCTTCTCTAGCCCGTGCCGCGCCCGTTTAGCCCCCTCTATCCGGCCGAACAAAAGCTGTTTAGGCATGTGGGCTACAAGACCCAGCCATGGACAAAGACCCCATGTTTAGATTGACAGACTGTTGGGGAAAGTTATCTTAGCAAGCACCTAATTAAGGCTGGCACAGCACATGAGGGGGTGCGTTGACAGCACCACTCACTAACTGCTGGCCACCACACACAGTCCCACACTCGCACGCACACGCACACACGTGGTAGTCTTCTCCCCGTACGTGACCCCGCCCCGTCCGCCGTCTCCGTGTCGGCGAGCAGGGCTTCGACCCCGGCATGGACACGTACCAGGAGCCCCCCCCGGACGGCCAGACAGTGCGCGTGGACGTCTCCCCCGAGAGCCAGCGGCTGCAGCTGCTGGAGCCGTTCAACAAGTGGGACGGCAAGGACCTCGCCGACATGCTGGTGCTCATCAAGGTGACAAAGCGCACACGCTGACGTGCAAGCGCGCTATTGAAAAGACACAGGGTCTCCAGTTTAGCCTTGAAAGACTTTTGGGGCAAGTGCTGTTAGCGAGCAGCACCTAATGAAGGCCGGAGTAAATTGATTGTGGGTCGCCGGGTTCGTAGTGCAGTTGCGCTGACCGTTGTACTGCCGCTCCCCAGACACGCACACACGATCACGTACACACAGGTGGTGGTGGTGTGGTTTTGGTTGTACAGGTGAAGGGTGAATGGTTGAGGTGGTTGTGGTTGTTGTGCTGGTGTTTGGGCAAAAGTGGTAGAGGTGATTGTGGTTGTTGTGGTTGTACAGATGTTAGGGCAAAAGTGGTAGAGGTGGTGATTGTGGTTGTTGTGGTTGCACAGATGTAAGGCAAGTGGTAGAGGTGGTGGTTGTGATGGTGGTTTTGCAGGTGAAGGGGAAGTGGTGGTTGTGGTGGTGGTTGTGCAGGTGAAGGGTAAGTGGTGGTGGTGGTGGTTGTGGTTGTGCAGGTGAAGGGAAAGTGATAGAAGTGGTGGTGGTTGCTGTGGTTGTGGTTGTGCAGGTGAAGGGCAGGTGGTGGTTGTGGTGGTGGTTGTGGTGGTGATAGTTGTGGTGGTGGTTGTGGTTGTGCAGGTGAAGGGAAAGTGCACCACCGACCACATCTCAGCGGCCGGGCCGTGGCTCAAGTACCGGGGCCACCTGGACAACATCTCCAACAACCTTCTCATCGGCGCCGTCAACACGGAGAACGGAAAAGTCAACCTTGTCACCAACCAGCTGACGGGATCCACCGGTGCCGTGCCCGACACGGCACGCGAATACAAGGTGCCCCTGCGCCACCCACGCACATGCGCCCACCACTTCACCCACGCACGTGCGCACACCACGTCACCCACGCACCATGAGGTGCAAGTGTTGATGTGTGTCGGTGTGTGTGCGCGCTAATGTCTGTCGTGTGTTGTGTGTGTGTGTGAGCGGGGTGCAGTGGGTCGTAGTTTTGTGTTTTGTTTGTGTGTTAGTGCCTATATCTGTGTGTTTGTCTATAACTGCGTGCGTGTGTGTTTTGTTTGTGTTTAACTGTACGTGTGTGTGTGTGTTCGCGCCTAAAACTGTGTGTGTGTGTGTTCGTGTCGATAACTGTGCGTGCATGTGTTTTTGTCTATAACTGTGTGTGTTTGTCTATAACTGCGCGTGTGTGTGTGTGAGCAGAAGAGCGGTGTGAAGTGGGTCGTGGTCGGCGATGAGAACTACGGCGAGGGCTCGAGCCGCGAGCACGCCGCACTGGAGCCACGCCACCTCGGGGGGAGCGCCATCATCGTCAAGTCCTTCGCTCGCATCCACGGTACAGCGTGCCGTCATACCAGCGCAGTGTCATGCCCGGCACGGCACTCGGCGTCGTGCACTACCGCGCAGGACTATCGTCGGCAAATCCTGAGCTCGCGTACTTCATGGCACGGGCACATGGCACCACAGCGCTGCACACGACCACAGAACTTCGACCAATGGTGTCTCTCGTGTAAAATAGCCGGGTAACCAGCTAAACGGGACCATCATCGGCATAACAAAAGAAGTCGCGCTTGAACCCACACTGATGCTGCTCGTGAGCGACCGTGAGCGGGAATTGAACTCGGGTGGTCAGCTTTGTGGGGCACTGCACTGACCTCTCTGCCACCGCTGTACGCACGCATGCACATACACACGCACACGCACGCGCGCATACACATACACACACAGAGACGAACCTGAAGAAGCAGGGCGTCCTGCCACTCACGTTCGACAATCCGGCCGACTACGACAAGATCCGCCCCGACGACCGCATCTCCATCATCGGCCTCACTTCCTTCGCTCCCGGCAAGGTACGGTGTCCGGTCCCGTGCGTGTGTGTGTGTGTGCGCGCGCCTGTGTGTGCGCGCGTGTGTATATTTCGGGAGCGATAGCGTAACGGTTAGTGCGCTCCGCTACAAACGGCGATTTATTTTAACCAGTCCTGGACCTCTCCTAGGTCGACTCGGCCTCAAATGAGTACCTGGTGTGGTCTATAAACATCACCACTAGAGAGACAAAGGCGGCCGGGCGTGGTGCTGGCCACCCACCCCCTCGTGTACCGTTCCGGCCTTCATAGGTGCTCTCTAACAGCACTTGCCCCAACAGTCTGTTAAGGCTATATGGGGGATCTTTGTCTTTGTGTGTGGCACAGTAAGGGGGCACAGCTGATACATCTGCCAGTCCTCTCAGTCGGTCAACCCATGGCACCTGCTGGGTCTGTCCCGTGACCTGTCAGTGAAGCCTTCGACACTTCACGTGGCCTCAAAGTGCACCCAGCCTGGCACAGGCGCCGTGGTGACGTCACCATCACTTAGTGGCGGATGGTGGTTATTGGTGTGTATGTGTGCGTGTGTGCGATTCCCACTCACGGCTAACACCAGTGACGATTATCTGAACCGGTCCTGGGCCTCCCCTAGGTCGACTCAGCCTTAAATGAGTACCTGGTGCGGTGTGTAAACATCGCCACTGGGGAGACAAAGGCGGTCGGGCTTGGTGCTGGCCACCCACCCCCTCGTTCGTGTACCGTTCCGGCCTTTATAGGTGCTCGCTAACAGCACTTGCCCCTACAGTCTGTTAAGGCTATACGGGGGATCCTTGTCCTTGTATGTGTGCGCGTGTTGCCTCCTGCAGCCGCTGTCGTGCTTGGTGAAGCACAAGGACGGCTCCACGGACAAGTTCCAGCTCAACCACACGTTCAACGAGGGCCAGATCAGCTGGTTCCGCGCCGGCAGCGCCCTCAACCGCATGAAGGAGCTGCAGTAGAAACCCCCGCCAACCACCGTCGCCCCCCCCCTCCACCGTCTCCGTCCCAGCCCCCTCCCCCCCTCTGTTTGTGCATCCTGTGGCTGCACTATCGCCGTGTATGCGATGGCGCGGTCTGCCTTGACAATTGCCTCTGTGGGCTGTGGGGTGCGCCACTGTCAATTGTGGAGGGGGTGGGAGGCGATTTGGGCCCCCGGCTATACGCACGCACGCACACATACAACAGCCGCAAAGCGCTTGTGCCAGGCTCGGTGCACTTTGAGGCCGGGTGGAATGTCGAAGGCTCTCTGGCAGGAGGTAACGAGACAGACCCCCCCCCCCCGCCAGGTGTTACGGGTTAACCGAGATCGCTGGCATGTGCAACACATGTACACACACACGCACGTTCTTGTGAATGGCAGGGAGTTAATCGGCGACGTTTGTTCATGTGGAGACTGGCGAGTGCTTCAGGAGGAACTTCATGGTGAATATCCGAGACGCTGCCGGTCAATGGTAGTAGTGGGCAGTGGTGTCAGTGCGTGCGCAAGCTCGTGTGTGTGGGCCACGCGTGGGCCACACGTGGGCTGTGTATGGGCCACGCGTGGGCCACGGTTTTAGAGACGGTGACCGCAGCGTCACCGTGGGATGTTCTTAATTGTCTGCCTTCGGTGGAGGTGGCCGTCCGGATCTGCCGTGCAATGTCCTCGAGCGATTCGCGAGCGCTCGTCCGCACAAGCGTACACACGCCCCCGCACGCACACGATAGCACCCAGGGACTCCCATTTGCCACAAAGTGGCAGTGATGTCACCACGGCGCTTGTGTCGGGATGGATGCACTTTTGATGTCGCGCGCGTGTCTATCTGGACACAAAGATCCCCTGTTGAGCATTTAACAAACTGTTGGGGGGGGGGGGGGTAAGCGCTGTAAGGGAAGCACCTTTTAAGGCCAGCACGTCACACGGAGGCGGTGGTGTGGCCAACACCACTCCCCCCAGGCACGGCTGAGTAGACTAAGGAGCAGCACAGAACCGGTTCAAATATTTGCCACGGTTATTGGTCCCTAATGGGATTCGTAGCGCAGTGCGTGCTAATCATTGCACCACCACTCCCGACAGACACACCCACCTACCTGCACACGCACAAAACAAATGTACACCTGTGTATGTACCTCCCCCCCCCATCTCCATGTAAACACAGAAGTATAGCCGCACACACGCACAAGTCTAGCCGCGTACACACACACACGCTCGCGTGTAGGTGCTGTGCACTGCTGTGTGTGGAGGGGTGCTCCATGTCAACTGCTTCATGGACTGCGTGTCCCTGTCGTGGCGCCGTGCGAGGAATGATCGCGGATTGGTGCCGGACTTGTAACCCCGGACCGGCCGCCCACACTCCAGTAATTATAATTAAAATAAAAAGAGGGTTTATGTTCGTGACCTTCGCGCTGTCCGCCTCCTTCACTGGCGCCACGACTCGCTTGACGCGTGCGTACGATCGGTCGCTTTATTTAGAGGTGGTGGTGGGGGAATCGAGTGGGAGACATGATTTCCGCGCCGACACAGTGTTGGTGACGGCGTGTGCAAGCGTGTGTTGTCATTGCTGGCAACAGCGTTAGCGGTGTCAGCTGCTAAGGCAGAGATTTCTGGAACTGTTTCACCCGACATGCCGATGGAAAGCGATCGTTTCGGCTGTACAATAATAGCAATGTGGAAGAGTAGGCCAAGCACCCTCTGGAGAAAGGGGGCTCTCAGGGTGGTGGGAACGCTGCTGGTGGTGCCACTCCTGGTGTTAAGCTGAGAGAACGCACCAGGGTTGGTGATGTGACACGTGGTGGTGGTGACTGGCGCCTAGCAGGCGAGGAAGCCCCCGTCCACGGGCAGCGTGACGCCGTGCACCATGGCGCTGTGCTCGCTCAGCAGGAACACGATGGCGTTCACCACGTCCTCCAGCTCTGTGGCACGGGGTCGTAGGGAGAGGGGGTCATGGGCACGACACTTGGTCAATTTGGTGGTGGTGACGACTACAGCCAGGTCTCCATCACCAATACACCTGCCTGCTTGTGTGTACATGACCATGTGGGGAGCGGTGGTGTAGTGGTTCCCGCGCTGCGATACGAACCCTGCAGCCGGGGTTCGATTTGCACTCGAGGCCAACACCAGTGACGGTTGTCTGAACCGGTCCTGCGCCCTCCCCTAGGTCGACCGAGCCTCAAATGAGTACCTGGTGTGGGTGTGTAAACTTTATCAACTAGGGAGACAAATACGGCCGTGCGTGGTGCTGGCCACCCCACGCCCTCGTGTGCCGCAGTGCCGGTCTTCATAGGTGCTGCTCGCTAACAGCACTTGCCCCAACAGTCTGTTGCAGGCGATACGGCGGGATCTTTGTGTGTGTGTGAGCGTCTTACCGGCGAATCGAGCGAGTGGTATGCGCGCCAGCATGGGCCCCGCTCGCTCTGGGGGGCTCCACGCCTCGCGGCCCATGTCCGTCATCACCACCGTGGGGTTTACGGCATTCACGCGGATCTGACCACGACACGCGCGCACGCAGGACAAAGGTCACCCGTACAGTCTTGACGGACTGTTGGGGCAAGTGGCGTTAGCGAGGGACACCGGGAGACAGAGACACGGGGGCACAAGGTGGAGTGTTTGCCGTGTGATTAGGAACAGGTGCACGCACTTACAGTACAGTAAATACACAAAGACAAATAACCCCCGCATAACCTTAACATAGTGTTGGGGCAAGTGCTGTTAGCGAGCACCTATGAAGGCTGGCACTGTGGCACACGAGGGGGTGGGTGGCCAGCACCACGCCCAACCGCCTTTGTCTCAGCAGTGGCGATGTTTACACACCGCACCAGGTAGACATTTGAGGCAGAGTCGACCTAGGGGAAGCCCAGGACCGGTTCAGATAATTGCCGCTGTTCTAGGTAGCGAGCGGGAATCGAACTTGTGTGACCGGGTTCGTTGCGCAGTGCAGTGCTGACCGCTGCACCACCGCTCCCCACGTGCGAGCAAGGACACACACACCCACACACACACAACAACAACAACCGCCATTCGCCACTAAGTGGCGGTGACGTCACCACGATGCTTGTGCCAGGCCAAGTGCACCTTGAGGCCACGTGAAGTGTCGAACGCCCGCTGGCAGGAGGTCACGGGGCAGACCCAGGTGCCACGGGTCGACTGACCGAGATGACCGAGATGACTGGCTGATGCACTACCTGTGCCCCCTACTGTGCCAACTTGCTGTGCTTTAGCCACCCGGCGCTCCGCTCGTTGTTGTGAGCGTCGCTCCTCCGCCCTCCGTTGTTGTTGGAGGGCGACTGCCTCCAATTGCCCAGTAGCGTCCTTCACGAGCCTCCTCCACTGAGGCCGATCTTGACACCGCTGGTACCAGTCATCGGCAAGTCCACTCAGCTCCACGTCCTCCTGTACCACATCACTCCATCTCTTCTCCAGCCCGTGCCGCGCCCGTCTAGCCCCCTCGATCCGGCCGAACAAAAGCTGTTTAGGCATGCGGTGGCTGGGCATGCGGGCTACATGACCCAGCCAACGCAGCCTTGCCTGCCGGAGGAGCTCACTGATGGGACTTTGCCCAGATCTTTCAAGGATTTGTGAGCTCCTCACACAATCCAGCCTGGTTAAACCCAGGATGGATCGTAGGCAGGCCAGCCTAAATGTTTCCAACCGGCGAAGATGCTCCACCAGGGGGGTCCACGTCTCGCAAGCGTAGAGAAGGGAGGGAATGACCGTGGCCGAGAAGACCTGAAGCTTCGTGCGGAGCGACAGACCAGGTAGCTTCCACACAGCGTTACGCAACTGATGAAAAGATATTGCCGCTCGACTGATTCGGAGTGAGACCTCTGCTGATAAACTGGAGCCGGTCATAAGCACACTGCCCAGGTATGGGAAACTCTCCACTCTCTCCACAACTGCCCCATCACCAATTGGGAGTTGTGGGGGTGGAGTGTCCGATGGTACAAAATACCCAGGCAGGTGCTTAGTTTTGGTGGGGCTGATGGTAAGGCCCCACCTCTTAGTGGCACGCTCCAGTCTCAGCAGCAGCGTCTCCAACTCCTCTTCTGAATGAGCAGCTATTACCAAATCATCGGCATACATAACGTGGTTGACCAATAGGGAGCCATCCCTTGATCGCACCCGGGCGTCGATCAGCCTCCCATTATATCTGTACCAAATGGAAATTCCCCCGGTACAGCTATTGAAGGCTTCACGAACTACGCGGTCAAAATAGATGTTAAATAATGTGGGAGCCAGAGGACATCCCTGTCGCACCCCAAGGTGTACAGGGAAAGGCTCCGACTCCCGGCCACGTAGTTTTACCCGGGCCCGCTCACCATCATGAAGGTCCTTAATGATCGTGAGCAGAGGGTCAGGGACTCCGAAAGCACGAAGAACAACCCAGAGCCCAGTCCTACTGATGGTATCATAGGCCTTGACCAGGTCAATAAAGCAGAGATGTAGGTCTTTTTGGAATTCCCACACACCCACACACACCCACACACACACCCACCCACCCACACACAGGCGGTGAGGATGGGCGAGTGGCATGTGGTGAGCGAGGTAGTGAGATCACAGCAATGAGCAGAGCGCCGAGCGGCTAAAGCACAGCAAGTTGGCACAATGGGGGGCACCAGGTGGTGCATCAGCCGGTCATCTCCGTCAACCCATGACACCTGAGTCTCTTCTGTGACCTCCTGCGAGCGAGCCTTCGACGCTTCTCAAGGTGAACCCAGCTTGGCACAAGCGCCGTGGCGATGTCAACGACACGTGGTGAACGGTGGCTGTTGTCATTCATGGAGAGGTCAGCGGGCTGTAACTCCCACATGGATGCGAGTGTGTGATAGTGACTGTCAGTCTTGTGTGCTGGTCACGTGGTGTGTGGGCTGCCCTGGTAAGAGTGAACCCATGGCACCTGGGTCTGTCCCGTGACCTGCCAGCAGGTGTTCGACACTTCACGCGGCCTTAAAAGTGCACCTCGCCTGGCATAAGCACCTGGGTGGACGTCACCGCCACTTGGTGGCGAATGGCGGATGTTGTTGGCGAGCGAGGCAGTCGTGTGTGCGTTACCTTGTGAGGTCCAAGCTCCAGTGCCATGACTTTGGTGAGCATGTCCAGGGCTCCCTTGGAGGCACCTGTCCACACACAGAGACAAAGATCCCCCATATAGCCTTAACAGACTGTAGGGGCAAGTGCTGTTAGCGAGCACCTACGAAGGCCGCAACGGCACACGAGGGGGTGGGTGGCCAGCACCACGCCCGACCGCCTTTCTCTCCCTAGTGGCGATGTTTACACACCGCACCGGGTAATCATTTGCGGCTGAGTCGACCTAAGGGAGGCCCAGGACCGGTTCAGATAATCGTCACCGGTGTTTGCCGTGAGCGGGAATCGAACCGCTACACTACCACTCCCCCACAGACACACACACACAGACACACACACACAGACACACACACACAGACACACACACAGACACACACACACAGACACACACAGACACACACACAGAGGGTGACACGGCGTTGTATATGCACACCACAGCCGGTGAGTCGCGGCGATGGTGAGCAGCTGATGCAGCTCCGTCGGCGGTTTGTAGCGGATCGGACTAAAGTTTGGTGCACGTTGGGTGGTGCAAAAGGAAGAACCGACCGAGCGTGACGCTTCGCTTTTAAACTATTTAAAAATACGTGGGTGAGTGCTGTGGGTGAGCGCTGTGGGTGAGCGCTGTGGGTGAGCGCTGTGGGTGAGCGCTGTGGGTGAGCGCTGTGGGTGAACGCTGTGGGTGAGCGCTGTGGGTGAGCATTGTGGGTGAGCGCTGTGGGTGAACGTTGTGGGTGAGCGCTGTGGGTGAACGCTGTGGGTGAGCGCTGTGGGTGAGCGTTGTGGGTGAGCGCTGTGGGTGAGCGCTGTGGGTGAGCGTTGTGGGTGAACGCTGTGGGTGAGCGTTGTGGGTGAACGCTGTGGGTGAACGCTGTGGGTGAGCGTTGTGGGTGAGCGCTGTGGGTGAGCGCTGTGGGTGAGCGTTGTGGGTGAATGCTGTGGGTGAGCGCTGTGGGTGAGCGCTGTGGGTGAGCGCTGTGGGTGAGCGCTGTGGGTGAGCGCAGTGGGTGAGCGCTGTGGGTGAACGCCGTGGGTGAGCGCCGTGGGTGAGCGCTGTGGGTGAACGCCGCGGGTGAGCGCTGTGGGTGAGCGCTGTGGGTGAGCGCTGTGGGTGAACGCCGTGGGTGAGCGCTGTGGGTGAGCACTGTGGGTGAACGCCGCGGGTGAGCGCCGTGGGTGAGCGCTGTGGGTGAGCGCTGTGGGTGAACGCCGCAGGACGAGCAGCAGCAGGAGGAGTTGGGTGCGTACAGTAGACGGCGTGGTTGAGCAGTGCGCGCTGCGACGCCTGGCTCGACACGTTCACGATGGCGCCGCCGCTTCCCCGCGCCACCATGCCCCTCGCCACCGCCTGCATCGCCACGGAAACGTCGTCACGTCACCAACGGCACCGTCGCAATGGCAACATCGCCACATCATCAACGGCACCATCACCACGGCAACGTCACGTCACCAACAGCACCGTCGCCATGGCAACATCGCCACATCATCAACGGCACCATCACCACGGCAACGTCACGTCACCAACAGCACCGTCGCCATGGCAACATCGCCACATCATCAACGACACCATCGCCACGGCAAAAATCGTAACAAGCAGAAGCAGCACTCACACACCCGTCTTGGTGACGTCACCGCCACTTAGTGGCGAATAGCGGTTGTTGTTGTGCCTGAGAGAGTGTGCGAGTGTGTGTGTGAGACTGTGTGTGTGAGACTGTGTGTGTGTGTGTGGCCTCAAGGTGCACATGGCCTGGCACAAGCGTCGTGGGGAGATCACCGCCACTTAGTGGCGAATAGCGGTTGTTGTTGTTGTTGTGCCTGAGAGAGTGTGCGAGTGTGTGTGTGAGACTGTGTGTGTGAGACTGTGTGTGTGTGTGTGGCCTCAAGGTGCACATGGCCTGGCACAAGCGTCGTGGGGAGATCACCGCCACTTAGTGGTGAATGGCGGTTGTTGTTGTTGTTGTTGTGCCTGAGAGAGTGTGCGAGTGTGTGTGTGAGACTGTGTGTGTGTGTGAGACTGTGTGTGTGTGTGTGGCCTCAAGGTGCACATGGCCTGGCACAAGCATCGTGGGGAGATCACCGCCACTTAGTGGTGAATGGCGGTTGTTGTTGTTGTGCCTGAGAGAGTGTGCGAGTGTGTGTGTGAGACTGTGTGTGTGAGACTGTGTGTGTGAGACTGTGTGTGTGCGTGTGGCCTCAAGGTGCACATGGCCTGGCACAAGCGTCGTGGGGAGATCACCGCCACTTAGTGGCGAATGGCGGTTGTTGTTGTTGTTGTGCCTGAGAGAGTGTGCGAGTGTGTGTGTGAGACTGTGTGTGTGAGACTGTGTGTGTGAGACTGTGTGTGTGCGTGTGGCCTCAAGGTGCACATGGCCTGGCACAAGCGTCGTGGGGAGATCACCGCCACTTAGTGGCGAATGGCGGTTGTTGTTGTTGTTGTGCCTGAGAGAGTGTGCGAGACTATGTGTGTGAGACTGTGTGTGTGTGTGTGAGACTGTGTGTGTGTGTCACGTGGGGAGCGGTGGTGTAGCGATTAGCGCTACGCTGCGCTATAAACCCGACGACCAGAGATCGATTCCCGCTCACGGCCAACACCGGTGACGATTATTTGAACCGGTCCTGGGCCTCCCCTAAGTCGACTCGGCCTCAAATGAGTACCCGGTGCGGTGTGTAAACATCGCCACTGGGGAGGCAAAGGCGGCCGGGCGTGGTGTTGACCACCCACCTCCTCGTGCACCGTTCCGCTAACAGCACTTGCCCCACGAGTCTGTTAAGGCTACACGGGGGATCTGTGTCTTTGTGTGAGGGTCAGTGCGAGGAGAGAGCTGTTACCTGGGACACCTGAAGAACTGCTTTCACGTTCACGTCAAATGAGCTGAAACGGCGCAAGAGACAGGCAGAGACAACAGTCATGCCCAGTGCGGTGTGTGCGGGTACACCGTGTGTGTGTGTACACTGTGTGTGTGTCTGGTGTGTCATGTGTGTGTGCACACTGCGGGTGGTGTGTGGCCTGTGTGTACACCGTGTTGTCTGTGTGTGTGTACACCGTGTGTGTGTGTGTGGTCACTGTGTGTGTGTCTGGTGTGCCGTGTGTGTGTGTGCGCACACCGTGTGTGTGTGTACACCGTGTGTGTGCGTATATACCCTGTGTGTGTGTGACTTGTGTGTACACCGTGTTGTGTGAGTGTGTGTGTAACACTGTGTGTGTGTACACCGTGTGTGGCCTGTGTGGTCACTGTGTGTGTGTGTGGCCTGTGTGTGTGTGTGTAACACTGTGTGTGTGTAACACTGTATGTGAGTGTGTGTAACACTGTGTGTGTGTAACACTGTGTGTGTGTGTATCACTGTGTGTGTGTACACTGCGTGCGAGTGTGTGTGTGTGTGTGCGTGGCGTGCGGCCCCACCGCTGGAAGGCCTCCGCCGTGACGTCGAGGAAGGGCTGCAGCAGGGCCACGCCGGCGTTGTTCACCAGGAGGTCCACGGGCCCCACGGGGCCCAGCGCCGCCTCCACCGCCCCCCAGTCGGCCAGGTCCACGCACACGGCACGCACCGCGGGGCACTGCACCGCACGCACCGCACGCACCGCACACACCGCACACACCGCACGCACCGCACACACCGCACACACCGCACCGCCACCACCACGTTACCCTGCATGCACCGCACACACCGCACACACCGCACCGCCACCACCATAACGTTACCCTGCACACACCGCACACACCGCACACACCGCACCGCCACCACCATAACGTTACCCTGCACACACCGCACACACCGCACGCACCGCACACACCGCACGCACCGCACACACCGCACCGCCACGTTACCCTGCACATACCGCACTACATTACTGTACACTACACTACTATACTCTACACCATACACTTCTGTACACTAATACCCTACGAAAACACTATACTCTACACTATACACTCCACTATACACTACTATACACTACACTATACACTACTATACTCTACTACACTATGCACTACATTATACACTATACACTACACTATACACTACACACTACACTATACACTACACTATACACTACACTATACACTAGTGCTGTACTAGTGACGAATTGGCCACGTTCTGTTTACGTGACAACCCTCACTATCTTGATTTGAAGCTTTCGTGACTGCAGGAATCAATACTCTTTGGTTCTTTCGGTAAAGTCACGTGGGTAGAAAATAAAATAAAATAAACCACGACGTTTTGGGCGCAACACAAGCGTCCTTCATCAGGTGGGAAAGCACGAGTTGGCTGTGTCGGGCGGTGGCGGGTATAACGACACATTTATATAATTACGCGATCTAACCCAAAAAAAACTATTACGGATGATATTGGTCGCGAAAGCCTTACGTGTTAAAGCCTTACGTGTTAAACTGGTACACCACTTACACCTGTACGGCACATTGAGCAGACACCACCAGCACCCTCACCCCAACTCTGAATGCCCCCACCCTCACCCTCACCCCCACCCTCACCCCCACCCTAACCCCCACCCTCACCCCCAACCCCACCCTCACCCCCACCCTCACCCCCACCCTCACCCTCACCCCAACTCTGGATGCCCCCACCCTCACCCTCACCCCCACCCTCACCCCCACCCTCACCCTCACCCCCACCCTCACCCCCACCCTCACCCCCACCCTCACCCCCACCCCCACCCTCACCCCCACCCTCACCCCCACCCTCACCCTCACCCCAACTCTGGATGCCCCCACCCTCACCCTCACCCCCACCCTCACCCCCACCCTCACCCTCACCCTCACCCCCACCCTCACCCCCACCCTCACCCCCACTCTGGATGCCCCCACCCTCACCCCCACCCTCACCCCCACCCTCACCCCCACCCTCACCCCCACCCCCACCCTCACCCTAACTCTGGATGCCCCCACCCTCACCCCCACCCTCACCCTCACCCCCACCCTCACCCTAACTCTGGATGCCCCCACCCTCACCCTCACCCCCACCCTCACCCCCACCCTCACCCTCACCCCCACCCTCACCCCCACCCTCACCCCAACTCTGGATGCCCCCACCCTCACCCCCACCCTCACCCCCACCCTCACCCCCACCCTCACCCCCACCCTCACCCCCACCCCCACCCTCACCCTAACTCTGGATGCCCCCACCCTCACCCCCACCCTCACCCTCACCCCCACCCTCACCCTAACTCTGGATGCCCCCACCCTCACCCTCACCCCCACCCTCACCCCCACCCTCACCCCAACTCTGGATGCCCCCACCCCCACCCCACCCTCACCCTCACCCCCACCCCCACCTCGTGGGTGAGGCTGTCCAGGTCGGCCTGGGTCCGGCTCATTGCGGTCACCGTGGCTCCCAGACGCTGCAGGGCGATGCAGGTGGCCCTGCCAATACCTATAAAGACAAAGATCCCCCGTGAGGCCTTAACAGACTGTTGGGGCAAGTGCTGTTCGCGAGTAGCGCCTGTGAAAGGTAGGCACGGCACACGAGGGGGTTGGTGGTTAGCACCACGCCCGGCCGCCTTTGTCTCCCCGGTGGGGATGTTTACACACCGCGCCAGGTACTCATTTGAGTCTGAGTCTACCTAGGGGACTCCCAGAATCTGGTTCCAATATTCACCACCGGTGTTGTCCGTCAGCGGGAATCGAACTCGGGTGGCCGGGTTCGGAGCGGTAGTCCCGCTAACTGCTGCACTACCACCCCCTACACCAGGGCTGGGAAATCATTTGGTGTGGCCCTGCCAAGGCAACCGTAGGCAGGACTCAAAATTCAACAAATCTCTAGGAGCAAACCTGGAAAAGCAGTTGCGGGTAGCAACATACCAGCTAACATCACCACATGCCTCGCCAAAGAGAAGCAGTTCCAGCCATCGCGTTAGGGGTGAGTTAATTAAACGTTTGACCAAATATAACGGGCTAATTTTTAAGTTGATAATTTTGTATGGCCCGCGAATGATGTTACGAATATCCAAATGGCCCCTTGGCAGAAAAGGTTCCCCACCCCTGGTCCTACACAGACACACACACAAGTCAACAAGGGGTGACACACACACAAGTCAACAAGAGGTGACACACACACAAGTCAACAAGTGGTGACACACACACAAGTCAACAAGGGGTGACACACACACAAGTCAACAAGAGGTGACACACACACAAGTCAACAAGGGGTGACACACACACAAGTCAACAAGTGGTGACACACACACAAGTCAACAAGTGGTGACACACACACAAGTCAACAAGAGGTGACACACACACAAGTCAACAAGGGGTGACACACACACAAGTCAACAAGTGGTGACACACACACAAGTCAACAAGAGGTGACACACACACAAGTCAACAAGTGGTGACACACACACAAGTCAACAAGTGGTGACACACACAAGTCAACAAGGGGTGACACACACACAAGTCAACAAGAGGTGACACACACACAAGTCAACAAGGGGTGACACACACACAAGTCAACAAGAGGTGACACACACATAAGTCAACAAGTGGTGACACACACAAGTCAACAAGGGGTGACACACACACAAGTCAACAAGAGGTGACACACACACAAGTCAACAAGGGGTGACACACACACAAGTCAACAAGAGGTGACACACACACAAGTCAACAAGTGGTGACACACACATAAGTCAACAAGAGGTGACACACGCACAAGTCAACAAGGGGTGACACACACACAAGTCAACAAGAGGTGACACACACACAAGTCAACAAGAGGTGACACACACACAAGTCAACAAGTGGTGACACACACACAAGTCAACAAGGGGTGACACACACACAAGTCAACAAGGGGTGACACACACACAAGTCAACAAGAGGTGACACACACACAAGTCAACAAGAGGTGACACACACACAAGTCAACAAGAGGTGACACACACACAAGTCAACAAGAGGTGACACACACACAAGTCAACAAGGGGTGACACACACACAAGTCAACAAGAGGTGACACACACACAAGTCAACAAGAGGTGACACACACACAAGTCAACAAGGGGTGACACACACACAAGTCAACAAGAGGTGACACACACACAAGTCAACAAGGGGTGACACACACACAAGTCAACAAGAGGTGACACACACACAAGTCAACAAGAGGTGACACACACACAAGTCAACAAGAGGTGACACACACACAAGTCAACAAGAGGTGACACACACACAAGTCAACAAGGGGTGACACACACACAAGTCAACAAGAGGTGACACACACAAGTCAACAAGAGGTGACACACACACAAGTCAACAAGCAACAAGGGGTGACACACACACAAGTCAACAAGAGGTGACACACACACAAGTCAACAAGAGGTGACACACACACAAGTCAACAAGCAACAAGGGGTGACACACACGGCGTCTGTGTTGTTGGTTAGTGCTGCTGCTGAGTCCGCGTGCTTGCTCAAGTCACGGGACGCTGCCTCTCTGCAGCATCAGCAGCAGCAGCATCAGCAGCAGCATCAGCAGCAGCATCAGCAGCAGCAGCAGAAGCAGCAGCAGAAGCAGCAGCATCAGCAGCAGCAGCATCAGCAGGATGACTAACCCAGCAAACTCAGCTCCATCCGCCGGGGGTCTGGTCCATCCGAGCCCATGGGGCTGACCCAATTGCGCGAGAATAAGGGGGCATGGATGGAAGCCACATTGTGCGTGGGTTTGAACGCCGCTACAAGTCCAATGCGCTCTCCATTGCACTACGGGCTCACCTGTGTGTACAACTCCGCACACGCACGGCGCACACAAGGGCACCTGAGTGGGGGATCGAACCCAGGTGGGTTCTTAGTGCGAGGCGCCAGTCGTAGCACTGCGTTACTCCCATGTTAACGTTTATAAACTGGTGAGTGTGTGGGTGTGTAGGTGAGTGTGTGGGTGTGCAGGTGAGTGTGTGATCACACGGGTGAGTGTGTGGGTGTGTAGGTGGGTGTATGGGTGTGTAGGTGAGTGCATGGGTGTGTAGGTGAGTGTGTGATCACACGGGTGAGTGTGTGGGTGTGTGGGTGTGTAGGTGAGTGTATAGGTGTGTAGATGAGTGTGTGGGTGTGTAGGTGAGTGTGTGGGTGTGTAGGTGAGTGATCACATGGGTGAGTGTGTGGGTGTGTAGGTGAGTGTGTGGGTGTGTAGGTGAGTGTGTGGGTGTGTAGGTGAGTGTATGGGTGTGCAGTTGAGTGTATCGGTGTGTAGGTGAGTGTGTGGGTGTGCAGGTGAGTGATCACACGGGTGAGTGTATGGGTGTGTAGGTGAGTGTATGGGTGTGTAGGTGAGTATGTGGATGTACAGGTGAGTGTGTGATCACACAGGTGAGTGTACAAGGCGAGTGATCACACGGCTGAGTGTACAAGGTGAGTGTGGTCACCTTTGCCTGCCCCCGTCACCAGCGCGTGCTTTCCGTCGAAACGGATCTCCATGCTGCCCTGCACACGCCACGTTGTATCAACAGACGGTCACGACCTCTGCCCATCACAGGAGGTCACAGACATCCTGGTGGTCGGTGTGACCAGTCCCCGTTCCCTTAGAAATATTGCCCGGGCTGGGTCGATGCAAGAGAGACTGGCTGAGTGGGCGAATGGACGAGTGAATGGGTGGGTTAGTGGCTGAGTGAATGAGTGGGCGAGTTAGTGGGTGAGTGAGTGGGTGAGTAGGTGAGTGAGCGGATTGGTGAGTTAGTGGATGAGTGGGCGAGTTTGTAGGTGAGTGGGGGAGTAGGTGAGTGGGTGGGTGAGCTAGTGGGTTGGTGGGTGAGTTAGTGGGTGAGTGGGCGAATGGACGAGTGAGTGAGTGGGAGGGTGGGTTAGTGGCTGAGTGAATGAGTGGGTGAGTGAGTGGGACGGTGGGTGAGTGGGTGGGTGGGTCAGTGGGTCAGTGGCTGAGTGAATGAGTGGGTGAGTGGGAGGGTGGGTTAGTGGCTGAGTGAATGAGTGGGTGAGTGAGTGAGAGGGTAGGTGAGTGAGTGGGTGAGTTAGTGGGTGAGTGAGTGGGTGAGTGAGTGGGTGGGTTAGTGGCTGAGTGAATGCTTGGGCGAGTTAGTGGGTGAGTGAGTGGGTGAGTAGGTGAGTGAGTGGATGAGTGGGCGAGTTTGTAGGTGAGTGGGGGAGTAGGTGAGTGGGTGGGTGAGTTAGTGGGTGGGTAGGTGAGTTAGTGGGTGGGTAGGCGAGCGGGTGCGTGAGTTAGTGGACTAGTGGGCGAGTTGGTAGGTGAATGAGTGGGTAGGTGAGTTAGTGGATGAGTGGGCGAATGGACAAGTGAACGGGTGAGTTTGTGGCTGAGTAAATGAGAGAGCGAGTTAGTGGATGAGTGAGTGGGTGGGTAAGTTAGTGGATGAGTGGGCGAATGGACGAGTGAGTGAGTGGGTGGGTGAGTAGGTGAGTGAGTGGGTGAGTGGGTGGGTTAGTGGCTGAGTGAATGAGTGGGTGAGTGAGTGGGAGGGTAGGTGAGTGAGTGGGTGAGTGGGTGGGTAGGTGAGTGAGTGGGTGGGTTAGTGGCTGAGTGAATGAGTGGGTGAGTGAGTGGGTGGGTTAGTGGCTGAGTGAATGAGTGGGTGAGTGAGTGGGAGGGTAGGTGAGTGAGTGGGTGAGTGGGTGGGTAGGTGAGTGAGTGGGTGGGTTAGTGGATGAGTGAGTGGGTGGGTAGGTGAGTGGGTGGGTTAGTGGCTGAGTGAATGAGTGAGCGAGTTAGTGGCTTAGTGAATGAGTGGGTGAGTGAGTGGGAGGGTAGGTGAGTGAGTGGGTGGGTAGGTGAGTGGGTGGGTTAGTGGATGAGTGAGTGGGTGGGTAGGTGAGTGGGTGGGTTAGTGGCTGAGTGAATGAGTGAGCGAGTTAGTGGCTTAGTGAATGAGTGGGTGAGTGAGTGGGAGGGTAGGTGAGTGAGTGGGTGAGTGGGTGGGTAGGTGAGTGAGTGGGTGGGTTAGTGGATGAGTGAGTGGGTGGGTAGGTGAGTGGGTGGGTTAGTGGCTGAGTGAATGAGTGAGCGAGTTAGTGGCTTAGTGAATGAGTGGGTGAGTGAGTGGGAGGGTAGGTGAGTGAGTGGGTGAGTGGGTGGGTAGGTGAGTGAGTGGGTGGGTTAGTGGATGAGTGAGTGGGTGGGTAGGTGAGTGGGTGGGTTAGTGGCTGAGTGAATGAGTGAGCGAGTTAGTGGCTTAGTGAATGAGTGGGTGAGTGAGTGGGAGGGTAGGTGAGTGAGTGGGTGAGTGGGTGGGTAGGTGAGTGAGTGGGTGGGTTAGTGGATGAGTGAGTGGGTGGGTAGGTGAGTGGGTGGGTTAGTGGCTGAGTGAATGAGTGGGTGAGTGAGTGGGAGGGTAGGTGAGTGAGTGGGTGAGTGGGTGGGTAGGTGAGTGAGTGGGTGGGTTAGTGGATGAGTGAGTGGTTGGGTAGGTGAGTGGGTGGGTTAGTGGCTGAGTGAATGAGTGAGCGAGTTAGTGGCTTAGTGAATGAGTGGGTGAGTGAGTGGGAGGGTAGGTGAGTGAGTGGGTGAGTGGGTGGGTAGGTGAGTGAGTGGGTGGGTTAGTGGATGAGTGAGTGGGTGGGTAGGTGAGTGGGTGGGTTAGTGGCTGAGTGAATGAGTGAGCGAGTTAGTGGCTTAGTGAATGAGTGGGTGAGTGAGTGGGAGGGTAGGTGAGTGAGTGGGTGAGTGGGTGGGTAGGTGAGTGAGTGGGTGGGTTAGTGGATGAGTGAGTGGGTGGGTAGGTGAGTGGGTGGGTTAGTGGCTGAGTGAATGAGTGGGTGAGTGAGTGGGAGGGTAGGTGAGTGAGTGGGTGGGTAGGTGAGTGAGTGGGTGAGTGGGTGGGTAGGTGAGTGAGTGGGTGGGTTAGTGGATGAGTGAGTGGGTGGGTAGGTGAGTGGGTGGGTTAGTGGCTGAGTGAATGAGTGAGCGAGTTAGTGGCTTAGTGAATGAGTGGGTGAGTGAGTGGGAGGGTAGGTGAGTGAGTGGGTGAGTGGGTGGGTAGGTGAGTGAGTGGGTGGGTTAGTGGATGAGTGAGTGGGTGGGTAGGTGAGTGGGTGGGTTAGTGGCTGAGTGAATGAGTGAGCGAGTTAGTGGCTTAGTGAATGAGTGGGTGAGTGAGTGGGAGGGTAGGTGAGTGAGTGGGTGAGTGGGTGGGTAGGTGAGTGAGTGGGTGGGTTAGTGGATGAGTGAGTGGGTGGGTAGGTGAGTGGGTGGGTTAGTGGCTGAGTGAATGAGTGGGTGAGTGAGTGGGAGGGTAGGTGAGTGAGTGGGTGAGTGGGTGGGTAGGTGAGTGAGTGGGTGGGTTAGTGGATGAGTGAGTGGGTGGGTAGGTGAGTGGGTGGGTTAGTGGCTGAGTGAATGAGTGAGCGAGTTAGTGGCTTAGTGAATGAGTGGGTGAGTGAGTGGGAGGGTAGGTGAGTGAGTGGGTGAGTGGGTGGGTAGGTGAGTGAGTGGGTGGGTTAGTGGATGAGTGAGTGGGTGGGTAGGTGAGTGGGTGGGTTAGTGGCTGAGTGAATGAGTGGGTGAGTGAGTGGGAGGGTAGGTGAGTGAGTGGGTGAGTGGGTGGGTAGGTGAGTGAGTGGGTGGGTTAGTGGATGAGTGAGTGGGTGGGTAGGTGAGTGAGTGGGTTAGTGGATGAGTGGGTGAGTGAGTGGGAGGGTAGGTGAGTGAGTGGGTGAGTGGGTGGGTAGGTGAGTGAGTGGGTGGGTGAGTTGGCCTTTACTCCCGCTGAGTTGTGGCCGTTCCGCCTGCAGGTTCTGTTGATTTCCTGGCTTTCTGTCCACGCTCGTGGCGCATTGGACTCTACTGATGAAATAAGTCACTTTGCAAAAATGTAAATTATTATTCGGGACGCGGAGCGACAGACCTGCCCTTCCCAGCGACGCCCCAACGCACTCCCTAATGCCCCATGCAATGCCCCCACGCTGTCTCTAATGCCCCATGCAATGCCCCCACGCTGTCTCTAATGCCCCATGCAATGCCCCCACGCTGTCTTTAATGCCCCATGCAATGCCCCCATGCTGTCTCTAATGCCCCATGCAATGCCCTCATGCAATGCCCCCATGCTGTCTTTAATGCCCCATGCAATGCCCCATGCAATGCCCTCATGCAATGCCCCCATGCTGTCTTTAATGCCCCATGCAATGCCCCCATGCAATGCCCCCCATGCTGTCTCTAATGCCCCGTACAGTCGCTAATGCCTCCACGCAATACCCCACGTACTATTGAATGCCCCCACGCCGTCTCTACTGCCCCCTATAATGCCCCACGAAGCCTCCAATGCGCCACCCCAACCCCCTACAGCCCGGGCAATGCCCCCCACGCAATGTGCCTTGCCATGCCCCCCACTCAATGTGCCTTGCCCTGCCCCCCACGCAATGTGCCTTGCCCTGCCCCCCACTCAATGTGCCTTGCCCTGCCCCCCACTCAATGTGCCTTGCCGTGCCCCCCACTCAATGTGCCTTGCCGTGCCCCCCAATGTGCCTTGCCGTGCCCTCCACTCAATGTGCCTTGCCGTGCCCCCCACTCAATGTGCCTTGCCGTGCCCCCCACTCAATGTGCCTTGCCGTGCCCCCCACTCAATGTGCCTTGCCGTGCCCCCCAATGTGCCTTGCCGTGCCCTCCACGCAATGTGCCTTGCCGTGCCCCCCAATGTGCCTTGCCGTGCCCTCCACTCAATGTGCCTTGCCCTGCCCCCCACTCAATGTGCCTTGCCGTGCCCCCCACTCAATGTGCCTTGCCGTGCCCCCCACTCAATGTGCCTTGCCGTGCCCCCCACTCAATGTGCCTTGCCCTGCCCTCCACTCAATGTGCCTCGCCCTGCCCTCCACTCAATGTGCCTTGCCGTGCCCCCCACTCAATGTGCCTTGCCGTGCCCCCCACTCAATGTGCCTTGCCGTGCCCCCCACTCAATGTGCCTTGCCGTGCCCCCCAATGTGCCTTGCCGTGCCCCCCACTCAATGTGCCTTGCCCTGCCCCCCACTCAATGTGCCTTGCCGTGCCCTGGGGGAAGGGTCGACCTCGGTCCATCCCCGTTACCGTCGGCTTCGTCCCACTCGAGATGGGCTTGGGGGGCAAGGCGTGGTGGACGGGCGACGATGCTGTGGATGTTGCTGCTGCTGTTGTGGATATTATTGCTGTTGTTGCTGTTGTTGTGGATGTTACTGCTGCTGCTGTTGTTGCTGCTGTTATGGATAATGCTGCTACTGCTGCTGTTGCTGCTGCTGTTACTGCTGTTGTGGCTACTGCTGTTGTGGATGATGCTGCTGTTGTGGATGATGCTGCTACTGCTGCTGTTGCTGCTGTTGTTGTGGATGCTGCTGCTACTGCTGTTGTTGTGGCTACTACTACTGCTGTTGTTGTTGTTGTGGATGTTGCTGCTGCTGTTGTTGTGGATGATGCTACTGCTGCTGCGAGACGCCGCGTGGAGGAGGGGGGGGGGGGCTCGGGGGGAGGAGCCGCCCGCGGTCTCGACCTCTGACCCCGCGTGGCTGACCCCCCCCCCCCCCCATCTAAACTAAATTATTGATTGAAGCTTTCGTGACTGCAGGAATCCATACTCTGCTCGTGTGGCGATCGAAACGTCGTGATCGATTATTTGTCTACCTACGTGACTTTACCGAAAGAACCAAAGAGTACCGATTATCGATTATTTGACCACCAAAGAGTATCGATTATAGATTATTTGACCACCAAAGAGTATCGATTATTTGTTATTTGACCACCAAAGAGTATCGATTATATATTATTTGTTAGTTGACCACCAAAGAGTATCGATTATAGATTATTTAATTGACCACCAAAGAGTATCGATTATCGATTATTTGTTATTTGATCACCAAAGAGTATCGATTATAGATTATTTGTTATTTGCCCATCAACGTCTGCACGCCGTATGGACATGAAAACTCAATGTCCCCCCTCTACAGGAATAGGGGAGGGGGGGGTAGACCGTGTGGGTTGACACGGCAATGTTGTACTACACGTCTATGCTCCCCCCGCGGTCACGGTGAGCGTAGAGCTGTCAACCCTCGCGGTCTGTCCGTCTCAGTCGTCGTGTCCACACGCAGTGCAGCCGTGTCGTGGTGATGGTGCTACTTGTAGGATGCACGCTGAGGTCTGTAAGGGACACGGGGTGATCAATAGGGTCTGTGATAAGGTAGAGGGGCACTGGTAAGGGGTTGGCAGGTTTGGGATCTCGATTTGAAGCTGCTTTCGTGACTGCAGGGATTCATCTTCTTGGTCCTTTCGGTAAAGTCACGTAGAAGGGAAGTAATACAATAAAACAATAAAATAATTCTCACGACGTTTCGGCCAGACCTGTTCTTCACCTGAGGACGGCTGCTTGCGTTGTGGCCGAAACGTCGTGAGAATTGTATTTAATTATGTTTTATTTTTATTATTTTATTATTTCCCTTCTACGTGACTTTACCGAAAGAACCAAGAAGGTTTGGGTCGTTTTACCCTCATCCGTTAGCAGCGTTTATGAGCGTTTCTTGTTGCTGGCTGGCGTGGTGAAGTATGGTCAAATACCCCCCCCCCCCTTAGCGTGGTGAGACCCCCACATCCAGAAGTGTATCCCCCTCCCCTCCTCCCGCCTGGGTCTCGAGACACTTGTGGAAAAGAGCTTCACAGCTCATCGGATTTCTCCTTCACGGCAGAGTCGTAAATACGTAACTCACGGCTGTGTCGTAAAAGCACCACTTACGGCAGTGTCGTAAAAACATCACTCACGGCAGTGTCGTAAAAACATCACTCACGGCAGTGTCGTAAATACAACACTCACGGCAGTGTCGTAAAAACATCACTCACGGCAGTGTCGTAAATACAATTCTCACGGCAGTGTCGTAAATACAACACTCACGGCAGTGTCGTAAAAACATCACTCACGGCAGTGTCGTAAATCCGTCACTCACGGCAGTGTCGAAAATCCGTCACTCACGGCAGTGTCGAAAATCCGTCACTCACGGCAGTGTCGTAAACTTCACTCACGGCAGTGTCGTAAATTCGACACTCACGGCAGCGTCGTAAAAACGTCACTCACGGCAGTGTCGTAAACTTCACTCACGGCAGTGTCGTAAATTCGACACTCACGGCAGCGTCGTAAAAACGTCACTCACGGCAGTGTCGTAAATCCGTCACTCGCGGCAGTGTCGTAAATACGTCACTCACGGCAGTGTCGTAAAAACGTCACTCACGGCAGTGTCGTAAACCCGTCACTCACGGCAGTGTCGTAAATCCATCACTCACGGCAGTGTCGTAAACACGTCACTCACGGCAGTGTCGTAAACTTCACTCACGGCAGTGTCGTAAATTCAACACTCACTGCAGCGTCGTAAAAACGTCACTCACGGCAGCGTCGTAAATCGTCACTCACGGCAGTGTCGTAAATTACGGCAGTGTCGTAAATTACGTCACTCACGTCAGTGTCGTAAATACGTCACTCACGGCAGTGTCGTAAATACATCACTCACGGCAGTGTCGTAAATCCGTCACTCACGGCAGTGTCGTAAATCCGTCACTCACGGCAGTGTCGTAAATACATCACTCACGGCAGTGTCGTAAATCCGTCACTCACGGCAGTGTCGTAAATTCAACACTCACTGCAGCGTCGTAAAAACGTCACTCACGGCAGTGTCGTAAATCCGTCACTCACGGCAGTGTCGTAAATACGTCACTCGCGGCAGTGTCGTAAATCCGTCACTCGCGGCAGTGTCGTAAATACGTCACTCGCGGCAGTGTCGTAAATACGTCACTCACGGCAGTGTCGTAAATACGTCACTCACGGCAGTGTCGTAAATACGTCACTCACGGCAGTGTCGTAAATACGTCACTCGCAGCAGCGTCGTAAATACGTCACTCGCGGCAGCGTCGTAAATACGTCACTCACGGCAGTGTCGTAAATACGTCACTGACGGCAGTGTCGTAAATACGTCACTCGCAGCAGCGTCGTAAATACGTCACTCACGGCAGCGTCGTAAATACGTCACTCGCGGCACCGTCGTAAATACGTCACTCACGGCAGTGTCGTAAATACGTCACTCGCAGCAGCGTCGTAAATACGTCATTCACGGCAGTGTCGTAAATCGTCACTCACGGCAGTGTCGTAAATACGTCATTCACGGCAGTGTCGTAAATCGTCACTCACGGCAGTGTCGTAAATACGTCACTCACGGCAGTGTCGTAAATACGTCACTCGCAGCAGTGTCGTAAATACGTCACTCACGGCAGTGTCGTAAACACGTCACTCACGGCAGTGTCTTAAATACGTCACTCGCGGCAGCGTCGTAAATACGTCACTCACGGCAGTGTCGTAAATCCGTCACTCACGGCAGTGTCGTAAATACGTCACTCACGGCAGTGTCGTAAATACGTCACTCACGGCAGTGTCGTAAATACGTCACTCACGGCAGTGTCGTAAATACGTCACTCACGGCAGTGTCATAAATACGTCCTTCACGGCAGAGGCGTAAAGACGTGATTCACGACAGAGTCGTAAAGATATCACTCACGGCAGAGTCGTAAAGACATCACTCACGGCAGAGTCGTAAATACGTCACTCACGGCAGTCGTAAACCGTCACTCACGGCAGAGTCGTAAAGAGGTGTTTACGACAGTACCGAGCGTTTCACGACAGTACCGTACATGATGCCAAGGGCGTTTCACGACAGCGCCGTAAATGTTTTGAAGGGCGTGCTTACGACAGTGCCTTGTGTGTTACAAAGAGCTTTACAGCCCTTCGGATTGCCCGCATTGAAGTGAATGTCACGTGACTCGCGGTTGCGCTGCGGCTTCAGAGGTAAAACCTCTGATCTGCCTGGGAGGGGGGTTGTTGTGGTGTTTAATGCTCGTGTGAAGACGGACGGGCGCCTCCCCCTGTTGTCAGGTGGGTCCCGAAAACAACCCCACACACCACACACACACCACACACACACACCACACCACACACACATCACACACACACACCACACACACCACACACACACACATCACACACACATCACACTCACCACACACACACCACACACACACACACCACACACACACCACACACACACACACCACACACACACACCACACACACATCACACACACCACACACACTCACACCACACACACACCACACACACACACCACACACACACCACACACAGACACATCACACACACACCTCACACACCACACACACACACTACACACACACACATCACACACCACACACACATCACACACACACCACACACACACCACACACATACACACCACACACACACCACACACCACACACACACACCACACACACATATCACACACACACACCACACACCACACACACACCATACACACATACCACACACACACCACACACACACACACCACACACACCACACACAGACACATCACACACACACCACACACACACACCACACACACACACCACACACACACCACACACACACACATCACACACACACCACACACACACACACCACACACACACACACACCACACACACACCACACACACACATCACACACACACCACACACACACCACACACCACACACCACACACACCCCACACACACACCATACACACACACCACACACACACCACACACACACACCACACACAGACACATCACACACACACCGCACACACACACACCACACACACACACACCACACACACACCACACACACACACATCACACACACACCACACACACACACACCACACACACACACATATCACACACACACACCATACACACACACACATCACACACACACCACACACACACACACCACACACACACACACCACACACACACACCACACACACACCACACACACCACACACACACACCACACACACACCACACACACACATCACACACACACCACACACACACACCACACACACACACATATCACACACACACCACACACCACACACACACACACACATCACACACACACATCACACACACACCACACACACACACACCACACACACCACACACCACACACACACCACACACACCACACACACACCAAACACACACACCACACACACCACACACAGACACATCACACACACACCACACACACACCACACCACACACACACACACTACACACACATCACACACCACACACACATCACACACACACACCACACACACACACACCACACACACCACACACACACACACCACACACACACACATCACACACACACCACACACACACACACACCACACACACACACATATCACACACACACACCACACACACATCACACACACACATCACACACACACCACACACACACCACACACATACACACCACACACACACCACACACACATCACACACACACCACACACACCACACACACACATCACACACACATCACACTCACCACACACACACACACACACACACCACACACACACACACACACACACACACCACACACACACCACACACACATCACACACACCACACACACTCACACCACACACACACCACACACACACACACACACACCACACACACACACCACACACAGACACATCACACACACACCTCACACACAACACACACACACTACACACACACACATCACACACCACACACACATCACACACACACCACACACACACCACACACATACACACCACACACACACCACACACACATCACACACACACCACACACACACACCACACACACACACATATCACACACACACACCACACACCACACACACACCACACACACACCATACACACATACCACACACCACCACACACACACACACCACACACAGACACATCACACACACACCACACACACACACACACACACACCACACACACACCACACACACACACACACACACACCACACACACACACCACACACACACACACCACACACACACACACACACACACACACACACACACCACACACACACACACACACACACACACACACACACCACACACACCACACACACACACCACACACACACACACACACACATCACACACACACACCATACACACACACATCACACACACACCACACACACACACACCACACACACACACACCACACACACACACCACACACACACCACACACACCACACACACACACACCACACACACACCACACACACACATCACACACACACCACACACACACACCACACACACACACATATCACACACACACACCACACACCACACACACACACACACATCACACACACACATCACACACACCACACACACACACACCACACACACCACACACACCACACACACACCACACACACCACACACACACCAAACACACACACCACACACACCACACACAGACACATCACACACACACCACACACACACCACACCACACACACACACTACACACACACACATCACACACCACACACACATCACACACACACACCACACACACACACACCACACCACACACACACACACACACACACACACACACACACACACACACACACACACACACACACACCACACACACACACATATCACACACACACCACACACCACACACACATCACATCACACACACACCACACACACACCACACACACACACATCACACACACACCACACACACACACCACACACACACACCACACACACCACACACACACCACACACACACACACCACACACACACACCACACACACACATCACACACACACCACACACATACACCCCACACACACACCACACACATACCACACACACACACACACCACACACACCACACACAGACACACCACACACACACACCACACCACACACACTACACACACACACATCACACACCACACACACATCACACACACACCACACACACACACCACACACACACACACCACACACACCACACACACACACCACACACACACACATCACACACACACCACACACACACACACACCACACACACACACATATCACACACACACACCACACTCCACACACACACATCACACACACACCACACACACACACACCACACACACACACCACACACACACACCACACACACACACCACACACACACACCACACACACACACATCACACACACACCACACACACACACACCACACAAACACACCACACACACCACACACACACACACCACACACCACACACACACACCACACACACACACCACACACACACACACCACATACACACACATCACACACACACCACACACACACCACACAAACACACCACACACACCACACACACACACACCACACACCACACACACCACACACACACACCACACACACACACACCACACACACCACACACAGGCGTGTCCTCACTGAAGGGGGCGTGTTAGACACGTCCCCCTCAGTGAGGCAGATGTGATGGCTGCCTCCCCTGGTGCTTTTTTCATTGCAGTTTCACGAAGAGACCAGCGAGCCTAAATATTTTGATACACATACGTGAAATAAGTTAGCTGGAGTATGGAAGGCGAGGACATGTAATGAAGGGGTCTACAAACATTACATTGGTGACACACTGAGATAGTAACAGGCACGCGCTTATTGCCCGCGCTCCAGCCAGTTACTGAGGGGTTGCGCAATCAGAGGGGAGGCAGAGCCCGTCGCTGCCTCACCTCTCGTCTCTTCCTGTATTTGCAGCGGAGCTCCACAAATTTGGCGATTTTGACTATAAAAAATTAACCCGTAAAAACAAAGTTTTTCACTATAAATCCTTTATATGCGTGGCGGCTAGAGTCATCTCGTCCTCTGGCTTGAGATGGCTGCCACCTATGGGTCAGATGATTGTGTGCCAGCATTAAGTAATTGGTAAATTCCCTAAACAGTATAAAAAGTCACGCACAACGAGTCTGTGTGCAAAATGTCAGCTCGATTGGATCACGGGAAGTGGGTTAAAAACGACCGAAAGATTTGCACGGTCCTAAGCAAGCAAGCGAACTTAATATAAAAGGATTTAAAAATGATTGGAATCGTACAGAAATGACATTTATAACACAGATCAGTGGAAAAATATTACTATTTATTTTATTATATATTTTTGTCGTAACAGCTGTTTTCATTGGAGGATGAGAGGTGAGGCTCTGCCCCCCCCCTGCCTCCCCTGACCGCACGTGACTGGTGTGGAGTTGTGTAGTTTGTAGTGTATAGTAGTGTAGTGTATAGTGTAGTGTATAGTGTATAGTAGTGTATAGTAGTGTAGTGTATAGTGTAGTGTATAGTGTATAGTAGTGTAGTGTGTAGTGTATAGTAGTGTAGTGTATAGTAGTGTAGTGTATAGTGTAGTGTATAGTAGTGTATAGTGTGTAGTTTATAGTGTAGTGTATAGTAGTGTAGAGTTTAGTAGTGTATAGTGTAGTGTATAGTAGTGTATAGTAGTGTAGATTTTAATGTAGTGTATAGTGTAGTGTATAGTTGTGTAGTTTGTAGTGTAGTGTATAGTTGTGTAGTATGTAGTGTATAGTGTAGTGTATAGTAGTGTAGAGTTTAGTAGTGTAGTGTATAGTAGTGTAGTGTATAGTAGTGTAGTGTATAGTGTAGTGTATAGTAGTGTATAGTGTAGTGTATAATCTAGTGTATAGTAATGTATAGTAGTGCAGCGTATCGTAGTTTGTATTCATGTATCTGCCGTACGTTCAACTTCTTTCGCACCGCACGCAGCCAACCGTGCTCATCGGAGGCGACCCACGAGCCGCGGACCTCACGAGGTGCGGCGCGTTGCCGGGCCGCCATGGTGGTGGGGTTCGACCCGAGCCAGCGCAGCCTCGCGCCGGCGGAGGTGGCGCTGTGCGGCGCTCTCTCGGGCTTCGTGACGCGGGCCGCCGTCAGCCCGCTCGACGTCGTCAAGATCCGCTTCCAGGTGACCCTCCCCGAGCCCAGAATCACACTCCGATGAGCTGTGCAGCTCATTTTTCACAGACGTTCAGTAGAGCAGTCCCCTCCCCGCGGTGACCGCCTGCCCTTCGCTGCCCTCCGCAAGCCCAGTCCCCTCCCCGTGACCGCCTGCCCTTCAGCAGCCCAGACTCTCCAGCCGTCCGCTGCCCTCTCCTAGCCCAGTCCCCTCCCCGTGGTGACCGCCTGCCCTTCGGCAGCCCCGACTCTCCCGCCGTCCGCTGCCCTCTCCTAGCCCAGTCCCCTCCCCGTGGTGACCGCCTGCCCTTCGGCAGCCCCGACTCTCCCGCCGTCCGCTGCCCTCTCCTAGCCCAGTCCCCTCCCCGTGGTGACCGCCTGCCCTTCGGCAGCCCCGACTCTCCCGCCGTCCGCTGCCCTCTCCTAGCCCAGTCCCCTCCCCGTGATGACCGCCTGCCCTTCGGCAGCCCTGACTCTCCAGCCACCCGCTGCTCTCCCGTCTTATTCCCTGCCCCACGGCGCCGGACGTCCTTTGCTACGTTGGCGTCGACGCTGAATCGTCTCCGCGTGTGCGCGCGCAGCTCCAGGTGGAGCGGATCTCTGCGCTGGAGCCGCGGGCCAAGTACCGGGGCCTGGCGCAGGCTGTGCGCGCCGTGCTACGCGAGGAGGGTCTCGCCGCCTTCTGGAAGGGGCACGTGCCCGCCCAGTTGCTCTCCATCACCTACAGCGGCGTGCAGGTACGGCTTGGCCGTTTGGGCAAGCGCTAGGTTTGAAGCTTTCGTCACCGCAAGGATTCTTAGGTTTTTTTGGTAAAGTCACGTAGGTAAAAAATTATAATAAAATAATAATAAATGAAGATAATTCTTGCCGAGGTGTATCAGCTGTTCCTTCCCTTCTAGCCCCGCCCACCTCCCCCTTCTAGCCCCGCCCACTTCCTCCTTCTAGCCCCACCCACCTCCCCCTTCTAGCCCCGCCCACTTCCCCCTTCTAGCCCCGCCCACCTCCCCTTCTAGCCCCGCCCACCCCCTTCTAGCCCCGCCCACTTCCCCTTCTAGCCCCGCCCACTTCCCCCTTCTAGCCCCGCCCCCCTCCCCCTTCTAGCCCCGCCCACCTCCCCCTTCTAGCCCCGCCCACCTCCCCTTCTAGCCCCGCCCACCCCCTTCTAGCCCCGCCCACCTCCCCCTTCTAGCCCCACCCACCTCCCCCTTCTAGCCCCGCCCACTTCCCCCTTCTAGCCCCACCCACCTTCCCTTCTAGCCCTGCCCACTTCCCCCTTCTAGCCCCACCCACCTCCCCCTTCTAGCCCCGCCCACTTCCCCCTTCTAGCCCCACCCACCTCCCCCTTCTAGCCCCGCCCACTTCCCCCTTCTAGCCCCACCCACCTCCCCCTTCTAGCCCCACCCACCTTCCCTTCTAGCCCCGCCCACCTCCCCCTTCTAGCCCCACCCACCTCCCCCTTCTAGCCCCGCCCACTTCCCCCTTATAGCCCCACCCACCTCCCCCTTCTAGCCCCGCCCACCTTCCCTTCTAGCCCTGCCCACTTCCCCCCCACCCTCCCTGACTGCCACATTTAGATAAGCTCCTCCCCCCTCCCCTGAACCAGTATATATAAGATCTTGTCTCCTGGATTTCTCTTCACTTGATACAGTAAATTTAGCTGTGACGGTCCCACCTGAAGACGGAGACTTGCCTCCGAAACGTCGTGATTTAATTGAGTTATTTTCATTTATTATCATTTTATTATATTATTATTTTTACCTACGTGACTTTACCGAAAAAAACATAAGAGTATGGGCAAGTGCTGTTAGCGGGCACACGCGGCCAGGATTTGGTGCCGATGTTTACAACAGCGATGGTTTACAACATCGGCACCAGATGCTCGTGCGAAGCCAGGTCGCCCTAAGGGGGAGGGGGCCCGTGACTGTTCGTGAGCGGGAATCGAACTCGGGTCGCGTGAGGTTCTCAGCGCTGCGCACTCACCGCTCCGCTACTGTGCAGATACAAGACAAAGATCCCCCGTATAGCCTTAAAAGACTGTAGGGGCAAGTGCTGTTAGCGAGCACCTATGAAGACCAGAACGGTACACGAACGAGGGGGTAGGTGGCCAGCACCACGCCCGACCGCCTTTGTTTCCCCAGTGGCGATGTTTACACACCGCACCAGGCACTCATTTAAGGCTGAGTCGACCTAGGACCGGTTCAGATAATCGTCACTGGTGTTAGCTGTGAGCGGGAATCGAACCTGGGTCGCCAGGTTCATAGCGCAGCGCGCTAACTGCTACACCACCGCTCCAACAACATACCCAAGTTGGTCCGGATAGAGGAGGTGAACGGGCATGGCACTGGGTAGAGAAGAGATGGACTGATGCAATACAGCAGGATGTGGAGCAAATTGGACTTTGCCGGTGACTGGCACCAGCAGTGTCAAGGTCGGGCCTCTGTGGAGGAGGCTCGTGAAGGACGCTGCTACCGGGCAGTTGGAGGCAGTCGCCCTCCAACAACAGCAGAGGGCAGTGGAGCGACGCTCACAACAACGAGCGGGACCGCCGGGCGGCTAAAACGCGGCGAGTTAACTCAGTAGGGAGCACAGGTGGTACATCTGCCAGTCATCTCGGTCAGTCGACCCATGGCAGCCGTGTTTGTCCCGTGGCCTTCTGCCAGTGGGCCTTCGACACTTCACGTGGCCTCAAAGGCACAAGCGTGGCGGTGACGTCACCGACACTCAGTTGCGGAACTGTGGTTGCTGTTAAATTTCGATTTCAAGCTTTCGTGACTGCAGGGATTCATCTTCTTGGTTCTTTCGGTAAAGTCACGTAGAAGGGAAGTAATAAAATAATAAAAATAAAACATAATAAAATAATTCTCACGACGTTTCGGCCACAACGCAAGCAGCCGTCCTCAGGTGGAGACCTGGTCTGTCGGGGAGACAGCGACTGAATGAAACACCACCACGCTGTCTCCCCGACAGACCTGTTCTTCACCTGAGGACGGCTGCTTGTGTTGTGGCCGAAACGTCGTGAGAATTATTTTATTACTTCCCTTCTACGTGACTTTACTGAAATAACCAAGAAGATGTGGTTGCTGTTGTTTTTTGGTGTGTGGTGTTGTGGGGAGCGGTAGCAGCGGTTAGCGCACCACCCTACAAACCCGCAAATCTGAGTTCGATTCCCACTTGGCGGCCAACATCGGCGCCAAACATCTGTAGCTGTCCTGGGCCTCCCTCCTGGTGGACTCTGCTTCATATTTAGTGACTTGCTCTTACCTTTTTCTCCACTCTGCACTCCTTTTTGCCGTTGTAACTTGCTGACCCCGTGCCTGCTGTGGGCGCCTGTGATAAAGATCTCCTTAGCTCATCGGATTCCTCCTGCGAATCTTAAGCAAAGATTCCGATTCTGATCGAGCGAGTTCCTGATGCGGTGGGATGAACGCGATGCCGCGCCGTGATGATCGGCGGCGGTCGGTCGACCCGTCGAGATTGCCTCGATCATTTTCCTGCGGTGGATTTCCACGCGATGATGAGCCACCATTGGAACCTCCTTTGCCAGTTGCAAAATATGATAATTGTTTTTTTATCTGACAATAAAACTGACACCTTTTTTTATTGGTGTAAATGCTTACCCCGAGCTCTCATACTCTGATGGTGCGTTGTCTTTGAGTTGTGCGCCTTTTGGGGTCATCTGGTCCAACACCATGTGAGACTAGGCTATAAGAAAAGCTGTCTCGGGTGTGGACCAATCAACTTCAAGGACAGTGCATACATTATCAGAGTTGTGTTTTTTGTTTGCATTATGACTGCAGGTATTGTGGTCTATGCAAACATGACTCCTTGTAAAAAGGTGTCAGTTTTGTTGCCAGATAGAAGGGTAAAAAAAAACCAATTAAGATAAATAAATATTTGAGTTTTATTTCTGTGTATAAAAATAAAAATGTTGCGATTTCGCCGCTGCTGTGTCCACGCCGCAGTTCGTGACGTTTGAGCGCCTGACGGAGCTGGTGCACAGGCGCACGCGCTTCGAGGCCACGCAGGCGCACGTCCACTTCGCGTGCGGCGGTGCCGGGGCCTGCATGGCCTCGCTGGTGGCCCAGCCCCTGGATACGCTGCGCACGAGGCTCGCGGCGCAGGGAGAGCCCAGGGTGACGAGGCGGGCGGAGACCAGGGACTCGCACACCGTGGACTCGCACCGCGCTCGCTCGCTCGCTCACTCATCGCTCACTCAATCACCGCTCACTCACTCACTCATTGCTCACTCGCTCGCTCACTCACACACCGCTCGCTCACTCGCTCAGTCACATACCGCTCGCTCACTCGCTCACTCACTCGCTCAGTCACACACCGCTCGCTCGCTCACTCATTGCTCGCACCATGCACTCATACCGCGCTCGCTCACTCACTCATCGCTCATCGCTCATTCACTCGCTCACTCATCACTCACTCATCGCTCACTCACACACCGCTCGCTCACACACCGCTCGCTCACTCATCGCTCACTCATCGCTCACTCACTCGCTCACTCACTCGCTCACTCACACACCGCTCGCTCACTCATCGCTCACTCAATCACACACCGCTCGCACCGTCGATTCACACCGCGCTCGCTCGCTCACTCACCGCTCACTCACTCGCCGCTCACTTCTCACTCACATACCGCTCACCGCTCACTCACCACTCACACACACACCGCTCAATCACTCACCGCTCACTCACACACCACTCACTCACTCATTCACCGCTCACTCACTCACCGCTCACACACACGCATACCTCTTTGCACGTGCACTCACACCGCGCTCGTTCGCTCACCGCTCACTCACTGCTCACTCACCGTTCACTCATCGCTCACTCACCCCTCACGCACTCACCGCTCACTCACCGACTCTCCACTCACACACACACACCGCTCACGCCACACACGCCGCTCACACACAGACACGCAGACACCCACAGACACACACAAACACACACAGACACATAGACACACCCAGACACACACACAGACACACACACAGACACACACTTGTCGTCCACGCTGCCCGCGCGTCACCACCCTGCCCGTGTGCCGCAGCTCTACCGGGGGGTGTTGCACGCGGTTGTCACCATGTGGCGGGGCGAGGGGCTGCGGGGCTTCTACCGCGGCCTCTCCCCCACGCTCGCCGCCGTCTTCCCGTACGCGGGGCTGCAGTTCGGCTTCTACAACGTGTTCACGCGCGCTGCCAGCAGCCTGGCCGCACGGACGCAGCGTCGCACCGGTAGGCACGACCGCAACCGCACAGCCGGCTTCGCCGTGCCGCACCGGTAGCCACAAGCACACTGGGGGCTCCCTTGGGGGGCTCCCGCGGGAGGCTCCAGCGGGGGCGTGGGGAGCGGCGATGCTGAGCACCGCCTCTACAAATGCAGTACAGGGGCAGAACACACAAACGCCGCGCAGAAAGGTGTCCGAGTCGGGAGTCTAACCCAGGGGCTTCTTGTTGCGAGGTGCGGGCGTTGCCACCGCGCCGCCCCATTCACCGCTTGTTGCCGTGTCGTACCGTGCCGCGCCGTACCGTGCCGTGCCGTGCAGGGGGCCTGCAGACCCTGGTGTGCGGCGCCGCAGCGGGGGTGCTGAGCAAGACGCTCACCTACCCCTGCGACCTCGTCAAGAAGAGGCTGCAGGTGATGGGGTTCGAGCAGGTGCGGCGCCACTTCGGAGAGGTGCGGGACGCACGGGGGGGGGTGGGGGGGGGCACGTGGGGGGGGCACATGGGGGGAGACGCACGGGGGGGGGGACACACGTGGGGGTCACGTGGGGGGGACACGTGGGGGGGGGCACGGGGGGGGGAGCACGTGGAGGGGGACACGTGGGGGGGGGGACACGTGGGAACACAACGGGACACACACGCGTGGACACGTGGGGACACGTGGGGACACGCAGGGGGGGGGACGCACGGGGGGACACGGAGGGGGGGACGCACGGGGGATGGACAAGGGACACGTGGGAGAACATGCGGGTACACAGACATGTAGAGACACTGAGACATGTGGATGTAGGGACGCGGGGATGCCATGATGTAGGTCCGCTGGGACGTGGGGTTACGGGGACACGGAGACACGGAGACATCCTGGCATGCCCCGCTTTGTGCGAGCGCACGTACGTGTGTGCGTTGAACTTCTTTCACGCCGTACGTAGCTGATCGCAGGGCTCTGGCGGTGGTTGCGTACCACCCTCGTGTGTCCCACCGATTTCTTCCACGTCTCCGCGTGTGTCACCCCTGGCCCTCTGCATGCACCCCCCCCCCGTAGGTGCGTGCGTACGCGGGTGCGTGCGACTGCGTGTGCCGCGTGCTGCGGGAGGAGGGCCTCCCGGGCCTCTACAAGGGGCTCGTGCCGAGCGCCCTCAAAGCGGCCGCCTCCACGGGCCTCACCTTCCTCACCTACGAGCTGTTCTCGGCGTTCGCGCGCTCTCGCCGCTCCAGCCCCCCCGGGGCCTGAGGCCGCCCCCCCCCCCTGTCCCGCCATCGAACTCCAGGAGCTTCTCAGGACTTCCGCAGCCTTCTCTGCGTCTCCCGGGTCTTTCGGTGGAACTCTAGGACCCCCTGGTCTGGGACTTGAGGACTTTTCTGAGGTCTTCCGTGCAACTCCAGAACCTTCGTGTAGACGCCACTGTCCCTCATTGGGAGGACTCGACAGAAACCTGGGGGGGAAAACGAGATCTTCTCTGACACTTTGCGGCCTTCCTTGGGATTCTAGGACCTTCCGGGACCTTCCGGGGCCTTCCAGGACCATCCCCAGGAGATCAGCAATTGCTCCCTGCAGGGGCCTCCGCTCGACCGCCGCATACGCGCAGCTCAATGGAACCAAACGCGACGAAAGTCGAAGGTCGCGAGTCTCAGGGCAGTGCCCCCCCCCACTCTCTCCCCCTTCCTCTCCGCTACTGGGTGAGAGGTCACGAGTTGTGGCCGGGCTGGGTCGCTGGACCACCGCGCCGGGCGGATGTGGAGCGCACGCGGACTCAGAAGTTCCCGGCCCAGGCGTTACTGAATGTGTGGTGGTGGTGGTGCGTGCGAGCGAGTGAGCGGAGCCACGTCGTCACGTGTCCTCTGTTAGACTTCAATGCCGCTGACCGTTGCCGGCCATCTTAGCGTGGCGGGGTTGGCTGGTCCGCGTGTTTTCTGCCCTCCCCTTCTTCTGCATGGGGGGTGGTTTCCTTCGGGGTTCTCATGTTTCCAAAAGCAAACCACAAAGTGTGACCGGTATTGTGCCAAGAAAATAATTGCACCGCAATTTGCTAAATTTGGATCGCACGCAACAAAAAGAGATTCAGGCTTTCCTTGTTGAACGAGTGTGAGTGGTGAAACGAGTGTGAGTGGTGAAACGAGCGTGAGTGGTTTTATCTCCTGGTTAAACACACAGCCACTATGGGGCCCATCACGGCAAGGAGTGGTTTTATCTCCTGGTTATACACGCAGCCACTATGGGGTCCGTCACAACACGGAGTGGTTTTATCTCCTGGTTATACACGCAGCCACTATGGGGTCCATCACAACACGGGGTGGTTTTATCTCCTGGTTATACACGCAGCCACTATGGGGCCCATCACGTCACGGGGTGGTTTTATCTCCTGGTTATACACCCAGCCACCATGGGACCCATTACGGCACGGGGTGGTTTTATCTCCTGGTTATACACCCAGCCACCATGGGACCCATCACGGCACGGGGTGGTTTTATCTCCTGGTTATACACCCAGCCACTATGGGGCCCATCACGTCACGGGGTGGTTTTATCTCCTGGTTATACACCCAGCCACTATGGGGCCCATCATGGCATGGGGTGGTTTTATCTCCTGGTTATACACCCAGCCACTATGGGGCCCATCACGTCACGGGGTGGTTTTATCTCCTGGTTATACACCCAGCCACCATGGGACCCATCTCGGCATGGGGTGGTTTTATCTCCTGCTTATACACCCAGCCACCATGGGACCCATCTCGGCACGGGGTGGTTTTATCTCCTGGTTATACACCCAGCCACCATGGGACCCATCACGGCATGGGGTGGTTTTATCTCCTGGTTATACACCCAGCCACCATGGGACCCATCTCGGCATGGGGTGGTTTTATCTCCTGGTTATACACCTAGCCACCATGGGACCCATCTCGGCATGGGGTGGTTTTATCTCCTGGTTATACACCCAGCCACCATGGGGCCCATCACGTCACGGGGTGGTTTTATCTCCTGGTTATACACCCAGCCACCATGGGACCCATCACGGCACGGGGTGGTTTTATCTCCTGGTTATACACCCAGCCACTATGGGGCCCATCACGTCACGGGGTGGTTTTATCTCCTGGTTATACACCCAGCCACCATGGGACCCATCTCGGCATGGGGTGGTTTTATCTCCTGGTTATACACCCAGCCGCTATGGGGCCCATCACGGCAAGGAGTGGTTTTATCTCCTGGTTATACACCCAGCCACTATGGGGTCCATCACAACACGGGGTGGTTTTATCTCCTGGTTATACACGCAGCCACTATGGGGCCCATCACGTCACGGGGTGGTTTTATCTCCTGGTTATACACCCAGCCACCATGGGACCCATCATGGCATGGGGTGGTTTTATCTCCTGGTTATACACCCAGCCACCATGGGGCCCATTACGGCACGGGGTGGTTTTATCTCCTGGTTATACACGCAGCCACTATGGGGCCCATCACGTCACGGGGTGGTTTTATCTCCTGGTTATACACCCAGCCACCATGGGACCCATCATGGCATGGGGTGGTTTTATCTCCTGGTTATACACCCAGCCACCATGGGGCCCATCACGGCACGGGGTGGTTTTATCTCCTGGTTATACACCCAGCCACTATGGGGCCCATCACGTCACGGGGTGGTTTTATCTCCTGGTTATACACCCAGCCACCATGGGACCCATCTCGGCATGGGGTGGTTTTATCTCCTGGTTATACACCCAGCCACTATGGGGCCCATCACGGCACGGGGTGGTTTTATCTCCTGGTTATACACCCAGCCACCATGGGACCCATCTCGGCATGGGGTGGTTTTATCTCCTGGTTATACACGCAGCCACCATGGGACCCATCACGGCACGGGGTTGGGTTTTTACACCAGTTACACAACGAGCCGAGCTAGAAACCCAAACTGTGACACGCTGCTCGTGTCGCAAGAAGTCGTCCGCATCCGGCCTGAGCAGGGCCAGGGCGAAATCACTCGTCCACTACTCTGCGTGCGCGTGACGTCGGTTCGGGAGGGGGGGGGTTGAGTTGGGGTGGGGGGCTTAAGGGGTCACGGAGTCGATCTGCACGCGGTCTCAACTCGTCCGCGGTGTGAGACGTTTCTGCAACCCCCATCGAACACGTCTCTCTGTCTCTCTGTCTCGCTCTCGTGTGCCTGTGTGTGTGTGTGTGCTGTAGCTTGCGAGATAACGGTGGGACGGAGAGATGCCAGGGGGCAGCGGCAAGAGCCGTGCTGTGTGAACCTAGGGGGAAGAGCCCTTTGCACCGCTGAATTTGGGTGCCTTAAATACCTACGATTTGCACTCAAGTATGCTCTGGCGAGCATTGCACTGACTGTTCCGTCGATTAACCTGCAAGGAAGCACTGAAGTTCAAGCCCCCTCACTCGCGCACGGATGGGAAAATGGGCTGGCGGGAGAGGGGGCGGTGGTGGTGCCTTTGGTAATTGTCGAAATTCCACGGGACGATTCGGATCGCAGCGTTCACCGTGAGTTGAGCAGCCAACCGCGCTGATATTGAACAGGCGGAGTTCGACTTCTCTGGGGGTGAGGAGGGAGGGTGGCAGGGGTTCACTTTGTCGCAGGGGAGGGGGGGGGGGCACTGCCCCCCGTGACCCCCCGTGACCCCCCCGTGACTCCCCCGTGCTCCAACCCCCCCGCCCCCGTGACCCCCCCCCCCCCAAAACTCCGTCTATGATAAATACGCACGCTCTTAAAACCACGCTTTATGCTCAACGTCACCGGATTTGACCGCGCCGTTTTCTCGAAGACAACAATATATGTACGGGAGTCAATAAAGTAGTCCATAAAGTCGAGGCAAGGATGACAGGGCCAACGCGCTATTGCCGTTTTACAACTCGTCCTGTCGCTTTGCGACGCTGAGCCGTGGCAGCAGTAAAAAATAAAAACGCGCGCGCACACAAAGGCATCAGTCCCACGGGTTGTTTGCCGCTGTGTTTCTGTGATGCCCGTGCCCAGGAGGAGCCCCGGAGCGCGGCTGTCCACACGCCGCTCATCGAATCGCTCCCCTTGACCCCGAGCACAGAGGTCAGAGTGCGTGACGTGATTGCTCGCCTGAGCATCGAGGCCAAGGTGATCGTCTCCTGAGCCGGCGGTGGAAATTCCACGTTCCTATGGCGGGAGAGGAGGGGCGGGAGGGGGGTGTGAGTCTATCCATACGACAACCGCAACGTGGTACTTATTTTATCGACGCCCGGGCGGAAGGATGATGGGCTGAGTCAACCTGCCTCACCTCCACTCCCCTCCGCTCCGACCAGGCATTGAACCAGAGGTCGCAATCGGGTACCCGATACCCGTACCCTACCCGATACCCGGCTACCCGTACCCGACCGGGTACGGGTACCTGTTTGCGACCCTGGTGCGGCCGGGTACGGGTACGGGTAAGGAATCAAAACCCGTTTGCGACCTCTGGATTGAACTCGCATTGATTCCGATCGCGATCCGCTTGCCCTGAACCTGCCAGGAGTGACACGTGGGGGTGGGGGTGTCGCAGCGTGGGGAGGTGATCGGCTTCAGCAGCGACTCGGTTTGTTGACTTGTGACGTTCACGAGGCGCGGCGCCGTCTCTCTCCGACGCTGCTGATGATGACGACGACGACGATGACGAACCTCAACACCGGTTGACGTCCGGCACGGGTGCACGTGGAGTGGTGGTGGTGGTGGCGGTGGCGGTGGTGGTGGCGGTGGTGGTGGCGGCCGTGGTGGCGGCCGTGGCGGCCGTGGTGGCGGTGGCGGTGGTGGTGGTGGCGGTGGTGGTGGCGGTGGTGGTGGCGGTGGTGGTGGCGGTGGTGGTGGCGGTGGTGGTGGCGGCGGTGGCGGCGGCCGTGGTGGCGGCGGTGGTGGTGGCGGTAGTGGTGGCGGTGGTGGTGGCGGCGGTGGTGGTGGTGGTGGCGGTGGTGGTGGTGGCTCCAGGTGCCGTGGCCTCACACGCCGGCCGACCTTCGCACCCTGGCACTGAAAGGCAAAACAACCCCTACCCATCGAGTTCACACACACACAGCTCACACACACACACAGCTCACACACACACACAGCACACACACAGCTCACACACACAGTTCACACACACAGCTCACATACACACAGCTCACACACACACACAGCTCACACACAGCACACACACACACACACAGCTCACACACACACAGTTCACACACACAGCTCACACACAGCACACACACACACAGCTCACACACACACAGCTCACACACACAGCTCACACACACAGCTCACACACACAGCTCACACACACAGCTCACACACACAGTTCACACACACAGCTCACACGCACACAGCTCACACGCACACAGCTCACACACACACAGCTCACACACACAGTTCACACACACAGCTCACACACACACACAGCTCACACACACAGTTCACACACACAGCTCACACACACACACACAGCTCACACACACAGTTCACACACACAGCTCACACACACACACAGCTCACACACACACAGCTCACACATACACACACAGCTCACACACACAGCACACACACACACAGCTCACACACACACAGTTCACACACACAGCTCACACACACAGCTCACACACACACAGCTCACTCAGCTCACACTCACACACAGGGCTCACTCACATGGGGCTCACTCACTCTCATAGGGCTCACTCACATGAGACTCACACAGGGCTCACACACAGGGCTCACTCACACACAGGGCACACTCACATGGGGCTCACTCACATAGGGCTCTCTCACAGGGCTCACACTACTCAATGGCATTGCCTCCCATCGACTCCCTTCCCCCCTGAAGTTCTCACAGCCCCGCTCGCTGCTGGCTTCACGAGACGACGCGCCGCCTCTTATCGACGACAACTTCCAGGCTGATGTTCGCCCCTACGGGCAGACTGGCACTCCTCGCTTAACGCTGGGGCCGCCTTGCTGGAGAAGCGGGCAGCGCTAATGGAATGGACGCTCAAAGGGGGTCGTATAAGCAACCGTTGTGTATATGGTGTGGGGGGGGATACGTTCCGGACAGCGTTTTTTTTTTGTACGAGCAATACACGATGCCTTCGTTTGGGGTCTCGGTAACAGCGCTGTTATAATACAGATCAAGCTTTTATAAATAAACATCTTCTTGGTTCTTTCGGTAAAGTCACGTAGAAGGGAAATAATAAAAAAAAATACAATTCTCACCACGTTTTGGCCACAACGCAAGCAGCCGTCCTCATGTGAAGAACAGGTCTGTCGGAAAGACAGCGTCTGAATGAACACCACCAAGCTTGGCAGCGTGACTTTACCGAAAGAACCAAGAAGGTGAATCCCTGCAGT